GAATAGAAGAAACTATTGCGAATTTCCAAAAATTATCACATTTTATTGTCATGTCCTTTCACAATTTAACTTTAAATTGTGATAGCAACTTGGTAAGCAATTAACAAAAAAAAAACAAAAAAATTTATGGAGCGCAAATCTGTTGTTCTTCGCTGTGAGTGTTGTATACGACTCACATAGGAAATAACGACAAATTCAGAAAAAACACTAAATCGCTATCGGCGTTAATAATTTTTTGTTAATTTGAACAAAATATGGTTTCTTTAATTTTCAATTATTGTTTCTTTAATTTTCAATCATGCAATCATATATTTCCATTTTTTTAAACTATTCATTTGACAACATCTCATTATCAAAATGTATTGAATGACTTTCTACATTTGTTGGCTGTGTAAAAAGTTTCTAAATATAACCTACAAAACGAAGAAGAGAGCGCAATTTTTGTTCAAAGGGAAATTAAAGTTTCACACATTTTTGGAGTAAAAGAGAGAAATGTTACATTTTATTCAAGAGAACGGAGAAGCAGTAAAAATGTAAAAATTATATGGCAACAACATTTATATGGCAACAACATTTTAGCCAATTAGAAGCCAAATTCGACTAGTACAATGTGTGCTCTCTTTATTTTGCCTGTAATGCCATGTTTACGTTAGAACTTTTCGTAGGGTTAACCTACTTTGAGAGGATTTATTTGAAGTAAAAGTAATGGATATGACAATTTAAATCCAAATCCAGTGGGTTAACCCTCATATATATAAACGTACTGTAAGTTTCAAGGAAAAAATTATAAAACAATGAAGTACTATACAAATTTCGCATACACATCACATGGAAAAAACGCCAAATTCACAAAAATGTCAGCAAAGGACAAAAATCAAACTGAACTTGGCATTTTGGCCAATGTCGCATACACATCACAAGAAAAAAAACGTTAAATTCACGAAATTATCAGCAAAGGACAAATATCAAACTAATTTGGCATTTTTCGTCAAATTGCATAAAATTCGCAGTTTCAAGTGTCAAATTTTCCATAATAACATAATTTGTTTTCTCCTTAATTTTTTTGGTTGGCATGATTATAAGTTCAATAAATAACAAAAATTTCACTTTTAACCAGCATCACTAAATAAATCACACACAGACGTACACACACACGATGTGTAAATGGAAAACTTGTAATTTGTCCAAAATGATAACATAAATTAATGTCTTAAAATAATATACAATGTTTAGAAAAAACAGACAATTTGAAAAGCGAATGTCCAAGAAAGAAAATTGTGAGAAACCGGCAAATAGACATTAAAACTAAATCTCCTGGTTTGTTGTTGGTGAATCATAAGCACACACAATGATTGCCGGTAAAAAAATCTATTGGCACCATAACCGGTTAACGTGTTTACATTTCCAAGAAAATTAAATCCATATCTAATTAGCCTAACAACTAAAGTAGTTAGGTCTTTATAAATTGAATAGCGGCGAGCGACACTTTGGCGTGACAATTCAATTAATCGTAAAGTAGAAGTAGAAAAAAAGAAGATAATAAACTTACATTTCAATGGATAACATCAAACACAAATGGTTATTTTTCAATATGGAATGGTGATAAGGAAGGGAGTGGGGGGGGGGGGGGGGCAAAGACTTGGGTGCCCAAAGAAAATCAAATAGGCAAACAAACAAACCTATAAAAACTTTTTGAAGCGGACAAATATGGTGTGTAAACATTATCACCAAGAAGTACAATAAATTTTTTCCATTCATGACCACCCTCCCTATATAAAATGACTGACTGACTTGGGCTTCACAACAAAGAAAAGTTCAATTTGGGTTTTATATTTCAAAACAAAATAATAAGGGATTTTTTATTACACACACAACGATTTTTGGGCCATGTAATGCCGCTAAGAAAGAACGTCATCAGCAGCAGCAGTCACTCATTTTTGATGGTTGGTTGGTTTGTAATGCATTTTAAGTTTACCAAAAAAAATACCCCCATTTCTTTGTGCGTTTTTTTTTTTGTTTGCTTTTGTCTGTCACCCTAACCCATTATAGTATTATTTTTTTTTCGAATACTTTCCAATTCCAAGACGACAATGACGGCGACATACATAACATACTTATTGATACACTCTTGATAAAATATTCAAAATAACCACAAATCGTATCACTTTTAATTTTTCTTTAACTCTCCTCCCTCCCTCTACGCACCGTGATAATCAAATGCCGCATAAAGCCAATGAGCCAGGCCGGGCCAGCCAGCCAGCAAGTCATTCAGCCATGGTCACCACCACATCGTTGGATAGTATAGCCATCAAAACAAGAGTCAACTATTTTCAACGACACAGAGTAGTATATTCAATTTTATGTGTGGTGATTCATCTTTTAATTCCAAGTAAAAAATGGTTACGTTCGAAATTGAAAAATGAAATAAAACAACAAGAAATATGTGAATTGATGTTGTTGTTAGTGTTGGCATTTCGTATATGCATACAGTGGCTCCATGTGGCGACCAATTACACTTTATTCAGAAAAGTAAATGCAGATTGTCTGGAATAAAGTGGGAAATATTCACTTCTTAGCTTTTTTCTCCCTTATTTACTCATATTTTTTTGTGGTAATAATTATTTTTAGTCAAATTCTAAATTTTCTTCTTCATTGCTATTTATTTAAATAAAGAAATTAAAATTATAACTGTTTTTTAGTTTATTTAGACTGCGGCGATTACGGCATACAAAATTCAATGTGTGGCCAGGCAGTTTAAGCACTTGTAGTTTAAAACATTCTCCCCCTCTCATTAAAGAACGATAACTCCAATCAATTCTCTTGCAAATAAATGAAAAACAAAACGAGACCACAAACTGTGTAAACAGTTGATTCTCTTTTCACAGTCAAGAGAAGAGTACAAAAAAAAAGAATAAAACTAAATGAGCAGTTTGAGAAACGACTTGTTAAAGCAAAAAAATATACCATTTTGAATGGATGTTATATTAAAATTAAAAAAAAAAATTAAAAGTGTTTAATGAAGTACAAGCAATAGTTTTAACACAATGTTTTGAATCGATTTTGACATACTCTGCTTTGAAACGATTTAAACATAACATAGCCAAATAACGTGCATTGACGGCGTCGCAAAATTTCGTCCTAGGCTTTGGGGAAAATACAAACAAAAAATAAATGAAAAAAATGGATTGATATTCTTAAAATAGAAATTCCCACAAGTTAAGTTAAAACTTATCGAAAATAAAAATCATTCTTTCCACACACACTGAGCCACTGTTGAATAACACACACAAAAACCCTCACACAATAAATATAACCAATTACATTGGGTGAAAAGATGATAACAGTTGAATAGAAAAAATAAACGACAAGAAAGAGGCAATAAACGAAAGAGGTCTGGGGAAGCAGCCGCTATGGGGTCTATATAAAGATTGAGCTTTAATTTATGCAAAGATGAAATTTCCCAACAAAATAGTTATTTTTTAAAATAAAAAATGATGGTTGCAAGGGATTTGCATTTCGTTCGACGCGAGTGTGTGTTTCGGCGAGTGTGTTAACATTTTATTGTGCGTAATAATGTAGAGATGATTGTTTCATTGGAATTCCGTTTTACATTCATTTTCATTTGTTTATAAAATCCAAAAAAAGAAAACAAAACAAAGCGCAATCAAAGAAATGAACAAAAAAAAAAAAAAAAAACTTTTTTTACTGGTGACTGGTTATGTTATGGAATAGGTTTTTGCTAAATTAGGCAACAGCAAAAAAAAAAAAAAAAAAAAAAAAAAAAAAAAAAAACAATGTTAAAATTTGTGTGAGAATTGGCCTTATATTTTCCCAATAGATTACACCAAATGTTATCTATCATTCGATGTATAATTTGTCTAGTTTAAAGCGCCCCAACAAAATGCAATTAAATGCAGCCGTCTGGCCAACAGATTCGTTTTCAGTTCGTTTTCACTAAAATGATAATTTGTTCGACGATGCTGCTCCCCCATCTCTCCCTAACCTTTCTTATCGCCATTCTAGATTTGTTGGGGGATTTTTTCTTCTATTTGTTTAGTTTCATTCATTAGAAATTGATGAAGAAAATTCTGAAATGCTTTAACGATGAAAATCCCGAAAACAAGGAAGAGAACATCACCACCATCAACATCATCGATTGAATGCCACCAAAAGCAAAAACAAAAAGAATACAATATAACCATCTGCTTCAGATAATTTAGACGATGATGAAAAAAAAACACCAAAATAAAGAAGCAGAACATTAAATGTTTGTTTGGGTCAACGACATTTTATTTTATTTTGTGTTGTTGTTGTGCTTTTTGAAATGTTTCAAACATTAAATGATGGATGACGATGAACCAAAAACAAAAAAAAAAGAGACGGGAAAAAGAATGGCCCATTTGAAAATTATGAATAAGCATTTAACTTCAAGCATACTTCTTTTTTATTGCTTAAAAACGCTTAATTATTAACGTTTTGTAACATTTAATAATAAGAGGTTTGGTCTCTGGGAAGAGATTTTTTTTACACAAAAGTTATACCTAACTACTTAGGTGGAATGAGATATAGAAAACCTAAGGATTTCCCAATGTGAATCTTTAGGTCTATTTTACAACGACACCTAAATTACGCAGTTTACAAATATAGCCCATTTATTTGACATATTGGTAATCTATAGCACGTTTTATTCCAACATATTCGACTTTAGTCTTAATGTTTTCTGCTTTAATTTAATGAGATATATTTTATTATATGCAAAATTAAAAACCAAAAGGTTTTACACAAAAACCACCAATCACTCATTTGAACAAAATTAATCTTAGCATTTATCTATAGAAGACCATTTTGCTATAAAATGGTCAAAGCAACCTTAAAATTCTACTTTTCAAGTGAGTCTGATGTGTGGCCCGACCGCTTTACGTATTCAGCATAACGGTGGCAACATCAAAATCCTTTTTATCCAGTAAAGCTAATGTGTGGCCCGACACCTTTAAGAATTTATTCAGCAAAGACAGAAGAGTCTCTCTATCAATGTTTATATATTCAATATATATTGTGAGCATAACAACTCCTCTTATCTTACTTGTCAATTACAATTACTCTTTCTCACTTGTCAAATTGTTGGGAGATCTTCAGAACACATGCCATCATTTGGCGCAATTCATAGACATGGCGTCCCTAACAAGTGATTTTGTATAACAAGAAAACATGATGGAAATTGCCACAGAAATCTATATAAATGCATCTCAAACCTTGGTGGTAGCGATTGATTATTTCCTGAAACGATGAAAATAGCAAATATATGAACATTTCTGCAAAGGAAAATGTGAGGGGAGGCTGACCAATGTAAGTTAAAGACTTGAGAATCCACGGCTTTCGTTTTTTATACTATTTAAAATATTTACTTTCAGAACTAGTTCCTTTGGCCTGTTATTCAGGAAAAAAGAAACTTGTGAAATATTTGCTCTGCTCCAAAACTGCAAGAATGTATAACTTTTTACTGCGACAAATGCTGAATTATCTTGTCGGAAAAAAATTTTCCGATGCAAGAAGTAGATTCTTTTCAGGTTGTGGACCATCCTCTAGACGGTCTGACACGAGGGCAACGGTGATGATGTAATAGCATAACAGGATCAGTGATTATATTTTTGCCGATTGTCAGGCGGCCCGTTAAGCAATCGAGACAAGTATCATTATATAGAGAGCCGTTATTGACCTCAAGAAAGTTCTACTTGAAAAAAGTGAACACATTCAGGTTTGTTGGGTCTCAAGACATTCGATTGATCTGCCCATCGATGAGATTGTTAAACCACCTATAACCTATTTGTCAGCCTTCACTTCCCTTCTATGAATTGGTAGGCCTGATCTAAGTATCGTGGTGACTAGTCTTACCTCAAGGCGAAGTGGAGGTAGAGATAATTGAACATGCCGTCATCTTAGAGACATAGGTTGTTCGGCTGTTAAAAACTCTAGCGTTCTTCGTATATCTTAACATCATCATTGCTACAGAATGCATAGAATACATGGGAAAGAACATATACATCACTGTGGTGAAAATTAACCGGTCAGACCCAGCAGGGAGATGCTGAAAAATAAAATTTAAATCCATATCGGTGAGGATAACCAACAAAAAATTACTTAGTTACAAACTTATGTTTTGGGTTTGTTACATCCAAAGTTTTGTGGTGTAAGTTTGCACCAATGAAAAAGGGTAGCGTGACTCATTAACATGAGTCAAGTTATTAAACATATTTGAGTGTTTGAAGTCCTTTATAAGGGATGGTTTGTGAATTCCTTAAACAAAAAAAAAAAAAAAAAAAAAAAAGAAGAACGCTTCAAATAGAATGCAAAATATTAATTCTTCTTCCTTCTTTTTACTTTCACTTAAAAATATCATTCCATTTTTATACACATTCCTTAAAACCTGCTCTGCTTTGAAAGTCTATAAAAATATACACCTTCATTATATAGTGGGGTAATTAAAAATTATCTAAAATTATGTAGAACAGGAAAATACAAAACGAAAACGTCTTCTGTTCTGTTTACATAAATATAATTATCTAATAAATTCCATGGTGGAATATATTTAGTTTTATCTAATGAATCACTGCCAACCAGCCAGCCAGCCCACCAACAACCACACATTATTTTACGTACATAGGTTTTTTTGAGTCTTTTCAAACCAAGTTGCTATTTATTTAATTATATGCCATGTCTTATTCATTCAAGTTTATAGAATGCGAAAGTAATGGTTATGAATGAGTAAACACGCACAAAAAGTAGCAGGAGTAGACTTCTAAAAAAAAGCTCCAAGATGTAAAATCTAAATTCAATCAGTGTTCTTTAGAGATATGATTAATAAGACCATGCATGTCTGTGTGGCTGTTCGCCCAACATTCAAAGCATGTATGCATTTGGGAAAACACACACACGGAGGAAACGCAAATGAATATCGGAAATCGGCAAAAAGGGCAGTTTGGCGCTTTTTGGGGAGTGAAACAAAATGCATGCTTTGTGTGTGTGTGGAAAAGCGTAAATGTTTACATTTTGGAATTTTCAAGAATGTATGTTTATTTCCTGTATATTATATAAATACTAAATGTATTTTTAGTATTTCTCTTGATAGATTCAAGGAAAAAAGAATTGGAAAATGTGTTCATCATCAATGGAAGTAGGAAAATATTGTTCTGGAAAAGCTGGCTAGATAAACATAAGGTATTCGCATTCTTCTGACCCATGATTTCCTCAGCTCATCTAAGCACCCCATCTCAATACTTCACTCTTAATTGAGGAAAGGTATTTCAAAGTCCTGGCTAGATAAGTTATCCGTATTGTATTGCACCATGAGTTCTACAGGTAAAAGCGGTCTTATCTAAGAACCTCATTTTGATTTTCGACTCTTAATTCCTGAAAAGATCTTCTAAAGTCCTGATCTACAAGCGTGTAATGTGATGAAATTATGTCTCTTTAGGTAGAAGTCTTACTTCGTAAAACGCAATTTTTTTATTATATACTAATTTGATGTGTGCCCAGCTAGTATGAAGTTGTTGAAAACAATGCGGTAAAGTGAACCGTCGTTATCTTACTTTCCTATGGTTAAATAATAATTCTCTGCTCTCAGGTTTCATGTGTTTGTGGGAGAGAATCTAAAAAAAACAAGTCGTGAGATGTTTCTCACAATTTTTGATAGGTGCTATCTTGATAAATTCGCAACTCCCTTTCACATTTCATAAAAATTAATAACTTGCAATTTGTGTGTGCAAAATTGATGAGTGGCCAGCTACTTTCTAGTTGATGGCAAAAATTGACCGTTATTTTATTTTTGCCATAATTATGGCAACTGCCATTTCTTCTCTCACATTTCTCACACAATTGACATCACTATCAAGAGCAACAAAACAAAAACAGCTGATTTCAAGTAACACCAAAAACTTTCAACGTTTCGTTAAAACAAAAATAATGAAAAGTCAAGATAAAACAACTACTTACCCATAAAGAAATGTAAAAAAGAGTATGAATCCGCATAACATTTTGTTAAAAATCGTCCAGCGACTGCAATATTGGATGAGAGATGGTGCCATGTAGATAATAATAGGTAGGTATGATGTTGTTGCAGCATTTACATGGAGAGTTTTAACCCCATTCTAATTTGTGTATGGTTGTTATTGTTGTAGATTTATTGATGTCCTTACATCATGGAACGTGATATATTCATAGGTATATCTAGTTATGTCTGAATATGTTATATATTAATGTAGTTGCGATAGTTTTTACTAGGGTCTGTCCCGTCCTCATTTATCATTTCGTCAAATACCATTGAATTCCGTTGGCTTAGTAGCTTTATACTTAAAAAATTAGTCGCAGCACTGTATTCTATTCTATTTTTTGCTTTTTAAATATTTACAAGTTTGCAATTTATCACACGCCTTGAACTTTTTTTAAAAACGTAGTGAAGTGAAGTTCGGTTGTTTTGTGATTTTCATTTTCATAATAATTTTCCATTGATGATAACATTGCATGGTTTTTTTCATTAGGCACGTACAAAGATACCCACACAAGGCCTTTTCTATGTACCCTTGCGCAACACCTTTTTGGCTGCCTTAATATTTGGCACTAGAGCCTTCAATTCACTGCAATCATCTAGGAATGGATGTTTTAGCAATTCATCGGCTGTTGCTCGCTTATCGACCTCAACTTGCAGACAGCAATCAAGGAAATCTTGTAAATTTGGGCTTAGTTTATCCCAACTTTTAATGTCTGGCCTACCGTTGGCCGCAATCAAATAGAGTGCTCTCAGCGGCGTCTCATACAAATAGGGCGGCTGTCCCTCAATCATTTCAATGGCCATAATACCAATGGACCAGATGTCGACTTTTTTGCCGTACTTCTTACGCGTCACCACCTCGGGGGCCATCCAATAGGGTGTGCCAACCATTGTTTGTCGTTTCTCATCGCCCTCAATGTTGGCACAGAATCCAAAATCGGTTACCTTTACTGAACCATCCATGCCCAAGAGGACATTGTCGGATTTAATATCTCTGTGTATAATACCCTTTGAGTGTAGGAAACTAATGGCATACAATACTTCACGGCACACACAGGCAATTTGTCTTTCCTTCATAACGGTCTCGGTAACCACATCCGTTAGCGGACCACCATCCATGTACTCCATAATGACCCACAGATGATCCTCAGGTTCCAAAAGATATGCATCCAGAAAATTGACCAAATTTTTATGATTGAAATCTTTTAGGACACGAATTTCCGTCAAAATGAGATCTTTGGAGGACTGGTTCTTTAAGTCGATTGTCTTAACAGCCACCTGATTTTCGGTTTGCTTATCAGCGGCTATGAAGACGATGCCCGAAGCGCCTTTACCCACTTCCTGGGTAGTTTTGTAACGTTCACGGGGATCATCTAGATTACATATCGCCCTGAGTTCCTCATAGATCTCTGAATCGGTTTTTTGGCCACGTTTGTCCTTGGAACGTCTGAGAATGGTCTCGTCACCATCGCCCTCGCCATCAGTAGTGGCCGGTTTAATGATTATGGTGTCGGTGTTAATGACTGGATGACCATCATCTTGGCTGGTCAGTTTGCTCAAATCGGCTAAACCTTTGGAATGTTTATGCGATATGCCCTTGGGTTTAGGTTTGGTCTGAGGTTTGGGTGGCAAAGTTTGTGTTTTTTTGGCAGGCAGAGGAGGCGGCGATTCACCAGTGGCATCGGGTTTTAAAGTTTCACGTTGCTGGTCCAGTGTGGATACCAACTCTTTGATCACGTCATTCAGTCCCGTCAGACGTATGTTGTTTTGGTGTTGTTGATCATTAAAACTATTGTTGCTGCTACTGCCGGCTGTGCTCGAACCACTTATGGTACCACTGCCATCACTGCTCCGTTCGTCCTCCGACTTGTCCAAGTCTTGGGATTTGTGTTTGTTCTTGTAATTCACATAATTATCAATTTCCTTGGATTCTTCGTGTATGGCTTCCTCGGTAATGAATGGCTTGAAGATGACATCGTTCTCTTTCTTCTTAATGGAATAATTATAGAACTTAACAGCCTGGTAAGCGGCATCGGGATTTTTATCTTGTTCATCGCGTGTGATTTGGGCATTCATTAAACGTACCCATGGTGCGGGCAGACCCTCTAGTACGCCAGTCTCTTCGTTACGTGACACATGAAAGTGTCGTTGGAAGTTGGTGGGATTACCAATTTCGGAAATGGGTTCCTTTTTGCGGAACCAGCCTTTAATACCTTGAAAACCGGACATTTTGGTATCTGTTGTTGTTGTTGGTATGGTATATACGGGAATATAGAATTGTGTATAAATTCAATAAACTAATATTGTTGTTGTTGTTGAAGTGTGTATATATGTATAAAAGTGGGACACTTTATTGTCTATTTGGTTCAATTGGAATGAAAAGCGAATTCGTTCCTTTACTGCTCTTCTGATATGAGAATCATTGAATGTTTTGATTCTCCTGCTGCTGCTGCGGGTGCATGTGTGGCGTGTGAGTCATGCAAGTACTCCCTGTGCCGCTAATTCCAGCAGCAACACCACCAACAATTCCGTCGTTTAGCAAGAAAAAGCGTAGCAACGATAGCAGCCAACACACAACTGCACCACCACCACACAGAGTACTACTACGATTTTTTTCACTGCCGACGACTTTTGAACTCCCGACGAAATTCGCTCGCCTTTGTTATCACTTCGCTCGCCTTCTACTTTACAATCAATTTTTTCTTTCTGAAGTATCGCCTGTCGTTGTAAATTTTATTTGCTTAAAATCATCTTTTTCTTTGCAATTTATCTACCTTTGTTCACTGCGGATCACTTCTCGAAGGGCTTTTCTTGTAATTTTTTTTATATCTTTGGAATTTTGTGCCTTCCTTTATTTTTCTACTTTGTTTCGTTTTACACTTACACATACACAAACAAAAGGAGTGGCATTCATGTTACTCTTCTTTTATCTTCTCTCCTTGATGATTTTTCTTGTTTTCTATTGTGCACATTTAATCAAACGAATACTTTTAAATTTTTTTTATTAAATTTATTTCTTACATTGAATGCATTTTTTCAATGACCTATTTTGGAACTTTTTTCCATGTTATGTGTTTTTGTATCGTTTCTCCGCGTTAATGTTTAATTAATTCACCTCCTCCGTCGTTGAAACTAATGAAAATTTAGTCTTCTTCTTGGTGCGTGTAACTCACATAGGATAGAAAATTGGTTCTTCTTCTTCTCGATGTGTTTAATTCACTGGGATTGATAACAAATTCATTGAATCGATAATGTGTGTTATCGAGTGGTTTCGATTACATGTCGCAATGGTTTTAGTCTATTTTTTTATGTTGCTTTATGGCTGTCAACATGTTTCCGGCCTCTTTTAAGCGCCATCTACCGATTTAAAAATGTGACTACGGTGATAGTGACAAAAGAGAATCCGCGAATGCCCTCATCTCACACATTAATAAAAAAGGAAGTAGAGAACGCCATCTATGGTTTGTAATAACTAACTTTTTAATTTTGTAACTGTTAAAGAGAAAGATCACCAGAATAAAACAACAACGGTAAAAAAAGGCGGCAAATGTGTGCGTCATATGGTTATTGATTGGATGCTTATCAAGAAGTGTGGTTGAAATGAAAAATAAGGCTAAACAACTCAAAAACGTATTGTTAAATATGTGCACCGGACGTCTGTGGTAAGCAAGTAATTTAAACAAATAAACTCTGTGAAAAAGATGTTAATCATTTCCATTTTATAGAAGAAGAATTCATGCAAAACTGTTGCAAATAGAAATGAGCCCACATGATCACTGCAACAAATGGATACCAACAGGAAGTAACCAAGCCGTTGGAAGCTGTTCTCAATACTAACGCCATCTACAGTCCGCTGTGGTCCTATATGGTATGAAATACCGTTTCAAATTAGATTTTTCAAATTTCTCATTTCGTTTCGATTTCATGCACCCCTTTTAGTTCAACACAACACAAGACTGGCCAGAAAGAGGGAACATATGTTGGCATCTGATGCCTTTATGGCGGTGACCCCCAAAACTTTTTGCATGCTTTATATTGTCGATGACAGTGAAAGATGAAAGATCAACACACATACTAATTCAATATTGCCAACATCTGGAAATAGTTTATTTTCTTTTTGTATATATTTGTCTGGTTTACTTAAAATTCAATTTGCGCTCCCCCATGGATTGTGAGTTGGTACAAGGCATACATAGGGCTTTTCAGTTGATTTTGAATATTGGAGGAGACAACAGCATCTTAGGAAAAACAACGGATAAAAGGAATTGGAAACAAAATGATGGTAATTATTAAAATCATGGATACAAAGGACATTAAAATATTTTTGTTTTCTAGATTTCGTATTTGTTTATGGCAATTTTGGCCGGTAATCTATATAATCAGGTCAACAGTGCTGGCTTACCTAAACCCACACCCCTTACCCGCATTCTAAATGAAGGGCGTCTGGAAAATCAAGGCACCTTGGAGCACAAAATTGAGTTTATGCTTGAATCTATTACACGCATGGAAAGTTCAATACAAAATCTCCAAGAGAAGTCGCATACCTGGTCTATATTTCAACATCACATTGAGTCGTGGAATGATGGTTTGCGTGTCTTGGAAAATAAAATAGATTTTTTGAAACGTTCACACGAAGATCAACAATTGGCCTTGAATAAAATGGATATTACTTTGCACGAAAATACGGATATAAATGAAATAAAGGATGCCCTGAAAAAGGAGCAAACCTTGCAAAAGGAATCGGCCACCAAAGTAAATGCAATACTAAGGCACTTGCAGACAATGCACAAGGAGAAGAATGGAAACATAAATGCTTCGCATGGCAAGAAAAAATCAAATCTAATAGCAGGTGATGCTGCCATGGCAGATACCCAGTCATCGACAGGCCACTGTAATGGTAGCCATAAGCTGGAACAACGTTTAAATAGCATTCAACATCAAATGGCATTGCAAAGGGATTTGAAACAGCTGCATTCCATGGACAAACGTATGAGCAAATCTATTGAACATTTATCCCAGTCTATGACTCATGCCTTGGATAAACAAGACGAGTTATCTTCACGTCTGCAGCGATCAAATGAATGCTGTTATGCTCTGTCCAGTGAACTGACCACATTTACCGAAAGTTCTGATATTTTATTGAAACGTATTGAACGTCTCATTAAAAATGTAAATGATAAATTGAATCGTATCCAGGAAAATAATGCTGAGGAGCATCATCATCATCAACAAGAAGAAGATGGAGAAGAAGATAGAGAAGAAGAGGAAGATAATAACATCAATGAAGGGGATGAATTTGAGAATACAACCAACCACATACATTTGGAAGTGTTTCATGAGGAAGTTGGGGTCAAAGAAGAAGAAACTGAACACCACCGAAGTCATGAGGAGGGGGAGGAAGAGGATGAGGTAGAAGAAGAGCCTGTTGTGGGCAACGTAAATCACGAAAGAAGTGAGCATGAAGACTCTCAAACAGAATTGTATGGCCGAGATATTGGTAAGTTTTCCAATATTAATCAGATTAGGAACTTCTAAATCCCTATTTTTTTTAAACAGAATTTCTACGCCCCGATTTAAATGGTTGCCATGAATTGACTAATGAAAACGGCGTTGATGAGTCATTGCGCATTGATGGAATATATAAATTTGCCAGCCCCGATATCAATGAAATCGAAAGAGATTTTAACGAACGTCTTTGTGTCTTTGTAAATAGTAGTTCGCCAACAGATGTAGCCTGGACCGTAATACAACGCAGGTTACCCTTGGAACATCCGGAGAATTTCAATCGCTCTTGGTCAGAATATCGCAATGGTTTTGGTTCTTTGCAACATGATTTTTGGTTTGGCAACGAATTTATACATCGTTTGGTCTACAATGAAGACTATGAGCTGCGCATCGAATTGGAAGATTTCAATAGCACTAGGGTTTGGGCTGAATATGGTATCTTTCGTTTGGATAGTGAAGAATTCAATTATAATCTATTAATTGGAGAATATAAGAGTGAAAGTACTGTGGCCGATGCTATGCAGTATCATAACGATAATGATTTTAGTACATATGACAGGCGCAACGATAAAACCGTTGATGCTTGTTGTTCGTGTGCCATGGGTTATGGTTCGGGTTGGTGGTTTGATAAGTACGTGAAGAAATGGGGAGAAATGAGGCGATACGAAGAATATTATTAATATTTGTTTGGTTTTTTGTTTCTAGCTGTTCCGAGGCAAATCTAAATGGCATCTATCGTTTTACACCTTGGGGCAATAATTACAATGGCATTATGTGGGAATTGTGGCATGGCGATTATTCACTGAAAAGTACTCGCATGATGATCCGGCCAAAGCAGCAGCACTCCGAAGATCGTGATGTTTTATATTCTTCCTCATCATATTATGATATTCAGGAGCATCATAACGAGGATCCTTAAGAAGTGCATTTAATTACTTCAGTTTTTTTCCAAATTGCATTGGATTTTGCTTTCTTAATGAACTTTTATCTGATTCCAAACTAATTTTTTCTTCCAAATAAATATATTTTTCCGATTTTGTTAGTGAATTCCGTTTTAAGATTTTTAATTTTAATTTATAGGCACGGCAGACGAAAGAGCGAATATTCGTTTCGGTCAAAGAGTGATTCGAGTTCGAAGATTGTTTGTTTAGTTTGCGCAGCAACAGACAGCAGCTGTTTCACTCGACGATCTTGGCTTCATTTTGATCATCTAAGGAAGAATAATTTTGATGTGGGATAGAGGGACGATAAAGAAGTATTGGAATGTCTGAAACATGAAGAGAAACGGATGCTTATTTCGGATTTTATAATCGTTTTGGTTATTCAAAACGTTGACCCTTTGTGTGGGAGGTACCAGAAGGAATGGTCATATATGTACCATCTTTATAACAGATCTTGAGTTGATGGAAATATTAAGATGTATCAAGTCTGAATGGAATCGGATGTTAATTTCCCGGTTTATGATTTTCTTGAATATTCAAAATTTTGATCCTTTGTGGGGGGAGGTACCAGAAGGAGTGGACCGATACATAACATCTTCTCACCAGACCCTGGGTTTATAAAAATATTGTGATGTATGTAATTTGAAGAGAACCAGATGCTTGTTTCGGATTTTATGATCGTTTTTTTATTCAAAACGTTCACCCTTTGTGGGGAGAGGTACCAGAATCAATGGTCCGATCTCTACCATCTTTATAAAAAATATTGTGTTGATGGAAATATTGTGATCTGCCTAATTCTGAATTAAATCGGATGTTAATTTCGTCTTGAATCAGCTTCATGAATATTCAAAATTTTGACCCTTTGTGTGGGAGGTGCCAGAAGTAGTGGACCGATATACAACATCTTCACATCAGATCTTGTGTTAGTAGAAATAATGGGATGTGTGAAATATGAAGAGAATCGGATGCGTATTTCGGATTTTATGATGGTGTTTGTTATTCAAAACTTTGAACATTTGTGGGGGAGGTATCAGAAAGAGAGGACTGATATATTCCATCTTCTCACCAGACCTTGGGTTCATAAAAATATTGTGATGTGTGTAATTTGAAGACAATCGGACACTTACATCACATTTTATACGAGTTATAATTATTCAAATTTTGACCCTTTGTGGGGGAGCTACTGGATGGGGTGGTCCGATATTGTCCATTTTCGCACCTGATCTAGCACTGATGCAAATATTAGGATATGCAAAATTGGAGCAAAATTGCATTATCCTTTCTCTTTCTGTGCAGTAAATTGTTTTCTTTAAAAATGTTGACATTTTGTGGGGGAGGTACCAGAAGGTGTGGACCGATATTGCCCATCTCCAAACTCGATCTAAGTTTGACAATAATATTACGATATACCAAGTTTGGATCAAATCGGATACTCCCTTCACGAGTTATCGTACGCATCAGTCAGCCTGTCAGACAGACGGACAGACAACGATAGATTGACTCGAAATTTTCTGAAACGGATTTGGTCCAAAGAGACCTAGGGTCTAAAACCGTTATTGCAATGAATTTTGCATTAATTTACCAAAAACAAAAAAAAAAACAAATCCTTTGTTGTAGTATTTTTAATTTGTTTATATATTTTTATTTGTTTATGTTTATTTCTAAGTGTTGTTTGTTTTTTTTTTTCTTTTTCTCTCATTATATTATATATATACGATGAATGCAATTATAAATTGCATTTTTTTCATTAGCTTAATTCGTAATATAGAGTTATAAACCAAAAAAAAAGTGATAATAATAATAATAGTAAACATTACGAACAAATTATGAATAATAATTAATAAAATTTAATTTTTTAGTTTTCAGTTTCATGTTTTTTCTTTTTTTTTTAGTTTGACGTTACAAATAAACTTGTGGCTTTCAACTATAAGTATAAGTGAATAGTAATATATATAAGTAAATATGTAAGTTGTAAAAAATTAGGGGTGGTTTGGGGGAGGGGAGGGTCGCTTGGTAAATAAAACAAAACAGCAAGTAGTAAATCTATAATTAACAAAATTTCTAAATCTAAACAGAATAATAAGTATGAAATTTTTAAAATTGAAAAGTAATTTTTCTTGATTTTGTTTTTTTTTTCAAGTCTAGGATGGTTTGTTTGTTTCTTTGTGTGCTGAGTTGTGAGGAAAACAATTAAACGCATTGGGGGGGCGGGAGCTATGTTGATAAGTTAAAATATTTTTTCTTTCTTTTCGTTTAAAATAATAATTTTCTTTTCATTAATTTTTATTACTTTTGTTTTGTTTTTTTTAAGGAAACTAAGAAGCATTATAAAGTTGTTGCATTTGAAAATAAATACATATATGTTGTTGTTTTTTTTTTGCCAGAAATATTTGACACGCATCTAGGCTGAAATGCGTTAAGCTTAATTATTTTACATTTTAATTGTTTGTTTGTTATTTTCTAAATGGTTTCGTTTGCTTTAAGTTTGTTTTTCCTTTTTTTTGTTTTCTTTTCTTTTTTATTTTGTCTGTCTCAAATATGTAAACTTGTCTTAAATTATTCAATAATAAAAACAAAAACCCGAGGAGTTTAGGCTATTTTTATATAAATATTCCTTTTTTTGCTGATTACACTATATTTGTTTTAAATTATATATATACAGAATCTTATGGGGTGTATTTAAATTTATAAAGTCGCATCATATTATTGTATGAGTTAATATAAATATTATTTATTTTATTTTGTTTTTTTATATATACAAGTTGTGTCTATTTGTTTTTAAGCTCTCCATAAAATGAAAAGACAATTTTTTGTCTGCAAAGAATGAGGTGAAGCAACTAAAAAAAACGCAACTTCAATAAGTCAATAATGGGTAAAATAATCCAGCCAGAAGTAAAGGTAAAATAAATTATTTTTGTTTTAAATTTTATTCGAAATGGAACTCGAAAGAAAAATACTAATTCTATAAGTACTTTTTTAATTAAATTGAAATCAAATGAATGAATTTGGCATTACATAGAGTTAAAACAAAATAATCGAGAGAGCGAGAGAGATTTTCTATGTTCATCTTCTCCCTTCTCTAACCAAATAAATTCGAACTTTCTTGCATACCATATTCCTCCAAGCAATTTAGGCACAGTGAAAAATCTGATTTTTTTGAGGTTATGTTTTTGAAAAAAAACTCCATTTTCCTATAGATGAACAAACTAAAGAAAAACTCCGAGATTGAGTGTATTTTTGTAAAGCTGTAGATTTTGCAATTTTGTGGAGGGCGAGGAAAAAAGACTCCAAAAAAATTTTAATTAAGGAAAATTATAAAATTTTTATTTTTTGAGGTTATGTTTTAAGTTGACCACAGTGGTTGGAAAAGCCAAAGAAAGGCTCCGAAATTTTCAAATTAACAAAAGTTGTGAAATCTTTATTAGTTGAGGTTATGTTTCACAAATTTTGACCCCAGAGGGCGAGGATAAAAAAGACATACGCGAAAAATGTAAATTAAAGAAAATTGTATTTTTTTTTTGAGGTTATGTTTGCCAAAATTTGACAAGTCATAGAAAATCTCCGCAATTTTTCACTTTGACGAAAGTTGTGAAATTTGTATTTTTTGAGGTTATGATGACCACCTTCTCCATTCTCCAAACATATCATCATATTCTAAGGAATTTAGGGACAGTGGTAAATCTCAATTTTTTCAGGTTATGTTATTTAAAGAAGCTCCAGTTTTCTATAGATGGATAAACTAAAGAAAAAACTCCGAGATTGAGTGTATTTTTGTAAAATTGTAGATTTTGCAATTTTTAGGTTTTTGGTTTTAAATTACAACTCCACAGAGGGAGAGTATAAGAAAGACTCCGAAAAATTGTAAATACGGAAAATCGTAAAAATTGTATTTTTTTAGGTTATGTTTGCCAAATGTTGACCACAGTGGAAAAAGCCAGAAAAACTCTCCTACAATTTTAAATAAGGGATTTTGGGAAATCTTTTTTTACATAGAGAGATTTTTTGAAGTTATATTTTCCAAAATATGTCCAATAAGCGAAAAAATATTTAGGAATGTGGAAAATTTTGAATTTTGAGGTTATGGTTCTGAGCTGTATTTGATATAATTCCTCGAATATCGTTGTTACGGAGTGCATATTATGGCTGTGGAGGACAAAAATAACAAACCGGATACTTGTTTCTAGACTCAATTTGGTCGTAAGTGCCAAATACCATCTCATTCGGGATAATATTACACGTTTGGTGCACAATAAAAGGCAAATCGGACGAAGTTATATATGGGAGCTATATCAAAATGTGACCTGATCTCGATCAAATTTAGCAAAGGTATTTCTGATCTGTATTTGATATAATTCCTCGAATATCGTTGTTACGGGGGGCATATTATGGCTGTGGAGGATCAAAATAACAAACCGGATGAACAATATATGTGGGAGCTATAGCTATATCAGAACCGATTTTCACCAAATTTGACATACTTGTTTCTAGACTCAATTTGATTGCAAGTGCCAAATACCATCTAATTCGGGATAATATTACACATTTGGTGCACAATAAAAGGCAAATCGGACGAAGATATGTATCTAAATTTTGACCGGTTTTCTCCAATTTAAATATAATTCTTCTTCGAGTCAAACAAATGTGCTTGTACAAATTTTCATCTGAATCGGACAATAAATGCATGGAGAGACAGACGGACGGATGGACCTGCGTAAATCGACTCAAAATTTGATACCATCCAGGTCATCAAAAGGAACTATGGCTATATCTCGCTTCCTTCTCCATGTTACAAACAAATACATAAAAGCATAATACCCTTACACCACCTATGTGGTGTAGGGTATAAAAATCGAAATTCACAATAGTGTCTGGTATGGGGATCAATTCTTGTTCTGTGAAAATCTGGAATAAAAACTTTTCCAATAATAGAGAAAATATTTTAAATTCCATATTTTCATGGAACAAGAATTCTAGTCTAGGGGCTGAAAGATTTTTTTCTTCATAACCTGGTGATACATTCGATTTTTCTTTCCCATATAAATGTTTACATTTCCCATGTTCATGGGACAAGAATTGAGGCCCTGGTCTCTCCAAAAACTTTCAAATTAAAAAAAAAAAATTGTGAATGTTGTATTGTTTGAGGTTATGTTTTGAAAAAATTGACAAAAGAGGAAGAAGTTAAAGAAAGGTTCCGATTTTTTTTTTAAATTAACGAATGTGGTGAAATTGCTATTTTCTGAGACTATGTTTCCCAAAAAGGGAAGGGGCTAATTAGAAACTGCGAAATATTTTAATTGAACGATATTGTGAAATTTTTATTTTTTGAGGTTATGTTTCCAATATGTGGACCACAGAGGGAAAAGCCAAAAAAGACCTCAAAAAACTACAACTAATTTTTACTTTTTTGGCGTTATGTAATGTAAGTCAAAAAGTTTTTCAATCTTAGTTTTTGAGGTTATGTTTCATAAAAGTTGACCACAGATGGTGAGGATGAAGAAAGACTTTGAAAAAATTTAAGTTAAAGGTTAATGAGGTGCTTTGTAAATATATGCAATTCTAGAATCCTGTCCTCTTTCTTTATTTTCAAACTTCTGGCTGGATTATTTTGACGAATTTTCATATTGTAGAATGGTTTGTTGTGAGGTTGTGGTGTGGTAGGGGGTAGAATTTTATTATTAAAAAATATTTATTTTTAATAATTAATTTAAAAAAAATAATAATAAAGTTGTAAACTTTCATTGATTTCATGTTTAGCAACGCATACACACATAAATATACATACATACATACATACATATCATGATATATTGTATGAGGCTATGAAATTATGTATATAAAAAACTCTGTTGTAATATTGATATTCTGAATTTAATTAATGATAATAATTAATTTTTTTCATTTTTGAAATCGAAAAACAAAAATGTTTGCAATGAAAGTAAAGTATAAGAAGATTATGTTATGTAAAAAAGAAAAACACAACAAGTTTTTGTTATATGTACGTACGCATATGCAGCATATAGAATTACATAATATTTAGAAGGAAAAAAATTATAATAATAAGTTACCTCTTTTTTTTTTCTCTCTCTCTTCCTTCTATATCATCTTAAAAAGAACGAAGAAAGAAAAGAAAATTCAAACGCAAAAGCCGCCGAAAGCGTTAGGGGGGTATACATTTTTTTACACCGCTTTCTTACGCGATCGATCTTCGGTTTCACCTCGCCACTCTGGATCATTTGGATCATCATCTTGAAATGGTTCCGTTTCTGTGGAATCACCATCACTGTCGCCGCCATGTTTACGCCGACTATTTGCAAAGACATAATCACCATCTTCGCCATCGCCATACATCATCATATCGTCGTTGTGAATGCCACCCGGATCATCACAGTCATCGGCCGTCAAATGATCATCATTTGTGGCCAAATGATGTTTGGGATAATCATCGTAGTCTTCATCATCCATATTATTGTTATCAGTGCAGTTGTTTTCGAGTGTCATCATGGCATTGACATCTTCGATGGAAGAAGTATTTTTTAAAGAACCCTTGGGTCGTCTTTCTCCCCCACACATTGTGGAGGAGCGTGAGGAACGTTTTGATGATGAGTTGCCCGCTGCAGTTGTAGGGCCACTACAGTAACGTGTTCGCATGCCAACACCAAGACCACCACCGCCGCCGCCGCCGGGAAAATAACAATCATCGAAACGTTTACTATCCTCATTGTGTTCGCTGGGCATAGCACTTTGTAGTTCCTCAAATTGTTCATCGGTAAGGGGAAATCTCATGGGTTCATAGGGTGGAATAAGCTATAAAATAGAAAAACCCAAAATAAAATAAGGTAAGCAATGATGTAGCTGAAATAGTCTCTATAAGGGAAATAATCTAACAGTGTCTTCCATGTGTAGAAGAAGTCCGTTCATATGTCTTCTACCGTGAACAGAAGAGTTCTAAAGGTTTAGCATTATACTGTGCAACAGCAAAAATAATTTCAGATTATGAAAGTAGAGCTAAAAATAGAAGACACGTGTATCGGCATTTTAGAAGTCTACAAAAAAACAAGTAAAATAGTATCAGTCGGTTTTGCCGACAGATTTATACCTCCAGCATGATTATTCAAATTGTCTACCCTTTAGGGGGGAGGTTCCGAAGCAGTTGACCAAATCGTATCTGACCTAAGACTGATAAAAATATTACAAGGTGCCGTACGTACTTCCTATACTTCATATGAGATATGTGCAAATTTTTGGACAATTTGGAAATATGCGTGAGGTAGCAGATAAAGCGGACCGAATTGTTCCATTTTCGTACTTCATCTAATACAGATCAAAAATATTCGTATGGGCAAAATTTGAAGGAAATCGAAAATTTATATCCAATTTTATGCGAAATTGTGACCCTTTGTGAGAAGCTGATATTCATCAACTTCACAACAGATCTTGCAAATATATTTGGTTGTATGACATTTTGTTTTTCAAAAATCTTGAACCCTATGTGGGAGGGGTACCAGATGGAATGATCCGATCTCTACCATCTTTATAACAAATCTTTTATTGATAGAAGTCTTGAGATGTACCTAGTCTGAATGGAATCGGATGTTAATTTCGTGTTTTACGAGCTTCATGAGCTTTGTGGGGGAGGTACAGAAGTAGTGGACCGATATATTCCATTTTCACACCAGACCTTGGATTAATAAAAATATTGAGATGTGTGTAATTTGAAGAAAATCGAATGCTTATTTCGGATTTTATAATCGTTTAGGTTATTCAAAACTTTCACCCTTTTGTGGGGGAGGTACCAGAAGGAATGTTCCGATCTCCACCATATTTATAACAAATCTTGTGTTGATGGAAATATTGAGATGTGCCAAGTTCAAATGGAATCGAATGTTAATTTCCCGTTTTATGAGCTTCATGAATATTCGAAATTTTGACCCCCTTTTGTGGGGGAGGTACCAGAAGGAGTGGTTCGATATATTCCATCTTCACAGCAGATCTTGTGTTAGTAGAAATAATGGAATGCGTGAAATATGAAGGGAAAATAAATGATGCTTATTTTGGATTTTATAATCGTTTTGGTTATTCAAAACGTTGACCCTTTTGTGAGGGAGTTATCAGAAGTAGTTGGCCGATATGTACCATCTTCACACCAGACCTTGGGTTAATAAAAATATTAAGATGTGTGCAATTTGAAGAAAATCTGACACTTACATAACCCTTTTTTAAGAGTTATAATTATTCAAAATTTTGACCCTTTGTGGAGAAGGTACTTGATGGAGTGGACCGGTATTGTCCATTTTCGCACCTGACTCAGCGCTGATGCAAATTTTAGGATTCGCAAAGTTGGAGCAAAATCGGACTATCCTTTCTCTTTCTGTGCAGTAAAATATTTTCTTTGAAGATGTTGACATTTTGTGTGGGAGGTACCAGAAGGAGTCGACCGATATTGCCCATCTCCGAACTCTTTCTAAGTTTGTCAATAATATTACGATGTACCAAGTTTAAATCAAATCGAGAGTTATCGTGCGCATGAGCCAGCCAGACAGACAGAAGGAGGGACGGAAATACCTCGATCGACTCGAAATGTCATGAAAAGGATTTGGTCCAAAGAGACCTAGGGTCTAAAAACCGTTATTTCGATGATGCACGTTTTGGCGGTATAAAAAAAACTTTATGGAGGGGGCAAGTTCCCTCCTCTTCCACATTTTGTGTCCAATTTTCCGATTAATATTCCTTGGAATCTATACATATTACAAAAACAATGTTCTACTGATTACTGCAGGTAGAATCTGCCATTGTGAGAAAGAAATTAAGACAGTCGAACATTCACTCTGCCATTCTCCAACTCTAATCAGTGCGAGAAACAGGCTCGTGGAAGACGAATAGTACACAATCTGTCTTCATTCTCTAACACAGAGTTATTCTACAACTAGTCAGAAGCTTCAAGTGGCTAACCACACGATGAACTTTTAGTCGTGGACGGCTATATCATCATCATATTATATCTCCCATATTTTCTCATTTTCTCCCTTCACTTTTTACAATTTAGGATGAACATTGTGGCCTGATCAGCAGGTCTCCAAGTGACCTAACCTAAACCTGTTATGTTCCTTGAAATTATCCCAATGCATAGCGATCTTAAATGTCACAAATTAAATACACCCTACCTCTTTGGAATCAGGTGTGGAACTGCGCCGCTCAAAATCACGCTTCGCCGATGTGGTACGCCTTCGTTCCTGGCGTTTACTACTGTGACTTGACATAAATCCAACACCCAAAAATGAGGCTAAAAATAAATTTTAAAAATATGTATTTAATTTAATTGAAATTCAAAAAAAAATTACTACGACTCACTTGAATTATCTCCCGCTTCTGAAATCGTATCCAATATATTCAAAGGCGTCGAGGGAGTTGAGGGAGATGGTATGCTCTAAAAAATACAAAATAATATTATTTCACAAAATCATTCGATAAGACTCCGTGAACCTACATCTTGATCGCCACCACCAACAATGGGTGTATGCGGAGCTGGTGAACTGGGATCTGGTGTATTTGCCCCACTCGATTCAGCCCGACTATCAATACGTCGATTGGCTCTTGATCGTGTACTCCAGGGGAATTTTAAGAATGTTTGGAATTTACGTCTTTCTTCAGTCAAGGCTCGTTCATGCCGCAAAATCATTGCTTCATCGGAAATATCTTCACAATATTCATCGTCTGGCCCAATTGCATCGACCACTATCCTCCTATCGTTGGTATCTACATTGTGTACTAGAGAGGCAGAGGCAGAGGACGTGCACGAGGAGGTTGATGGTGGTTGTATATGTTCATTTTTTATCACATTTGGTTCCATTTTCGGTTTCTTTTCAACTGGTTCCTCCACCATAGCAGGTTCACAGCTTCCATTGTTTAGAATAGTTTCTCCATTTTCCAAACACTTTGAGCCCTTATCGACACCAACAACAACAACATCCTTACTAGTAGTTGGACACATTGAAGTTTGTCGATGTGATGTTGCCTTATCGCTAATTTTGTGATCACTCCTGCTGCTGTCGCACAATGATGATGACGGGGGGGCCAGCATTTTTATTTCATCTCCGTTCGTAGGTTTAATTTCATTTTTAGTGAACGTATTGGGGGTGGTGTTATTGTTGTTGTTGTTGGAATTTCGATTATCGCCATCATCACTCAACACATCACCATTTGTTGTTACATTCCGATTCCCATTATTATCCGATGTTTCTACATTTGCGGTTTCATCGCTTGTTGTGGTTGTTGTATTTACAATACGCCATCTATAATCGAATAGCATAGCAGCAGTATATTAGCATGTAGTTTATACCGAATTTGAAATTTACTTACTTTGGCGTTGGAATTTCCTTATAGGGTAGTATCTCTACTCTGGTAGCTGCGGCAACACTATATGGAATCACAATATTATCAATATCGTACGATACCCGATTCTTACGATCAAATGATCTGTTCGCAAAAAAAAAAAAAATTCAATAAATTATTGCCATAAGTTTTGTAGACATTCAACTCCTGAATCTTACCTTTCATTTTTACTATGATAATTGCTGCTGGTGCTGCCACCACCATGCGTTGGAGAAGAGGTTCGACTACGGGCAGTTATTGCATCGACTCCACCCGCCGCACCCGACCAATCATAATTATGATGTGTAAAACCTGATTCGCCATTATATAGATGGTTGTTATGCTGATTGTAATGATGAGATGTTGCAGCTGTTGAGGCTGATGATAGTTTACGATGTTTGTTACTTTTGCTGCTGCTGCTGTTGCTGTTGTTGTTGGAGATCGATGATGAATGTGTTGGGTTGAGATTGTATGGATCGTAACTTGTCGGGTGATGACAATCGCTCGTTTGATGAATTGAATTCATCGCTGTGGCTGTTGTCACAGTTGCTGCCGCCGAACTGGTTGTTGACAATCGTAGAGGCGATGGTTGCTGATTGCTGGGATTCTTCAATATCACATCGCTCAGTATCTGGCAGGTTTGTTTTTTCCCACTTTTGGTCACCGATTCTATTGATTGGGCAGCAGACCAAAACAAAAAATGAAAAGGAATTGAAATAGGCAAAAGATACCATCATTTGTTTGAGACACAATCATTGTCCACCATCATCATCATCCAGCCAAGCAAAAGAAGCCAACATTGAGATGGGAAAAAGAGAGGATAAATGAAAAGAAAAGAAAAAAAGATGCAAAAAATTGTTTTTGTTTTATGTTAATATCAATTATCGAATTTTTCATGTTTACAATAATTTACTGTTGGCCACAAGTGGCGTTGTGGACGTTGTAGCCAATGTTGTTGGTTGGTCGTTGTTGACTGAACAACTCGACGCCGACGCCATTTGTGTGGCCCCAGCAGCAGCACCATCAGTTGACGTTGGCATTGTACCTCTTGCTTGTTGTTGTTGTTGTTGTTGTTGCGTGCCTTTATCGTCCCGATCTTTCTTCTTGACATAACGACGCTTGATTGGCGGTGCCCCACCATCGTTGAACTTTTTCCCAGCCACAGCCTCACGTTCAGCCTTCCACACACTCTTTGCTATGTGTTTTGCCTGACAGCGCATTACACGTTGTTGCCATTCCGGCTGCTTGGCAATGGCTTCAAAATGTAAGGCATTATTGACATCTGAAAAAGGAAAAGAAAAAAAACAGAGGATAATAGATTGAGTGGCTCTTCAATTTGACGAATTTGATTATATATTACTTTCTCGGAAACTAAGCACAGGATGATAACCAGCATCTAATAATGCTATCCGTTCAGACATCATCATGGTGTCGGGTAAATCTCTTGGCGCTGTTGGATCTGCTCGTCCCGTGCATAATGCACATGGATGTATTGGCCATTGGCAACCGCATTTGATTGTGCTAAAAACAAAAGATGGGAGGGGAGTTTAATGTAAGATTTTCATAACATGTGGCTTGTTCCCCTCGTATGCATTTCTCATTTATCTACAAAGAGTTAAACATACCTCGGTCTTGCTGCCTTTTTCGATATCGTATGCATGTTTGTGGTTTGTATCAGTTTTCGTTTGCGAAATTGGGCCGGATTGAAGCCACGTGTTCGACAAGAGGAACCTTCAAGGGCATCATCATCCAAGTCCTTGTCGTTACGATCAACCTTTAGACCATTGTCACGGGGACACGATATCACCGGCCCCTTGGCCTTGAGAATTTCCTGATATAGTTCACTGTGTTGGCGTATCTTGATTTCTAAATCGGCAATTTGAGATAGCAGCCACGACCAGCGTGAAGCAATGGCAGCACGATCACGTGAATAACGCCAGGCGGCACGTTTTGTTCTGGAACAAAAAAAGCAATTTAGGTTTAGAATTAGAATTAAAAAAATATGTAATTTCTTACATAGGCAGAGTTTGTTGTTGCTGATTATTGAAAACAACCATTTCATCGGCCGATTCACCACCCGAACTTGATTCTGTGGCATCCGAATCGATGGCTCTTTGTACTTCATACATTTCGGTTTGCAAAAGGCCCGTCACCTGGGTTAACTCGGTGGTTACATTCTCCTCCAATGTAGCCACAATTATATCCTCGGCATTACGGCCTTCAGCTGAGCTGTCCAGGGTGGTGGTATCATTTTTCAAACTGCTGCCGGTAGTTCCAGCAGCAGCTGCAGCAGCGTTTTGTTGAGCCTCCAGTAAAGCTTTTTTCGATTTTTTGGTTGGTGCTATGTGAAAGTTGTTGGGATTGATGTTATTGTTGTTGTTGTTGTTGCTGGCGTTGACAGGCGTCAGACAATGCTGTTGGGCATTGGCCACTGTTTCAATTTTCCGTAAAAGCGTTGAGATTTGTTTAGCAGGTACCAATTCTTCTTGTTCGCTTTTCCAATCTGAGGCAGGTGGTCGTGAGGCAATGACTTTTTGAAAATACTTGGTAATGTCTTGACTATTTGGATCACTGCCAATCGGATTCTCCACCACGTGATTGGCGTTCACACCTTTACTGCTCTGTCGGGCAGTCAATTCAAAAAGCCCCGCAATTTCTTCGCTAGTATGTTTACACATGTAACGAGCTTGCAGTTTCCTAAGACGTCGCATCAGGATATCTACTTTGCGTTGCATTTGCCTCTGACGTTCCTCAATGTCTTTTTGGGCCTCCTCTAGTTCTGTGGGCTTAACGGGTTGTATTGAGGGATTTTCTGTGGCCACACTGACGTGACTATGGCTAACATGGCTGTTGCTAATGCTGCTGCTGCTGCTGCTGCTAACTCCAGCCACTGCAACCTGACTATTGCCACCCGTCGTGCCGCCTATGTCACTTTCGTTCATTTTCATATAGGCTTCATTGAAGAGGACATTTAAATCGCAGACGTTTAAATCGGATGAGCCACCTCCCTCAAATCCTTTCAATACTTTGAACACCTCTTCGATATCTTGATCCTCCAATTCTGTGCCGGCTTCGGCTTCTTTTATAAAGGATTGTGGTATGTTGCCACTGCCAACTGTGTTGATTGAGGATGCCGTGCTTTGGGGAGTTAAACAATTTTGCTGGGGCAGCACCTGCTGCAGTTGCTGTTGTTGCTGCATTTGATGGTGGTGGTGAGCCTGCACTTGTTGTGCCACCGGGGTGGGTGGAGTATGCTGCAATTGTTGTTGTATATCCTGCATGTCCTTGGCTAGCGTCTGTTGATGTGTGGGAGTACGAGGAGGTGTAGTGGTGGCAGCAGCAGTATGCGTTGACTCCATAACAAGTTGAGCGGATTTAAAGACATCATCCTTGTCATCCTCAACATCATCATTATTTGGTGGTGGCGAATCAATTGCCGTGCCATCCAATTGGCTAAGGCGCTCTAGAAAATAAAAATAAACAGATCACTTTTACATTGCCTTGCTTGACAAAATATATGAATGGCTAACACCTACCTTCCAAATTATCTTCCACCTCTGAGGCTGTCATTGTTGAATCTGTATTTACGGGGGGCAATTCTTGAACGGATATAATTTCTGGTTTAGAATTTCCATCTTTCTTGCTTTCCTCATCGGATTCCAGGGGGGAATCAGGAGGATATGAATCCAAAACATCGCTGGATAAGTGACATTCATTGGTGTTTTTATTCGTTTCTTCTGTGACGACGACATCATTCGAATTTTTAACATCTTCTGGTGTTACATGATTGGTTTCTTTTATTTGGGAGCCCTCCTCCTCCTCCTCCTCATTTCCTTGCTGTACAGTTTGATATTTGTTGCCCTCCTCATCATTGGTATTGGTGGTGGTACTTGCATCTTCTTCACCACTACACTGCGTATCCATGTGCGCAGTGTCTAAGCTGTTGCTGGGAGGAGATGATGTCGAGATTGACTTTATAACAACAATGTCACGGTCTCGCTGCAGCGGAGATGAAGATCCTTCTGCCACTGCTTTAACCAAATTCACGTCCTTCAATTGTTTGCGCAAACAAATATCAGCTGTTATGGCCTCGTTTGTTAGATCGGCCAAAAGTTGGGCCGTTGACGTGGTATCTGCTTCCTTTGTTGCTGCTACTGCTGCTGCCTTTTGCACAGCGTCCGGATTCTGATGTTCCTCCTCCGCCGCGGCAATTAATTCAGTCGTTGCAGTATTTGTATTTTGATTGATTATCTGATTTTTGGTTTCCAACACGGCCGTGCTTAAGCCCATTTGCTCATTATTTACTGTATCGCCAGAGGTTGTGAGAATTGGGGGTTTGCTCTGTGTTATTATTGGCTGCTGGTGCTGCTGCTTGTCCTTACACTTGGGTGAAGAGGAGAGCAATCTTTGCTGCAAATCCCGGGAACGTGTCAAACGTATCGTTGATGTAGTTGGCACCTGGACAACTGGTATGCTATTGCTATTGTTGTTATTACAATTTCGCTTTTCACGTAATGTGGGCGATTGTTTGAGGGGTGTGATGGTGGTGTTGTTGTTGTTATTATTGTTATTATTTGTTATATAGTTCTCTGTGTCGATTTTCCTGCTAGCTCTTGCAGCTGTAGCTGGTGTTGCGGTTGCAGTTCCAGAACTCGTTAGTTTCTCCTTTGGACTTATTGGCTCTGTTAGAGCTGGCGCCATATTGCTAAAAGCTGCAGCATTTGGCTAGTAGTTCATGGTTGCTGATCGCGATGATCACGGCTTCTGCTTTGGTTTCTTTTTAAATCGATATTACTGTGTGGCAAAGAAATGTTGCCAGAGATCTGTTCCGATATCAATCCTATAGCATGTCTCTGGAATGAAAAAAAAAAGAAACGGTATTATTGAATATATTTACAATGAAAGAACCACATTGAATGGTATTACAAGAGTATATCGGTCGGTTACTCTATTTTGAATGAGGATTGTGGGCTTCAACGTTGTCATTACTACAACGCATTTGGAAAAGATGGACAAATGTCGGAATTGTGTTTCTATTGCGCCACTTCAAACAATTCTATTGCTCCTTTATGCAACTGAAATCATAAAAATGCAAAATGCTTGTGAACTGAATATATCGCAATATTCCATTCGGCAAATATTGAAAAATGAGCTCGGGGTAAAGCCATTGAAATTTCAAAAAATGCTACAACTTACACCGCAACAGAAACAGAAAGAAAATAGACTCAAGAGAGTTGCTTCGCTTGGCCGAAAGTGGTGGACTGCCGATTAGAAACCATTCGTTGTCCAGCAGTTTGTAAACAACAACAAAAAATGATACAAAGAGGTCAGCTAAAATGTGCACCCACGGTTGGCCACCAGAACTGAAGCGCCGGCCTTGGTGTGGGCCGCCATAACAGCCGATAGTCGCTCTCCGCTCGTATTAATCGACCGTGGCATCAGAATAATTGCCGAATATTATCGCGAAAATATTATAGAGGGCCGCAGACCTTGGACATTTTAACAGGACTCAGCACCATCGCATCGGACTATTGTGTCTGGAGTATTTTGGAAAGCAAGGTTGGCACTAAAAATACCAAAGAGTCGATCACCTCAAGCAAGCGCTTCGCCGGGAATGGGCCAAAATACCGCAGAGCAGCATTCGGGCAGCGTGTGACGGTTTCATTGGCCGTTTGAAGGCCATAATTCGTGTCAAAGGTGACCAATTCGAACAAATCTAAACTTATTCTAAAATTTGATGCTATTTCCAACATTTTTGCTTTCATTCAATAAAATTTAAAAAAAAATGTAAAAATTATGGCGTTTGACTTTGTTGCAGTTTTTTTATCTCACTCTGTATGTGGACCTGGATAGACAATTATCTGCCGTTGAACGTGGGACCTATTAGGAACTCCAAATACCAACTCTGGGAAAATTCCGTTGAAAATGTGTCGTAATTCTTCAAATATCGAATATCAGGAGAAACCGTTACTTGGGGTTCATACCACAATTGAAGCCCTACTCCCGAGAATCGTGTATTTGTGAAGCTCTCGAAGTCCTGTTCCCAACGATAAAATATATTTTCCTGAGGAAGTTCTTACTTTCAAAGATATGGGAATTGAACATTGACTTCTTTACGTGAGCGGGATTTTAACAACGGCTATGTTACAATATCTCCCTTTGGAAAATACACTTTCGTGACTGGAACTGAAGTATAGACATTGTACTTCAATGTATGGCCCCTTGAGGTCTTGATACCAACGATATAGTTTATTTTCCTTAAAAAGTCCTTATGTGGGCTTCCATATACCACTGCACAACAAAATCTTTTAAAAATGTACTTCTTTGCGTGGAGCGGAAAAAAATTAACAATCTCCCTTTGAAAAAGACGCCTTTGTAGTTGGTTGTGAAATGTCGACTTCTTTTGGAGAAAAACAGAACAGTATCAATGTAAAGGTCCGAATTGTCTTTTCATTTATAACTGATTCCTTCGCGAAATGACTTTCACACTAAATCAATATTCCATTTCATTTGCTAAATTTCGGGGAACCATCCAAATGGAAGTCCTTAACTATGACCTGATGAACAGTTCCATGTCCATTGAAATAAAGTTCTGACTTTTAGAGCGAAGAACCCTAGCACTGGCCAATGTAAAATTTCATGAGGATCGAAACATGACTGCGGCCTGTAGATGATTAAAATGTAACATGGACAGACAGATGGACGGACACAAATTGCTAGATCGGACGCAGCTCGTCATGAATTTGATGATTGAATGATCGGTGTAGAACATGGTCTAGGATATATTTCGAGAGTTTTTTTTGATCCATCTCCACAGATTGAAATATATAAAATATACAGCTATATTATTACCGGTTCTTTTTGCATTGAATGTATTACTATGCCAAATTATATAATTAAAAAATCAATGCTTTATTTCTAACATACATCAATTTTCCGATCAGCTTTTTATGCCACCAAAAAACATTTTGTTTTATTAATCATCATCGATTTAGGCTTAACTCTAGTTTAGTAAAAACTCTTCAATTTTTTCGAAAATTTTTTCAGTGGTAGGTATTTTAACCATGATCCCGGGAAACTATTTTTTTCTTGGGGGACGGACCTGGGACCCCAGATTTTTGACCCGAAAGTCCGGGTTCAAGACCCCGACTAGACCCGGATCCACTTAACCGATATAGACAATATGGGTATCGATTGAAAGCTTATGGAAATACCTATCCAACAAGTGGTCACATGAAGGGGTAAATTTGAATGGTTCGGAAGTTATAGTCAAATTATCGATTTTTTGGACCCGGATTTTTTATAAAACCCCCAAAAAGTCAAAAAAAGGTCCATTATGGGGGACAACAAAATTGATGCCAAATTATAGCTGACACTTCTACCTTTCCAAAAAGGTTCAATTTGTGCTAATACCTTTACTGAGTCCAGAGATATGGGTCTTTCCATCCGCATAACAATAAAAAAAGGTATATTTTGCGTAAGAATGAAATTCAAAAATCTTTGGTTCGCGTTAGCCGGTGTAGGACATACCCAAAGGAGAAAATCTCAAGCCCCGGCCGAAGGCCGGCTACTTACAAAAGGTATCCAATTTAGAAAACTTTGGTTCGCGTTAGCCGGTGTGGGACATACCCAGAGGAGTAAATCACAAGCCCCGGCCGAAGGCCGCCTATTTACAAAAAGTGTCAAATTTAGAAAACTTTGGTTCGCGTTAGCCCGTGTGGGACATACCCAGAGGAGAAAATCTCAAGCCCCGGCCGAAGGCCGGCTATATACAAAAAGTGTCAAACTTAGAAAACTTTGGTTCGCGTTAGCCGGTTTAGGACATACCCAGAGGAGAAAATCTCAAGCCCCGGCCGAAGGCCGGCTACTTACAAAAGGTATCCAATTTAGAAAACTTTGGTTCGCGTTAGCCGGTGTGGGACATACCCAGAGGAGAAAATCTCAAGCCCCGGCCGAAGGCCGGCTACTTACAAAAGGTATCCAATTTAGAAAACTTTGGTTCGCGTTAGCCAGTGTGGGACATACCCAGAGGAGAAAATCTCAAGCCCCGGCCAAAAGTCGGCTATTTACAAAAAGTGTCAAATTTAGAAAACTTTGGTTCGCGTTAGCCCGTGTGGGACATACCCAGAGGAGAAAATCTCAAGCCCCGGCCGAAGGCCGGCTACTTACAAAAAGTGCCAAATTTAGAAAACTTTTGTTATTCCGACGACTGCTACGCGAAACAAACACTTTTTTTTATTAAAAACATCATTTTAATGAACTGGTTAGAATCGGGTTATGCGGATGGAAAGACCCATATCTCTGGAACCGAAAAAGGTATTAGCACAAATTGTAGCATTTTGGAAAGGTAAGAATATCAGCTATAATTTGGAAACAATTTTGTTGACCCCCATAATGGGCCCTTTTTTGACTTTTTGGGGGTTTCATAAAAAATTCGGGTCCAAAAAATCGATAATTTGACTATAACTTCCGAACCATTCAAATTTACCCCTTCATGTGACCACTTGTTGGATAGGTATTTCCATAAGCTTTCAATCGATACCCATATTGTCTATATCGGTTAAGTGGATCCGGGTCCAGGCGGGGTCTTGATCCCGGACTTTCGGGTCAAAAATCTGGGGTCCCGGGTCCGTCCCCCAAGAAAAAAATAGTTTCACGGGATCAGCGTAAAAATACCTACCTCTGGAAAAAATTTCGAAAAAATCTAAGAGTTTTTACTAAACTAGAGTTGTTCCTCGATTTATTAATTTACCGGTTAATATTGCCAATAAACTTTACATTAAACTCAAGCCATTGCACGACACCATTGCACTTTGACATCACTTTTTGTTTTCCCACATTTCAATTTGGAAAGGCTTGCTGTCGTCCTCTCCGATGATCTTTGAATAACAACATAATTATTTGCAATAAGACTGCAAATGGATACACACATCCTTCAAATTGGACAAAAACATTTGTAAACTCTTCAAATTCTTGTGAAATTGAGGCGCACCGACAAACGACCGACACAAACAACACTATATAACAATAACAACAATGGGCGCAAAAGAACATAATAAACTACTATCCACAAACAACCATGTTTTTGTGGCATGATGGGAACGAAAATAAAAATGGTTGCAAAAACATTTCTGGCATTTCTTTAAAAATAAAGATCCAGGTTAACAATATTACACAAATAGCTGGCCAAATACTCACCTTTGTCTCCAGTTTCTTGCTTTCGTTTTTTAATTCACATCAAGAACTGAGAACAAAAAAAACACGAGTTTGCCAATTGTCTGTGTGAATTAATGCATGGCCAACATAGACGACACAGCGTTGATCAATTCACGTAGTAATCAGCCAGCCCCAACCAACAAAGATTAACAAGTAGAAGCGAACAAAAAAAAAACACTCGCTATGTATATAGGTTTATATACGTTTTCTTTATTTTAAGTAGACATATATTGGAGCTCGTTTCTTTCTCTGCTTCTTCCGCCTCCCTTTTTTTGTTACGCGCACAAATTTTCCTTTTTTTCAGTTTCAAATAAGGCTGGAATTTTATTTCAACACTGACCCAATGGATGAGCTCTAACAAAAATAAGCCACTTTAATTTTAAATTATTATACTCTTTATTTTGTTAAAACATATAATTATGTTTTGTTCTCTTATTTATATAATTTCATATAACATATTCTTTTTTCTTCAATATTAGAATTCAATTGAAAAAAACTGAAGAAATACTCGCGCGCGCCCTTCTCCACACAAACGCAACAACAATACGACGAAACGTTTTATTTGTTGTTGTATTGGTATTAAAGCAACAACAACAACAAGAACAGCAGCAGCATATCAAAGACAACGTTTACTACTCTTTTTCACAATTCTGAAATATTTACTGCTTCCTCTTGTTCTTAAGTAATTATTAACATGTCCCAGATTCAATCAAGAAAATGTTACAATTTGTATCTTGTTTAGTTTTGTTTTCGAGCACTGTTTAGTCAATTGCTTCAAACCAAATTAAACCACTAAAAAATTCCATTCTGGGATACACGTAATTTTTTTATTCGAAATCGTTTTCGGCTATTGCTGTTTTTTTTGTCTTTGATTGGTAAAGAATACGACGGCGACTACGACGAACGAGTATGCACGACGACAACGACCGTACCAAAAATATGGGGAACGAAAAACGTTTTCAACGTGAATCTTTTCTTTTTTCTTGCCGTAGCTAAACACTTTAAATTCACTTGGGTTTTCGTTTGCGATTGTTGTAATAAAATGCATGCACTATTTTACCGCTTTTATTCTGTAATTCCAAAACAATCACAATGAGCAACCGCAGTAAAAAATTTTATTTCTTTTATTTTTACGGGGAATATAATAAATCTGCGTCGAAGAAAAAACGACTGTACTAACTGGCTGCAGCGTACTAGTTTCGTATCATCGATACGAACGAATAAACACAACCAATTGGGAAAAAACCAACGAGTCATACTCCAGGGTTGTATATTTCGTATAATTGCGTGCAATAATGGCGTGTGGAATGATTGACTACTAATCGTTCAACTGTACACAATCACACTGTTTACACACATGACTATTTTGATTTAGCAAAAAAAAAAAAGTTTGCTGTAGTTGTAAAAATGTGAATTATAAACCTAAAGGAAAAATATGTCAAATAAAATATTTAATTTTTGGAAAATATTTTTCATTTCAAAATTTAATAGATCAATAACCCCTGGATTCTTGTTCTGTGAAAATGTGAAATGAAAACTTTCATAGAGAAAAGAAATGTCAAATGAAAAATATCTTAAAGGAAATACTTTTCATTTAATATTTTCATAGAACAAGAATCCAGCCCCAGTACCAGAACCTGCAATGCATTGTACATCCAAACTGTGTAATATTTAAGTTCTATTACAAAACGGGTTAATATTCCAAGCATGGTAGAATAATGCAGGTATTCGCATTGACGCAGCTGCTAAGACAATGAACTGTCAAACCAATTTTGAAATTGAACATTTTGAATGAAAAATTGTTTATATTTGTTAAAATTATTAAAAAAAAGTGCATATCATAAAAACATCCAATTGGTGTCGTATGAAAAAAAAATCTACTTATTTTTGAAAAAAAAAAAGATTTTAAAATTTTCGACATATCAATGTTCTCAAGCGTCCCGCCGTGTACGTTAAGCTGGGAATACATAAAGCGCTTATCTGGCTGGCTTAAGTCATCGGCTGGCTTCTTCGTAAATGAACAAAGGAGGTTTAGGTTGACTTACTTCGATTTTGGCCCTAGGCTCCTTTGTCCATTTCCGAAGAAGCTATCCGATGACTTAAGGCAGCCAGATAAGCGTATTTAGCGCATTTATTAAGCTGGGAATACATAATGCGCATATTTGGCTGGCTTAAGTCATCGGCTGGCTTCTTCGGAAATGAACAAAGGAGCCTAGGGCCAAAATCGAACTAGGTCAACCTAAAACTTCTTTGTTCATTTACGAAGAAGCCAGCCGATGACTTAAGCCAGCCAAATATGCGCTTTATGTATTTCCAGCTTGGGTAAAAAAGTTTTTTGTCAGAGAAGTTATATTTACAATAAATTCTGGGGAGAACATCCCAGACAAAAAACAAGGGAACTGATGAAGATTGGTGGCTCTTTCCGAAACCTAGGTATTACCTGCCTTACCCCCTGGTAAACATTACCATCGTTCTCCACCATTAAACAGACGTTGATTTTATAAAAACAACAATAAAGGGATTAAGACTGACCATTTTGCTACAACGATTCCTAGGAATTCTTGAATTTTAGGCCTGACCTGAAGACATTAGGCTGGAAATACATAAAGCGCATATTTGGCTGGCTTAAGTCATCGGCTGGCTTCTTCGTAGATGAACAATGGAGTTTTAGGTTGACCTAGTTCGATTTTGGCCCTAGGCTCCTTTGTTCATTTCCGAAGAAGCCAGCCGATGACTTAAGCCAGCCAAATAAACGCTTTATGTATTTCCAGCCTTAGGCATTATAAGCTCTACATTTTTCCATAATAGCACGTTTAGATACCGAATTATATCCTGATATAACCAAATTATCAGTATTTATTGCTTAATCCGCATTTATTTAACCAAATTGATCAAACAAACCCGTATATTTATTATAAATCCGGTGCGGAATCTACATACTAATCATTTTAGAAGTCTGCAAGTAGATGCATTAACGCTTGGGAACATTGATATGTCAAAAATTTTAAAATGTTTTTTAAAAAATAAGTAAATTTTTTATACGTTTTCTCATCGACACCAATAGGAGGTTGTTTGATATGCATTTTCAACAATTTTTACAGATTTGAATAATTTCTATGCCTTGCCACAGCTGTTGAACTAGTTCCCAAGCTCTCATTTAATGAATATGTTCAGCTGATTGCATTTTCCTCATATCACATTCGTAAAGAACAGTTCTTTTTACCTCCTCATTTCTTTCGTTGGGGACGTTTTTTATTTTGGTTTCACACGCAGATGGGCATGCACCCACCTCTTAACAAGGACATTAGTTGAATAGTATTATCAGGATATTGGATCATATATTGGAAAAACAGTGAGTAAAATCCCATTACTTGATTACTTTAATCATACTTGGTTGGTATGAGTCTTTTCCCAAGGATCGGTTCACAGGTGGGAAGCTTAAATCGATGAGCGCATAACTTTTACCATCTGTCTGTTGGAAGACCATAAACTTCAAACTTCGTCTATAGGAGGATAGCCCTCAGCTTTGTAAATTAAAAAAAACAATTAGACTGGTCTTTTGGTGTTCACACATTCAAATCATAAACTAATTCTCAAACACCCAATACGGAAACCACTACGAAAAAATTACTTTGCCGTTATAAGGTTTAAAACTGCTGCCAATTATAGAAATTTGAAAATGATACGACCATAGCCCCTAAACTCAACTTGCTCTACACGATTCTCTTCACAGGCAAGATGCAACCACGATGAATGGTGGGGGTGTTTTAAACCTGATAACGGTAAAGTAATTTTTTCGTGGGGAAGTACCCGGTTATTCGAAGCGGAAGTTTGAATATCCGGTTCAACAAAACCGATATGTACAATGTGGGTATCAATTGAAAGCCAGGCTGCGAAAACTACATGGCAAGACCTTAGAGCATTAATATTTCCATGATTGCTGTTAAGAATGCATGGATGCTATTTCTGCAGGATTTATATGGAATATCCATAAATAATATAACTAATGCTTTCTTCTTATTTATTTCTTTCAGCGACCGAAGTCCTGTAGGCCTAAAGATTTTTAGATTTTGAGATACTACATTGAGGAATAAGTTTCCCTTTGTGACACCTTTGTTTTTCGTTTATAATTTCGCACATTATGGCCCAGCGATTGTTTGCCATCGATTTTGAGGTCTTCGGAAAGGTTCAAGGTAAATAAATTGCCTTTGAGACACCTTTACCTTTTCCCAGCTACACATGTTATGAAATCCATAGGTGTTTTCTTTAGAAAATATACGGAAAAACAGGCCAAACAATTGAACTTGCGAGGTTGGTGTATGAACACAGCAGAGGGAACGGTTAAAGGACAATTGGAAGGACCACAAAATGAATTGAATGAAATGTAAGTATTTGCACTACAGTTTAATAGTGAGAAGATATTTTTATCAATTATTTCTTTTTAGGAAACATTGGCTCCAAAACAAAGGAAGTCCCAGTTCTCGCATAGATAAAGCTGAATTTTCGTCAATGAAACCAATAGATGAATATAGTTTTCAATCATTTGGAATTAAACGTTAATAGCAATTGAGAGGGTACAAAACCAAACAAAAAGAGGCTTATGATGTTACTACATAGATTTGAGATTTATAAAATAAATCAATGAAAGAACCCTGAAGATGCAGATGTGGAAATAAATTTTATTTGAAATATGACAAGGTCTTTAAAGAATGATTGCCATATTCGATTTAGCAAATGTTCTACCACTATTGCTTTGCCAAACATAAAAAATAGAGATTTTAAAGCCTTCATCTTAAGGAGACACTCTCGGTGCTGTTGATTCTTGTGTAGTCCTCGGATGACGTTTTATTTTAAGTCACTCTTTAAGGACCAAATCTCAGAATAAACGGCTGAAAAACGATGTAAAAATATTCACAATATCTGCTATATGGACTCTGTTTAAAACGACATCATACCCCAAAAAATTTCCTGCATTTCGATTCGACTGAAATTCAGGATGAAAGTCCTCTACCGGTATTATGGCAAAACAAGCCGCAAATTATACTATGAGACAATATTCAAGCGTTTTGTTCTACAAAATCTTGTACCCTATGGGCAGGTAGCAAAAGAAATGATCCGATCTCTACCATCTTTATAAGAGATCTTGTGTTGATGGAAATATTGAGATGTACCTAGTCTTGGATGGAATAGGATTTTAATTTTGCTTATTATGAGCTTCATGCATATTCATAATTTTCAGCCTTTGTGGGGGGAGGTACCAGAAGATGTGGACCGATATATCCCATCTTCACAACAGATCGTTTGTTAGTGGAAATATTGGGATATGTGAAATATAAAGAGAATCTGATGCTTATTTGGGATTTTATGAACGTTTGGGTTACTCTAAACTATGAGCCCTTGTGGCGAAGGTACCAGAATAAATGGTCCGATCTCTATCGTTTTTATAACAGATTCTGTGTTGATAGAAATATTCAGATATGCCAAGTCTAAATGGAATCGGATGTTAATTTCGCGTTGCATGAGCTTCAAGAATATTCAAAATGTTGACCCTTAGTGGGAGAGGTGACAGAAGGAGTGGACCGATATATTCCATTTTCACACCAGACCTTGGGTCAATTGAAATATTGTGATGTGTTTAATTTGAAGAGAACCTGATGCTTATTTCGGATTTTATGATCGTTTTGGTTATTCAAAAATTGAACCCTCTATGGGGGAGGTACCATAAGGATTGGTCCGATCTCTACTATCTTTATAACAAATCTGGTGTTGATGGAAATATTAAGATGTACCAAGTCCGAATGGAATCGGATGTTAATTTCGTGTTTTATGAGCTTTTTGAATATTCCAAATTTCGACCTTTTGTGGGAGAGGTGACAGAAGGAGTGGACCGATGTATTCCATCTTAGCACCAGACCTTGGGTTAATAAAATCATTGAGATGTGTGAAATTTGAAGACGATCGGACTCTTACATCACATTTTATAAGAGTTGTAAATATTCAAAATGTTGACCCTTTGTGGGGGAGGTACTTGATGTAGTGCACCGACATTGTCCATTTTCACACATGACCTAGCACTGATGCAAATATTAGGATATGCAAAGTTGCAGCATAATCGAATTATCCTTTCTCTTTCTGTGCAATAAATTATTTTCTTTGAAAATGTTGACATTTTGTGGGAGAGGTACGCGAAGGAGTGGACCGATATTGCCCATCTTCGAACTCGATCTAAGTTTGACAATAATATTACGACGTACCAAGTTTGGATCAAATCGGATACCCACTTCGAGAGTTTTCGGGAGCACCTGCTAGCCAGACAGACAGAGGGGCGAACATCGCTAGATTGACTCCAAATGTCCTGAAACAGATTTGGTCCAAAGAGACGTAGGGTCTAAAACAGCTTTTTTCGACTAGGCACGATATGACCTTATCAAATGATATATACCCTCTCTAGCCATATGGCTGAGGGTATAAAAAATTGTAATCGTATGATTGTATGTGATTTCCTTGGTAATGGTGCCATGGATTAAAAATAAAAAAAAAAAAACTTTTTAGATATTTATTATTGGAAATTTCCATTTTCCATTTTATTTAATTGTACATTGAGATTAGTTGTTATTATTGTTACAATATTATTACATAATATTTATGTAGTAGGTATATTTTGTAGATTTTGCAATAAAGTCAAATCAATTGAAATTTTCAAAATTCTAAATGTCCATTCAATTGTTACAATCAATCCGATGAAATGATAAACATATTTATTTAGCTATATTTAAATATTGTTTAGTATTAATAAAATAATATGCATGAAATAAAAAAAAAATACTATTCATATTTATTGCCAGCAATAACACAATTCCGCTGATTCTAAAACTAACTTTTATTGATTTTAGCCAGATTTTTGGCAGCCGTAAAAGTGTTGTGCATTAACATGGCAACGGTCATGGGTCCAACGCCACCGGGCACGGGAGTGATGTAACCAGCTACTTGTCGTACTTCTGCAAACAAAAAAAAAACGAAAGGAATTAAAGGGAGTGGATAAGTGGTTATGCGGGATAACTTGGAACTAATGGCCTGTATGACATATTGATCTGTCCCTGGAACCTGCAGAAATCTACTAGCTTTGCAATTTGGTTTTCGATATCATCGTTCGTAATAACATTTTTTTTATCTCTTGCAGTTCCGGAACAGATAACATGCCGTGAGTCATGTTTTTTTTTTCTTTTTTTTTTTTTTTTGGGTCATAAAACTATACACTCCTTACCTTCGAAGTCAACATCACCCACCAGCTTGGTTTTGCCCGTATTTGGATCGGTTATGCGTGTTATGCCCACATCAATGACACAAGCACCTGGCTTGACCATTTCTTTGGTAATCAAACCCGGCACTCCCGTAGCCGTTATAATAATATCGGCCATCGAACAATATTTGGCCAATTCTTTGGGCGGTGTAAACCGATGACATATGGTCACGGTAGCATCCATGGCACCGGTTTCATTGCGACCATCGGCATGCATTAGCATGGCAATGGGCATACTGACATTCTTCGAACGTCCCACAACGACGGCATTTTTTCCAAACGTATCGATGCCCGCACGTTTCAGCAGTTCGATGACACCCAATGGTGTGGCGGGAATCATTGATTTCATGTCCAAACACATGCGACCGACATTGAAAACGTTGAAACCGTCCACATCCTTCTCACACACAATTGCATTACACACCTTACGTTCATTCATGTGATCGGGCACGGGTAGCTGGACCAAAATACCATCGACGCTTTCATCCTTATTTAGTGTGTCGATTATATCCAGCAGTTCGTGTTCACTGGTTGTGGCCGGCAGACGTCTGGTTTCACTTGAAATACCCACATCTTGGGCGGCATTCATTTTCATGCGAACATATGTTTCACTGGCCTGATCATTGCCCACAAGAATCGCTGTTAGATGGGGTTCACGATGACCCGTCGCTTTAAAGGCTTCGACATCTTTGCGTAATTCGGCACGAATTTCAGCGGCTATCGCTTTGCCATCAATTATTTGGGCCATACTGAAACGGAAACAAAAATAATTAGAAAAATATCAAAATTAAACATGCACAGAAATTGGATCAAACACATCAGCTAAGTTTGGCCGGGTGGAACTTTTAATATCCTCCACCTTCCAAATGGAATTTGCAAAATGTACAACCCCAGCCTTGAGTTATGATTACTCAAACTGTTGACCCTTTAAGGTGGGGGGTGGTGGTGTGTTCCGAAGCAGTTGGCCAATATTGTCCAATTCGTATCTTACCTAAGACTGATATAAATATGCCAGATTTGGACTATTCCGACTACTTCCCATTTTTGATATGATGAGATATTGGCAAATTTTTGGATAATTTGGAAATATACCTGAGTTAAGAGATATAGCGGACCGAAGTATTCCATTTTTGTACTTCATCTAATAGAGAATTAGATAAAAATGGGTCTGTTCCAGAACGGCAAGAATGTACAACTTTTTACTACGACAACCCATTTTCCCTTTATGATATCGAAAAAAAGTTGCAAATATTGGTATGGGCAAAATTTGAAGGAATTCGAACTTCGATATTCAATTTTATGCGAAATCATAAATTTTGATAAACCACAAATTCATAACCGATTTCTGGTCAAGAGAAATATTTAGATGTAGCAAGTTCTAAAGAATCGACGACTTGTTTTGCAAAATATGAGAGAGTTATGACAGATATAAATATTGGAAATTGAGACCTATTGTGGGTGAGAGGTAACAGCAGGGGTTGGCAGACGTATATCATCTTCTCACCGAACTTTGGATTAATAAAAATATTGGGATGTGTGTAAATTGAAGAGAGCCTTATGCTTATTTCCGATTTTATGATCGTTTTGGTTACTCAATATTTTGACTCTTTGGGGGGGAGGTACCAGAAGGAATGGTCCAATCTCTACCATGTTTATAACAAATCTTGTGTTAATGGAAATATTGAGATGTGCCAAATCGGAATGGAATCGGATGTGTATTTCGCGTTTTAAGAGCTTCATAAATATTCAACATTTTGTACCTTTGTGGGGGAGATACCAGAAGGAATGGACCGATACATTCCATCTTCGCATCAGATCTAGTGTTAGTAAAAAAATGCGATGTGTGTATTTTGAAGAGAACCTGATGCTTATTTCGGATTTTATGATCGTTTTGGTTACTCAATATTTTGACTCTTTGGGGGGGAGGTACCAGAAGGAATGGTCCAATCTCTACCAAGTTTATAACAAATCTTGTGTTGATGAGGAACCAGAAGGAGTGGACCGATACATTCCATCTTCACACTAGACTTTGATCTAATAAAAATGTTGCCATGTGTGTAATTAGAAGAGAACCTGATGCTTATTTCGGATTTTATGATCGTTTTGTTTATTTAAAATTTTAACCCTTTGTGGGGGAGGTACCAGAAGGAGAGGACCGATATATTCTGTCTTCACATCAGATCTTGGTTTAATAAAAATATTGTGATGTGTAAAATTTGAAGAGAACCGGATGCTTATTTTAGGTTTTATGATCGTTTTTTTTTATTCAAAATTTTTATCCTTTGTGGGGGAGGTACCAGAAGGAATGGTCCGATCTCTACCATCTTTATAACAGATCTTGTGTTCATAGAAATATTGAGATGTGCCAAGTCTGAATAGAATCCGATGTTATTTTCGTGTTTTATGGGCTTCATGGCTACTCAAAATTTTGACCCTTTGTGGAGGAGGTACCAGAAGGAGTGGACCGATATATCCCATCTTCACACCAGACCTTGGTCTAATAAAAATATTGACATGTGTGTAATTTGAAGACAATCGGAGCCTTACAACAAATTTTATAAGACTTATAATTATTCAAAATTTTGACCTTTGTGAGTGAGGTATTTGATGTAGAGCATCGATATTGTTCATTTTCACACATGACCAAGCACTGATGCAAATTTTCGGATACGTAAAGTTGCAGCAGAATCGGATTATCCTTTTTCTTTCTGTGCAGAAAATATATTCTTTGAAATTTTCGATGTTTTGTGGGGGAGGTACCAGAAGAAGTGGACCGATGTATTCCATTTTAACACCAGATCTTGGGTTAATAAAATTATTGGGATGTGTGAAATATGAAGAGAACCGGATGCTTGTTTTGGATTTTATATGTCTTAGTTTTTCAAAATTTTGACCCCGTTTTTTTTTTTTTTTGGGGGGGGAGGGGGGGTAAGAGTCCGGAATATTAGGATTTGCAAAGTTGGAGCAAAATCGGATTATCATTTCTCTTTCCGTGCAGTAAATTTTCTTTCTTTGAAAATGTTGTGGGGGAGGTACCCGTAAGAGTGGACCGATATTGCCCATTTCCGAACTCGATCTACACTGGTGGCCAAAACTAAAGCAACTGAAATTACAAGGAGAATGAATGCCCTGTAACTTTTTAAAAAATTAAGAAAATGAGAAAGTTTTTCTTGTTTTAAATTAGGTACTTTATTCAGTTTTTAAAAACCTTAAACAAAAAACCAAAATTCATTTTTATACAAAAAATAATGTATGGTAAAGTCAATTAACCCGATTTTGGCTTGGACAAAACAAAAGCAACTCTGTTGTATATTCATATAACCACTGCAATTTCAGTTGTTTTTACCGTGATATTTATCGCTTTTTGCATCCTTCGACAATTTCGCTTGTCATAAATCCTTTTTGAGAAGTTTTTTACAACAGCATGTGTTTTTCTTTTTGTTTTTTAAGTACTGTCCAAAAAAATTTAAAAATGGCTAGAAGCAAATACAGTACCTGAATAAAACAGCAATTTATCAGTAACTATGAAAAGAACATATCACAGAATATGATTTGCGAGAAATATTTCATAAATATTTATGTGATTTCATAATTCTTTCTGTATACTAAGTCGGTTTTTTGAAACTGTATCAGTAGTAACAGTCTATAACGGATGAAGGCCGTGAAAAACTTCAGCCCGTACTGATCCACAAAAATTGTGAGAGAAGTAAAAAAACAACTATTTAAGAGTTCAACTGGATTGGTGAGAGAGCAATCATTGGATATAAGCTCGAGATCAGTGCGTAGACGAGTAGTGGCAGCTGGTCTGCATGCCCGTAAGACATCAAAAAAGACATTTACATCTGAAAAAATCAATAAGGCTTTCGGAAACGATAATATTAAGTGGAATCAAGCTTAATGGAAAAACATTAGTTGTGTTCCAGAACCTGCAAATTAGTACTAATTAGCACTAATTCTGCTACAACGCGTTCCCGTACTCCAAAAACTAGCAAAACTTGCAGCTCTCTCGAGAAAAAAATGGCGCTGAGTGGTGCACATTTCTGCTTGTTTTAGCTACATGAATTTGGCCGAGCAGAAATGTGCATATTGTAAATTTGACATTTAATTGGCAGGGCTAACAAGGTTGAAAAATGTATTGATACATTTCAATAAAGAAAATGATCAACTTGAAAACTAAAGGAAAAACTAATATTTGTCGTGCAAAAAACAAAAAGAGAAAATATGGAGCAACTGATGTATTCACTTTTGGATGATTCCAGCAGTGAAGAGGACTGGCTGAATGAGGAATCAGATTATTAATTATTATTATAAATTATTAATTTTAACTTATCGTCTTCAATACTCATTTTTTAAATGTTGGCGCTCTTTTCAGTAAGGTTTCACCAGTCCGATTTAGGCTGTTTACTTTTGGAATTTTGAATTTTGACATTTTATCGCATTTCTGCTAATTTTCCGTTCCCTTATTTTTTGAGCAAACCTAAATGAGAATGACATTTCGAACTGTTTTCTCTTCTGCTAGTTTTACTACTAAAAAAGTACTGGAACACAACTATTATTTCTGGGATGAGTCTACTTTTAATATTAAAGGCTCAGACGTGAAAAATTTTACAGTGAGAAGACCAAAAAATGAAGGACTCAAGCCGCAGTGTTGCAAAGGTACAGTGAAGCATGGGGGAGGGTCAAAAATGGCGTGGCACTGTTTTTCTTTCTATGGATTTGGGCCTATCCATGAAATAAATGAAGTTATGGATCGGTTTGTTTACAAAGATGTATTGGACATCACGTTGTTCCCTTACGCTGAGTAAAACATTCGGCTCATTTGAGTGTTTCAGCATGACAATGATCCCAAACTTGCATAAAAACTTGTCAAATATTGGTTGCGGGAGTCAAAAATTGATGTTTTGTCATGGCCGGCACAATCACTTGGCCTAAACTCCATAGAAAACCTTTGGAGTATCGTAGATAGGAAGATCAAGCGAGATTCGGAAACAAATAAGCACAACATTTTTTAAAGAATCGGGGTGCCTGGGTTAGCATACCACAGGATCAAATTGAGCGTGTTATAGATTCAATGCCTCGTAGTGCCTCGTAGTGTGCAGCTGCTATCAAAAATAATGGATCCTATCGACTACTAGCCAAAATTTAATTATTTTAAAATAAAAAATCAAAAAGTTGCTTTAGTTTTGACCAAGCAAAAATTGGGTCATTTTAGTTTTCGATATATTATTTTTCGTTCAAAATTATTTTTGTATTTTTATTTTTAGTTTCTTTAAAGTGAATTAAAGACCTCATTTAAAAGTGGAAAAATAATTACGATTTGTTTATTTTTGTAAACGATACAGGACATTTATTGTCTTTGCGATTTTAGTCGCTTTAGTTTTGGCCACCAGTGTATGTTTGACAATAATATTACGAGGTACCAAGTTTGAATCAAATAGGATATTCCCTTCGAGAGTTATCGTCCCCACCAGCCAGGCATACGGACAAATGGACGGACATCACTAGATCGACTCCAAATGTCCTGAAACGGATTTGGTCCAAAGAGACGTAGGATCTAAAACAGTTTGCTGGTCTGCGGCATCTTGCAACAAACTGTATGTAAACAGACGTTAACAATGTGATTTTGATAGGCATGTCTCATCGGGGTTATTACCATTAAAGTGGAATACGTCTACCCTCCGCCACCCCCATCATCAATAAAAATAAATATAAATATAGTATTTCCCATTTATTTTAATTATTTGTCATTCTCCTTTTTTTTTTGAAATAAAATTGTAATTACATACAGACATACCCGCGGGTGACACACACACACCACATGTATACATCACGTAGCAAGCAAGCGAGCAAAAAAGAAAAAATCGAACGTCGTCACACCACCACATGGCATATGTGATTCCCCACCATTTGCTCGAGATTTTAAGCTGAAAACCCACAACAATTGGCCTTGTTCAACGCTCTCTATCTCTCATTATTTGGTAAGTCCCCCATATATACTACTCTACACCATTGAGAGATCTGTGGGGCAAGTATGTGGTGGCTCATAGGTTGCTATGCACTTCCACATCACCCATGAGAGGTTGTTAAACTACAATTCCGAAAAAAAAGAAATAAAAATCTATTCTCACTACAAATGGAATGTTTGTATATGCGAGGCGTTTTAGCAGCAGAGCCAACTCATTGCAACACCAGCAGCATTTTGTTTTGTTCAATGTGTGGAATAAAAGGGAAATCCCCAATGTGGTTCCCCTTATACAGAAAAAAGAAACCAAATACAATTGTACATTCATATTTGACTTTTAACATTTGAGTTTAACAAAACAATAAAAGAAAATGATTAAAAATTGCTTTTCATGGAGAATGGGCATTAGACCTTTGCAGGAGATTCTGTTTGGAAACTTTGGAAGGATTATTTTAGATGGAAGCCACATGTTTTGAGGAACGAAAACATAACAGATGAGATAAAATTGATAAAAACCAGTAAAGAATGTATAAAAGTCAGGCGGGCCTTTTGCATATTTAGTAGAGCTTCATATAACAAATAAGAAATATAACAAACCGGATGAATGGTATATATGTACAGCTATAGCTATATCTGAACCGATTTTCACCAAATTTGACATACTGGTTTCTATGCCCAATTCGGTCATAAGTACTAAATTTCATCCCATTTGAGCTAATATTACAGGTTTGGTGCACAATAAAAGCGAAATCAGACGAAGATATATATTGGAGCTATATTTAAATCTTAACCGATCTCGAAAAAACTTGGCAAAGGTATTTCTGAGCTGTATTTGATAAATTTCCCCGAATATCGTAGCTATGGAGTACATATTATGGCTGTGGAGGACAAAAATAACAAATCGGATGAACAATATATATGGGAACTATAGCTATATCCGAACCGATTTTCACCAAATTTGACATACTTGTTTCTATGCCCAATTCGGTCATAAATACTAAATTCAATCCCATTTGGGCTAATATTACAGGTTTGGTGCACAATAAAAGGGAAATCGGACGAAGATATATATGGGAGCTATATTCAAATCTGAACCGATCTCGAAAAAACTTGGCAAAGGTATTTCGGAGCTGTATTTGATATATTTCCCCGAATATCGTAGCTATGGAGTGCACATTATGGCTGTGGAGGACAAAAATAACAAATCGGATGAACAATATATATGGGAACTATAGCTATATCTGAACCGATTTTCACCAAATTTGACATACTTGTTTCTATGCCCAATTCGGTCGTAATTGCCAAATTCCATTCCATTTGGGCTAATATTACAGGTTTGGTGCACAATAAAAGGGAAATCGGACGAAGATATATATGGGAGCTATATTCAAATCCGAACCGATCTCGATAAAACTTAGCAAAGGTATTTCTGAGCTGTATTTTATATATTTCCCCGAATATCGTAGCTATGGAGTGCACAATATGACTGTGGAGGACAAAAATAACAAATCGGATGAATAATATACATGTGAGCTATAGCTATATCTGAACCGATTTCGATGAAATTTAACATACTTGTTTCTATGCCCAATTCGGTCGTAATTGCCAAATTCCATTCCATTTGGGCTAATATGACAGGTTTAGTGTGCTCTAAAACGGAAATCGGACGAAGATATATATGGGAGCTATATTTAAATCTGAACCAATCTCGATAAAACTTGTCAAATGTATTTCTGAGCTGTATTTTATATATTTCCCCGAATATCGTAGCTATGGAGTGCACAATATGGCTGTGAAGGACAAAAATAACAAATCGGATGAAAAATATATATATAGGGGCTTTAGCTATATCTGAACCGATTTTCACCAAATTTGACATACTTGTTTCTAGGCTCAATTTGGTCTTAAGTGCCAAATTCCATCCCATTTGGGCTAATATTATAGGTTTGGTGCACAATAAAAAGGAAATCGGACGAAGATATATATGGGTGCTTTATCTAAATCTAAACCGATCTCGATAAAACTTGGCAAAGGTGTTTCTGAGCTGTATTTGATATATTTCCCCGAATATCGTAGCTTTGGAGTACATATTATGGCTGTGGAGGACAAAAATAACGAATCGGATGAACAATATATATGGGAACTATAGCTATATCTGAACCAAATTCCATCCCATTTGGGTTAATATTTTACAACAAAGTCAAACGCCATAATTTTTACATTTTTTTAAATGTTATTAAATGAAAGCAAAAAATTACGGAAGTAGCATCGAATTTTAGAATAAGTTTAGATTTTTCGAATCGGACACCTTTGGCACGAATTATGGTCTTCAAACGGCCAATGAAACCGTCACACGCTGCCCAAATGCTGCTCTGCGGCATTTTGGCCCATTTCCGGCGAAGGGCTTGAGGTGATCGACATTTTGGCATTTTTTTTTGTGCCATCCCTGCTTTCCAAAATACTCCAGACACAATAGTCCAACGGAAATGCGCTGGAAATGAAGCGAGGAACCTCATTTTGTAACCATTCTTGAGTGGCGCGTGCTGACTGCGATGGTGCTGAGTCCTATTGGAATGTCCAAGGTCTGAGGCCAAAATGTTTGCGTGCCCAAGGCTTTAATACACCCTCCATAATATTTTCGCAATATTCGGCATTTATTCTGAGGCCACAGTCAATTAATACGAGCGAAGAGCGACCATCGTCTGTCAGCTTTTATGGCGGCCCACACCATCACCATGGCTGGCGAACCGAAGGTGCACATTTTCAGCTGACCTCCTTGGCAAGAAAAAAAAACACGATCATTTTGTTTTGTTGTTGTTTACAAACTGCGGGACAACGAATATTTTCTCATCGGAGAAAACCAAATTCGGCCGTTCACCACTTTCGACCAAGCGAAGCAACTCTTTAGCTCTTTTGAGTCTATTTTCTTTCCGCTGCGGTGTAAGTTCTTGCACATTTTGGAATTTCAATGGCTTTACCCTGAGCTTATTTTTCAATATTTGCTGAATGGAATATTCAGCTCACGGGCCATTTTTCGGCCACTGCGACGCGGGTTTCTATCAAGTCGCTTCTTTACTTTTCGAGCCATTTCTGCTGATGTTGCTGATGTTTTCCAGCCGTCCACTTTCACTTCCTTGACGTCGGGCTACGCTACCACGGTATCACGGTAACGAGCGATGGTACGAGACACAAAAGATTTATTCACATTTAAATGCTGGAGCTGCTCTAACGATAGCCACTTGTGGGTTTCCAGCCAAATATAAAAAAATCACACAACCACGCTTGAATTCCATTACGAATAATTTTTTTTTTTCTAGAAAATTCTCACCAAAAAGCTTTTGTACGCTTGTTAACAATATAATGAGCTTTCACTGGGATAATTTTAACAGCTGTCGGACAAAAGTGACAGCAATCTGAAGTTGGTTGCAGTTTTTTCATCTCACCCTGTAAAGGCCTTCTACACACCAAAGCACCTCTCGAGAAATCTTTAACACTGAAAAGGGATAACGCATTAAGAAATTCACGATTATGAGTCCTTCAGGAAATATTCCGTAAAAATCCACGACTATGACTTTGTGAGTTGTTCTTCAGGAAATCTTAAATCCTGGATAGTCCTTCCGAAAATATTCTTTAAAAATCCACGTTCAGTGATCTGATGATCCTTCAGCTAAACTTCTTAAAAATTAAAGTTTGTTCAAGTCTTTTTTTTCAGTCTAATAGTCTTCGGAAAGTATCCTTAAAATACGCGTTTGTTGGTCATGGTTAATCCTTCAGAAGATATTACGGAAAAATCCACGTTTGGTGGACTCTATAATATATGCTTTAAAAATCCACGTTCATTGGTCTCAAAAAATAGGCCACATTAAAAATTCGATTTCGTAAAACCACCAACCAGAAGAAACTCCTAAAAGCTTCATTCCATGGACATCCCGAACCAAAAGATCTCACATTGCACATAAATGTATACACATATTTTCCTTTATTAATATGATGATGGATGATGATGTTAGAACTTAACAATACGGTAATTTTACATTTAATTTCTTAACGAATAAATAAAGGTAGGTAAAGGCCTAAGTATAACGTAAAAATAATAATCAATAAATCGCTTCGGAAATGATTACTTTTATAAACTTAAAAAGAACGATAATAGGTATTAAACAAAGTTAGATTTACTTCAATTATTTCTTTATTAAACCCAAAATGTTTGGGTCAATTTCTTGTAGGGTCTGGGCAAAGAGCTGAACATCAATACTTTCTATGTTGCGTTTAACATAGTTCAACATGAAATCAGCTTGATTGAGATAAAAATGTGGTATGGGCAATTTCTTTTTCCACAAATCGTTTGCCTTTAGGGCTTTACATAATTGCGAAAATGTGTTGGGGTTTTCCAAGGCCTCTTTTAGGTCTGATGAGCTAAATTGGCCAACAACATTCTCACCAGCATCATTCTCCTCGGGTTGTTCCACTTTTATTTGTACATCCATGGCACTTTCATCGTCTGGGGAAATGGTTGGCAGCGTAACCATTGGCATAGACTGATGCAGCGATGCACTATTGCTTTCCTCATCTTCGTCGTCGTTGTCGGTGGAGGAGTGGGATGAGGGCTCTTCTTCTTTTATCACCAGATTGGAGCAACTGTCCTCCATGTCACTGAAAGGCATTACCACGGTGGTATTGGCTGTGGCAGCCGGTTTTGTTGTTGGACACCGTGATTGTAATAGACTTAGAATTTCCGCTGCCTGTTTGTTGGATGTGGCTAGTTGACGGGCCAGATCTAGGGGGGTGTGACCGGCTGTATTACAGGCATGCAGTAAATATTCGCCCATGCTGTGATTTTCCAGCATTAATTTGACCAATTCTAAATTTTGTTGCTGTACTACGATGTGCAGCGCATTGTTGCCGTCTATAGAACTCGATACTAATGATAGGCTATCGTCATGTTGTATCAACTTGGAGGCGATTTCATAATTATTATCCCGTACGGCCAGATGTAGGAGCGTAAAACCATCATCATTGCGTAAATTTAATTTCAATTCGTTGTTCGTTTTCAAAAAGGTTTCCAAACATGAGGTGTGCTTTTCTCGCACAGCAATGTGCATGGCGGTATCGCCCTTTTTATCCTGTAAATTGGGATTACAGCCTAGATTCAGCAGCGGCCGAATGTAGTGGGGACGATTATACAAGCAGGCAGTATGCAAAACTGTTTGATTGTTGTTGTTTACAACGCTATTCAATAGATTTTGAAGTTGAAAACATTTCAAGATATGACACAGTTGTATGGCAAATTTGCTATTGTCATTCACCACCATTTCATGTAACAGAGATTCGCCGGCATTTAAATCTGAATAATCATTATATAGCTTGCTTATGTCCTCAGCAGCTTGTCTGCGTTCTGTGTCCGTGAAGGCGGAGCCTTTTGAACTAACAAATATTTTGACGATTTGTTGCATATAACTTTGGGCGGAATTATTCACCGGGATACTGTTGTTATGCTTCTGCTGGTCCTGTTGTTGCTTTTCTTTGGCTGTGTCCATTAGCTTTTTGCTTATCATTAATTTTTTATAATGTAATAACGATTTACTTCTTTCTGAAGAATTTGTGGCAGCACCATCCTTTTCCGTTTTACCTAAACCGCCGCCGCCGACACCTCCAATTACAGAATTGTCATCAACAGCCAACATTTTCAATAAATCATCACTATAGCCCGTACCTTCGAGGTATTTTTTACGCATGTTTTCGTCGTTCACCAAACGTTCGATTTCTTCGCTCAGAAATTTGTAAAAATTGCCCGATTGTTGCTGTTCTTGTATGGTCCTTGGTATTTCGCCCGAGCTAAGCGAGCCTGAGTTGCCACTGCTGCTACTACTGTCGCCACCAGACATAGAGGAACAGATGCGTCTCCTCTTACGTGATGTCACCGCATCACGCGGCTTGTAGCGAAACAATACCGGTGGTTCACTACGCTCATCATCCGTTGGTCTAACCAATTGTATAAACACCTCAACCGGTTTATCAATATCCTTATTTTCATATGGAGGCGTGCGACAAACAATGGCATATTGATGATGTACATCGGATTCGCGGAAACTTGCGTATGCCTCCCACACCAAATCGTCTTCGTTCATTTCGAAGAAACGAACTTTGATGTTTTTCTTATTCACCTTTTCCACCAACAGAATAAGGTCTTCGCCACCTGTTACACTGCCCGTGGCAATACTTAGGCGGGTGATTTTCAATTCACCTGTCTGGGCGGATTTACGATTATTAATGGTGTTCGAATAGACCGGGGCTGCAATGGGTATACACTTGTTGTTCTGGTCATAACCAAAGGCCTCGAAACATAAACGAACCTAAGCAGAGACCGAATAAGAAATGAATAAAATAACGTAATGAATTATCATTCTTAGTGGTTGATTAGTGTTATTTAATTTTACCTGATTCAAATTCATATCCTTGGCCTCCTTTTCCGTTTGTATACTCAACTCCTGTTGCTCCTTGGTGGTCAAATTATCCCGACCCAATTCGAATTGCAAACGTTTACGTTTCTTTTTCAAGAGTTCTTCAACAATGAACTTCTTTGCCGTATGAATAATTCCCATGTTTTTAAATTCCACGAAAAATCCCGTTTGCTGCGATACCTTCAATTCATGTGGATCACAGATGTCATGATCATCTTTTCGCACCACCAACTGATGGGAATGCGGGCTGTCGCGATTTGCCTGAAATAGACTGCAACGTATTATGGCTGGTTCCTTATAGTCGCACAACTCGATTTCGGGAAAGCTTTTCGTGGTACGCTGTGAGTTGGCACCGTTGAGAGAACCATGTGTTCCATGCATTTCCGATTTGTAACGAAAACGGAACTTTTCAACTGGTTGTTCCAATATGCGCAGCGTGGCGGGGTAATCACGTTTTACTGGCATATATGATGAGGATAATTGTGCCGATTGTGGCTGTTGTTGTTGGAAATTTGTGGTATTTGGAATAGTCCCCATCACATCATCAAGTATATAGTTACCAGACATGTTGCTGTTGTTATTGTAATTGCCATAACCTGCTTGATTTAGTGGAACATTCTGTAATTGAACATATTGCTGCTGCTGCTGTAGTAATTGTGGCGGAGACGATGAAGGCGGTGACGGTGAAAGATGCTGATAGCTGTTGGAGAATGTCAAATTAGAAAGCTCAGTTTGCAGGATTGTTGATGGTGAATGTGCTGGCGAGTTTCCCAAAGAACCTTGTGAACGTGCCGGCGATGCGTTTGTCGAATAACCACTGGTGCCAGACATTGACGATTCACTCATGTATCGTATCCTTTCATTAGTGTCCATATCGACAATATCCTTGCTACCAAAATAATGTGGCAACATGGCGTCGTTCTTTTTCTTCGTTCTCTTTAAATTTAAGTTGGCAATTTGTTTTGGTTCTTTCTTTTTAGTTTTCCAATTTTTCCGTTATTTTAATCCCCTGTAATGTGGGACTGGAAAATTTTCTTTGTATTTCTACGAGTTTTTTCTTAAATGCTGCGTAATTCACTGTTTACAATTTAACGTTTAATATTGCAATGGAATAAAACTCTCTCTGTCAATTATCATTGACTAACCAAACAGGGCCGCGGACTGTGTGTAAGTGAGTGTGTTATCTCTTGATTCATTCGTTGAAAAATAAAAATGGTTCTTCCCCGTCATGAACGTACAGGCACACACTAATCACACGAATTAAATGGCGTTTGTTGTTGAGAGAGGCACAGCCAGGGGAAGAGAGACATCAACTTGGCCCCGTCAAGCAACAACACCAACAACCAAATATGTGAAATATTAGTATTGGTGAGTCAACAAAACTTCCACGTAAATATTCAAATCTTCTTGGTGTGTTGTTTTTGCTGTTTTTGTTTATTGATGATGATATTTGTTCTTGTTGCTACACATATTTGTTTTTAATAACTTGTTTCACGACCCGCGACGACGTCAAATGCACGACCGATCTGTTTGAAAGTCTCAACATGAATAAAAGGTAACTGTTGGTTATTTGTTCTCGAAAGCACATATATTTTTTTCGCAAACTCCAAGATGTACAAACATCGTTGTTACGTCACAGAATTCGATGAATGCCAGTGTGTTGGTAGGTAATAAAAACACACAAATAAACAGAAAATCACATTTTTTTTCTTAAAAAAAAAACACATTCTTTCTTTTGCAAAAACTACGGGCTCTAAATGCTTAAGGGTGGTTCGCACTCAACCATCAAATGCAGAAAAAGCTTCATCATTATAAATTTACAAAACGGGGAAGTACGCGGGTCAAGTTTTTGTGTTATAAGTGTATTGTTTTGCCTTAATCACCACACAATGAAAAAGATACGACATAATACATTAAAAACTCTCAACATTATGAAATAAAAGATTTTTTTTGATATTGAAAAAAAAATAAACGCTCCAAATTGCTTGAACACAAAAACAACAAATATTAATTAATTCAAAAAAGTTGCATGACATCTAGTCATGTTTTATATTGATTTTACGGAACTGGTTATGTAACAAAGGTACCTTTTCCTTAGGTCAATGCGTTTCCATTTGGGAATACAAAAACACGAAAGAAATCTTAGGGCAAAATCGAATTAAAGATTCAAGGAAAATATTGCTTCATCCAAAAACAAAAAAAAAAAAAAAAAAACAAGCGTTATCTAGAATTCGACTTCGGCCGGTCAATGTATTTCACCACTCAAGTAAAACACATATATTTTTATGAATGTTATACAAATGTGTCGATCGTTGTTATATAGCGTTACCTAAAATTCGATATATTTAGGTAACGCTGTTACGATAAACAGTAAGTCGAATTAGTTGGGTTTTAGGCCGCTATCAAAATTGTTTTAAGTTTAATAAATTGTTAACATCTGCGAAAATAGGATTATATCAACAAACTACAAAACAAAAATTGTAAGAGTTTTCATTGTTTTTACCTAACAAGTAAAAATATTTAATGTTCTGCCAACGGAGCTGGAACCCATTATGAACTACAAATACCAATTTGAAAACAAATTCGTGGAAAAATGTGGCAAAAATCATTAATATACCGAATATCGGGAGGTACCGTTTTATGGGGGCTATACGAAGACTTGGACCTGTATACAAAAATGTTTGTCATAGGCTGTAGTACCCATTACGAACATCAAATTCGAAATTTTAAATAATTCCGGTAAATAATGTCGCTAAAATCATGAAAATACCGAATATCGGAATATCGGGGCTATACGAAGACGTTGTCCTGCACAGACAATTTTCTGTCTTGGGCTGTAGTATCCTTTACGAACTTCAAATATCAAATTTAAAACAATTCCGTTGAATAATGTCGTTAAAATCTTCAAAATACCGAATTTTGGGAGATGCCGTTATATGGGGGCTATACGAAGACTTGGACCTGTATACAAAAATGTTTGTCATAGGCTGTAGTACCCATTACGAACATCAAATACGAAATTTTAAATAATTCCGGTAAATAACGTCACTAAAATAGCCTTGACTTCAAGCTTCTTATGTATAGGTTTTTAAAAAAAACGTATCTGAAGCGATTTTTAAGTCGAAGCTGTTGGCATCCCTGATGTTGAAAATTTTGTGAGTGAGCTTTTTGAATAGGTATAAAATAGAAAGGTTCTTTACAAGGCCTATAAAAGGCCAACTAGTAATCTAATCTCTGAGTTTTTCGGTCAAAATACATAATTTTGATTTGAAATTTAATATAATAAGTTTATTGTCAAATTGTTATTACAAGTAGTCTTCTTGTCCAACCTTATATAGGCTTTGGTCCGTTTTTCTTTTTTGTTTGCTTTAAATGTTATGACAATAAACAATTTTGCGTAAAAATCGCTATAACTACTACCTTAAACAGCCAAAATCGTGCTACTATGGCGATTTCAAAAAAAAATCTCTATAATACTTAAACAGTGGTTTTTTGTGCGTCAAAAATCACCAAAAGTAGCGGGAAAACCACCAAATTGGCATCTCTGGTCAACATTTAGCACTCTCTCTCTCTCTGGCATGCGAAGCTTTCTCATATATACAAATGCCAGATAACACATGCTTGAACAACATTTTTCCAATAGGGTATACTAATAACACTAACAGCTGTTCAATAATTATTAAAATTATTAAAGAAATATTAATTGAAAGGCATTTTATAAAGATAAAATGTACAATAAATTGAATTAAATTGTATTTTTCAAATCACTAACATTTTTAAGTTATAACAATTCATTGTTCGTTCGAACAATTTCTCGTTTAGTTTACCCTATTTCTTTTTGCCTCATTCCGATAAAATTATGCTGCTAAACACATAGTTTAGTTTTTTATACTGGTTTCAGGTACACACATGTAATGTCTCAGTGTTTCTTTCACATGTTTACAAACCTGAAATTATGTTTGTGGGCATAGAATTGTTGTTGCTGCTGCCGCTGCTGCTGCATTAGAACACATTTTACAATACATTTGTAATTTTGGGTTCTTAGAACCCAACGAACGCCCAATAACATTTTTAATCGAAATTACAAAACAAACCGGACACCTTTATTTTCTAATAAACACTGAAGAAGAGAGTTTCCACCAACCACCCAGTCGCAGACAGTGTGGTGCAACAACAACAACAACGTCAATGAAACGAGCCAGACGGACAACAACAACAAACAGAGCTGTCACGTTCTATTCTTCTTCATTCACCGTTTGGATATCAGCAGACATTAAAAGCAGATTGTATTTGAATTTGAATACAATGACATTTAATTTTTTTTCTTTGAATGTAAACACAGGATAACTGATTTGAAAACGCCGAATTTAGAAATTAAAAATTAAATAATTGTAAAAAAAAAATTTTAATAGTTACCCTCTTGCAAAATATCAATTATTTAACACAATTCACAACTTTTGTCACACAACGTGGTTTGTTCTTTAAAAATAACTCTGCGCGCTTCGAGCTGTCTTCAATTCAAGAATTCTGATTTGAATGAGAGCAGCGATCTGCTATATTTTCCATTTATCCAATTTTATTTTTCTTTTTGTTTACTACTTCTACACATGTCCCCCACATACACGCACACACGCAAGATCATTGCCAATGGCGTAGCTAAGTTTTCTTGGTTCTTTTATTTACGTTTGTTACTTTTGTGTGTGTGTGTGTGTCCACAAAACGAAATTTGGGTAGGGTACAACGTGAATAGATGGAATTTAGGTACAACCCCTAATTTCAGCAAGTTCAGCCATAGATTAAATGATCGTACATTTCATTGTCATTGTCGAGTGTGTACAAAATATTGTTCTTTGCCTGTGGTGGGATTCTCAAACTGTTTTGCCTGTACAACGTGTATTTGACATTATTTGAAATGAGACTAAAGGGTGAGGCAACGTCAAATGCCATAATTTTTACATTTTTTTTTTAATTTTATTGAATGAAAGCCAAAAAACATCGAAAACATATAATTTTAGCATAGGTTTAGATTTGGTCTGCGAATTGATCACCTTTGGCACGAATTGTGGCCTTCAAACGGCAAATGAAACCCTCACCCGCTATCTGCGTGTTGCTCTGCGGTATTTTGGCCCATTCTCGGCGTAGCGCTTGCTTGAGGTGATCGACACTTTGGTATTTTTTTTAGTACCAACCATGGTACAATGAAGAGAAGGTAGGTCAACTTTGAAAAAATTTCAAGTATAGAGGTCTACCTGTTTGGCTTGTAATGTCAGAATTGCTATCAAAACAATAAAAAAGCAAACAACTTGTTGCATTGATTTTGAATAAATAATTTAAAACCGCGAAAACTGAATGAATGGTCAAAATTTCTTTTCAATATCATGTTCTATATATCTCTTATGGTTTATTTCGCGACAAAAACTGTAGATTTTGTCGATGCATTCGTTGCAATAAGCATTTTGAAAACACCCGAATTTGAATATTTTCTGAACAATTTTTTATTATTGAAAAGAAGACACACACATAAGCAAATGAAGTTGACATATTAAGCCAGAAAAATAAAAAAATTTAAATCATATGGTAGTTCTGCCCTACCTTGAATTCATTGTACCATGGTACCAACCTTGCTTTCCAAAATACTCCAGACACAATAGTCCAACGGAGTGGTATCCGGAGATTTTGGTGGCCATTGTGTGCTGGAAACGAAGTGAGGAACCTCATTTTGTAACCATTCTTGGGTGGTGCGTGCTGAGTGCGATGGGTGGCGCGTGCTGAGTGAGAATACAGGTAGTTACATCAACGCTTGGGAACATTGATATGTCAAAAAATTGTATTTTTAAATAAGTAGATTTGTATATGTTTTCCTATACGACGCCAAACGGATGTTTTTGTGATGTGCATTTTTTAAAAAATTCTACAAATTTCAATAATTTTTCATTCAACATTTTCAATTCCAAAATCGGTTTGACAGTTTATTGTTCCAGCAGCTGTGACGATGCGACTACCTGCATTCTTTTACCATGCGTCCAATAATATCCACTGGATTTATGAATACGATTTACGTGACGTATACGCTTTGACAATTGACGTTTAAAATCGAGTGGATTTAGGAAACAACAAAAGCGTTTGATGTAAATGCGCTATTAATGTATGAATGCAATTGTTGATGTTTTGTTATAAATAATTTGTTTTTGTAAACATATGTTTTTATAAAAAAGTGTAATATGCATAACTATATATAGAACAAATAAACACGTGCATTAGTCTTTGACAGCATGTTATGACAATCACATTCTACAATCCTTTATATTCTCGAATATGTCATTGTACCGCTATGGATGTACGTCACTTTTAATCAGACATTTGTTATTGACTGCATTACGGTATTTCGCATTACAGCATAATTTCTTAGCTATGCATGCAAAAACAAAATTTCTGCCGGCGACCTTCCGATACCCCCTTTTTTGTATAATATTTCTTATCAATGTAAACAAAATGATGAAATCTTTATCAGCCTGCAGGAATGTGCATTTGATTATTTACGTAGCTCACTGTTGTTGTCCGAATGCAAGAAAGAAAAAAAAAACACAATATTTTGTTGCCGAATGGAATTAAAAACAAAAAAACATGATTGATAAGCTTTTTTCTTTTTACAACAAAATCACAATAATAACAAGGCTTGACATGTGCATTTGCCTTTGTAAACAGACCCCCAGTCAAGTCTTATATTTCACTTAGAAACAATGGTTACAAAAAAAAAATAAAAAAAAAAAAGGAAAACAGCATCTATTGACGTTGTTCGTTGCCATAGTCTGGGGGCATTCTTAACCGCATTGCATCGGAAAAGTGTTCATTCCCAAGTATTCCAATAAACAATAACATGTTTACGTTCAATTATATTTCAAAAAAATAAATAACTTTATTTATTTAAGCATCCTCTTGTCGAATTATTGATAAGTTAATGGAAATGAAATTCTCGTAATTAAAATGGAAATAAAAAATGTGGAATTTTTTCCGAATCATTTATATTTTATATAATTTGTTCGAAATTTTAAAATTATATCAGTTAACAAAAAAAATAGCTACCAAAATTAAATTCACATTTCTAAAAGTAAGGGTGGGAATACATAAAGCGCATATTGGACTGGCTTAAGTCATCGTAGAAGAACAAAGGAGCCTAGGGCCAAAATCGAACTAAGTCAACCTAAAACTCCTTTGTTCATCTACGAAGAAGCCAGCCGATGAGTTAAGCCAGCCAAATATACGCTTTATGTATTTCCACCCTAAGAGTGGCAGGCTTAAAGATGGGAATACATAAAGCGCTTATTTGGCTGGCTCAAAGGTGGGAATACATAAAGCGCATATTTGACTGGCTTAAGTCGTCGGAAAAAAATTATTCGAATTTGTAAAAATGGTTGAAAAATGGGCATCATAACAACTTCCGATGTTTGTCGTTTAAAAAAAAACTAATAAAAATCTAATTATTTTTGAAAAAAAAAAATTAATGTTTACATTTCAATGTTCCCAAGCATCGGATCATCTACCTGTATTCTTCTACCATGGATTTTTAACTCAATGAAAACTTAAAACATTTGACAATTAACTGTCAAACCAATTTTGGAATTGAAAATTTTGAATGAAAAAATATTTAAATTTGAAAGAATTGTTGAAAAACGCGTATTATAATAACCTCCGAATGACGTCGTATAGGAAAACATTTAAAAATCTACTTATATTTGAAAAAAACATTTAAATTTTTTGACATCTCAATGTTCCCAAGCGGCGGAGCATCTACCTGCATTCTTCTACTATGCTTGGGAACATTGATATGCCAAAAAATTAATGTTTTTTTCAAAAATAAATAGATTTTTATGTGTTTTCTTATACGACGCTTACCGGAGGTTGTTATGATAAGTATTTTTCAACGATTTTTATAAATTTCGATAATTTTCCGTTCCAAATTTCAAAATTGTTTTGACAGTTCATTGTCCCAGCAGCTGCATCCATGCGACCACCTGTATTCTTCTACCTCAAAATTGACAGTTCACTTCACTAGATTTGTACTATGTAAATATACTATAAGTTTTCATAAAAGGCCATGATAAAATAATGCAGATAAACATCTGTGATAAAATAATGAATTGAAATGTATTTAAATTTGTTGAAAAAACATGTCTTAAAAAGGAAGGTAATCTACCTAAAAATCTATTTATTTTTACAGAAATATATTGATGTCTTTGACATATAAATGTTCACAAGAGGTGATGCATCTGCACCAACTTTCAAACTCTATATACATTTTTTTTTTTGAAAATTTATCAACTTATCGTAACAATATTGCTACTAAAAATTGGTTTTTCTATGATAAAATTAAGAAGGTAAAGTAATTTCAAATAAGCATATCCATCTCTGCATTTGCTGTAATTTACCTTGTCAAATTTCACTGCAAACAAAAGAGGTTCCCATATCTGATGTGTGTGGGTATACAATGGATTTGTAAATATAAATTTTTGGACAATGAGATGCTGTCAAATGAATAATTTTGAAAAAAAAAAAAATTGTAAACACATGATTACATGACTTTACCTTCTTAATTCTACCATGGATTTTTTTCCTTCATGATATCAGAAAAATAGTTCTGATTTGCAAGTTTTGAAACACTCAAATAATTTTTTTGAATTTTTTTAATCATTGTCAAATGAATAATTTTGAGAAAAAATTGTAAACACATGGTTCCATGACTTTACCTTCTTAATTCTATCATGGATTTTTTTCCTTCATGATATCAAAAAATAGTACTGATTTGCAAGTTTTGAAACACTCAAATAATTTTTTTAATTTTTTTTTAACACTTGGGAAATGATCATTAATAAAAGTCACTCAATTATGTTGTTGTAATTAATAATAATTTTTAGAGGATTTTAATCCTTTTAAAATTTTATTTATTATCACGTATTTTTTTAATTTCAGTCACATCCTTTCAAGTATTTTGTATTCAACAACTCTCATTTGAAATTGGAAAAATCGTAAAAATTGGATTTTTTATCAATATACACCAAAACAAGATAATTTCCAAAAAAAACTTACCTTGTAATGTAACGCATCTTGAATAAATATGTATCTTTCCTTTTTTTATATAGTATAAGTTTTAAAAATTATTAACGAACTCAAATATATTCCTTTTTTCTTTGCACAGAAATTGTGAAAATTTAAATTTAATTGACTAGTATAACTGGTAATCACTTTGTACTGTTTGTTTTTTAAATGTTTTCCTTTTAAACGTCGAAATCGTAACTTAGCTTGGCTTTTATATCAATTGCAGTAATTTCGAAAATCTCTGTTGTATCTCTTGCAGCCGTGTTGTGATTATTCGTGACGTGTTTATTAAGCTCTGTCTGTCGCTTTCGCTGTGTACGTAAACAATTAGGTGAAGTGGCACATTGATTTAGATGATAGGAATTGCCGGTGAAAAGATAATATATATATTCAAGGGGTCAGATTACGCAGCAAAATTGTGGAATAAAGCTAGAGTTTGCCTGACGTTTACACCAGACAAATTGTGTCTCCGTCAACTAGGATTTATAATTCATTTTAAAGGGAAAATATTGAGATAGGAAAGTAAAGTGGAGAGTAAAAAGGCTTAACCAGATGTTTTTAGTTAGCAGTTAAATATGACTCATGGTAGAAGAATATGGGTAGATGCATCGACACAGCTGCTGGGACAATGAACTGTCAAACCAATTTTGGAATTGAAAATGTTGAATGAAAAATTATTTAAATATGTAAAAATTGTTGAAAGAAAAATTCTTTGACATATCAATGTTCCCATGCGTTGATGCCTCTACCTGTATTTTTCTACCATGATATGACTTAAGCTCGACGAAAAAGTGTTTTATGTATTCTTCCCCCTTTAGACCGGCCTAAGGCCCAAATCGAACTAAGTTAACCTAAAACTACTTTGTTCATCTACGAAGAAGCCAATCGATGACTTAAGTCAGCCAAATAAGTGCTTTATGTATTCCCACCCTTAAGCTGCAAGTACATAAGAAGCTTGAAGTCATGGCTAGGCCTATTTTGTAACATTTCATAAAGGAAGTGTAGAGCCGCACTAAAATCCTGCCGTCATTATCCATTATAACTTGACATTAATATGCCTAGCCTTGACTTCAAGCCTTTTATGTACTTGCACCCTTAGACATTTCCATCTGTCCGTCTGTTGTAATCATGCTCGAGTCAAAACGAATAAAGATAGGAAGCTAACATTTTGCACAGATTAGTCTTTTGTCTACAGGCAGGTCAAGTTCGAAGATGGCCTATATCGGTCCTCGATATCGTATAACCCCCCATATAATGGTACCCCCGACATTCGGTAGTTTGATGATTGTAGCCAATTTTTTCAATGAAATTGTCTGAAAGTCCCCAAAAGGAGTTTCTTCTGAGTACTTTACCCCCTGGAAAATAAATGTCTGTATAGGTCCTCGATATCGTATAGCTCGCATACAACGGTACCCCCCGTTACGATTTGATGGGACATTACGATTTCAGGACATTATACACCGAAGTTGTTTCAAATTTCGTATTTAGAGTTCGTAATGCGAACTACAATCTATGACAAGAAATTTGTCTACACAGGTCTAGGTCTTCGTATAGGTCACTTATATCCGTACCTCCCTATATTGGGTATTTTGGCGATTTTAGGTACAATATTCACGGAAATTGTTTGAAATTTCGTATTTGAAGTTCGCAACAGGTACTACAGCCTGTGACAGAAAGTTGTCTATGCAGGTCTAGTTCTTCGTATAGCCCCAATATAGCAGTATCTCCCTATATTCGGTATTTCGATGATTTTAGCTACGTTATTCACCGGATTTTTTCAAGTTTCGTATTTGAATATTGCAAGGGCTTATGACAAAAGTTGCCTATGCAGGTCAACTTCTTCGTATAGATCCCAATATAACGGCTATATTCGGTATTTTTAAGATTTTAACAAAATTTTTAACGGATTATATTTTTTATTATTATATTTTTTCAAATGGTGGAGGGTATTCAAAGTTCGGCCCGGCCGAACTTACTGATTTTTTAATTGTAAAATGTATTAGATGTATTAGTTAGTAAGGTTTCCTAACATAACTTGTATTACTCTGCGAACGCTTTGAAAATTTGACTTTTTTCCTACATTTCCCCTTCTATTATTTTCTGATTGAGCTGTTTTCCCAATGTGTTTTTAAAATTTAATTCATTTATTAGTTCTGTTTACAAAAATATGGGATTTCTCGAAATCCCCAGAACAATGCGCATTTTTTGTCATCCAAATCAAAATTGCGTTCCCATTAAAGTACCACTCTACTTGTTAGAGTCGAGTGTGAACCCTCCTTTATTGACATTTTACACAGAAAAGTGACAGAATTTTCTGGAGTGGCTCGCTTTTCAATTTGGTTGAACACAGGATAACAAAACACAACATTTGTGTTCTTGTCAGTGACACTGACATTTGAGATTTTGCACAGCACCGAGAGAAAAAGGATCATTTTCCTGTACTTCACGTCAGTCATTCAAGTGTTTTTGATATAGAAGTTTTTATTGAAGCTACAAAATAGATAAAACAGAAGAATGCAGTAAGTTGTCTCGTGCGTAGAATGTAAACAAAAATTGGTGTATGAAATATTTGTTTTTTTTCTACCAATTGTAGAAGGCCGGTAACAGCAGCGGCTGGTTATCTACCACAGCATCCTCTTCATCATCCACAGCCACAACAACAGCAGGAGACACATCAAATGTTCTTGCCAAATGTGATGTTGCAACAAACAGTATCGCAACCGCAGCCAGTAGCGGCAAATATGCCGACACCAACAACAAATTGGAGTATGGAATCAATGCCATGGAAAATACAGAAAGCCGATCACACCGGAGATGTAATGGAATTTACAGCACATGGACCGCACAATAATAGCATACATCGTGCTATATTGCATCAGAAACGGAAATCGGAACCAATACCATCACCGTTGTAGGTATTCGTGTGTGAAAATGATTCCCTCAAGGCTTTTGAAGCCCTGCATAGCTTTCAAGTAGATTTTTGTAAAGAAGAAACCCTTTGTTTTTGCCCCAGATACTGCCTTGGGAATTTTTATAACTCATTTCTTTTCTTTGTTCCAGTCCCGTTAAACAATTCATATCGGAAGAGAAGATAACAGCCCATTTCAATGGCCTACACATATCCAGTGATTATATACAACACGATACCGGCGGAGCCATAAGCGGCATTAACCTCAACGAAACGGCAACAACAAGTGGCAAATGTTTTTCAAATCTTACCTATGAAGATTACCAAATGACTGCCAAAGAATTGGAAAAGAAGTTATTGAATGCAAATCGCATTACAATTTGTGAAGAATTGAAGAAAATCAATGAACAACCAGCACAGCACAGTGTTTCGTGTTTGCCCGAGGCTCTGTTACATCGTTTGAATAAGCCCTGTACTGCTCTGGTATTGTGGCAGCCCCCACCGCCCATCATAAATATGCTCAAACAGAACACTACAAACAACGAGGAAATAGAAGAAGCTCAACGTTTGCACAGGCAGTCGATTGACGAAGATGGAATACCCGATGTAGACTTACCACCCGAACCGGAAGATGATGACGATATAGATGACTATGTGGACAACAATAATACATGTAGTTTGGATTTTAACCACATTAAACCCGATAGCATGGATGAGGATATGTAGTTATTGCTATTTGTTTTTGAATCCATCGTTTTTTTTTTTATATTGCGATAATATTTGTAAAATATTTGTTTAGTATTAGGATTTTAATATTGTTTTGAACTTTATGCGACTGCGACCCATTTGTTTTTCTACAACACTATTATGCATTACAAACACGAAAATATCGAATCATTTTTAGGTTTTTTTTTATATATATAAATATTTGAAATAATTATGAAAATGTGATTTTAGCTGATGCAGATATAATTTGTATCGCCGATAACGACGACGAGTGAAGATGATCGATGGTAGCGATAACCCCATACTCCTTGACTCCTTCATTTTTAATGAAATAGATAAACATTAACAAATTTAGTTATATAAGATTTTACTACTTTGCTTTTTTTATATATACTTAAAATTATTTTGAGCCAATTTTTATGATATAATAAAAAAAAAACAACCAAATTAATTTTGATAAAAGTATTTGAATTATTCTATTGAAAAAAATTCGCATAAAAAGGGTGTCCCAACTAAAAGGCAATTTTTAAAATTTGAAATACATTATGCCGACAGATGTATACCCCCAGCCTTGTGTTATGATTATTCAAACTGTCGACCCTCTATGGGAGAGGTTCCGAAGCCGTAGGCCAATATTGACCAATTCGTATCTGACCTAAGACTAATATAAATATTACAACGGATGTGTGCAATTTGATCGTTTTGGTTTCAAAACTTTGACCCTTTGTGGGGGAGATACCAGAAGGAATGGTCCGATCTCTACCATCTTTGTGACAGATATTGTGTTGATGGAAATATTTAAATGCGCGAAGTCTGAATGGAATCTGTTGTTTATTTCGTGTTTTATGAGCTTCAATGATATTCAACTTTTTTGACCTTTGTGGGGGAGGTACCAGAAGGAGTGGACTGATATATTCCACCTTCACATTAAACCTTGAGCTAATAAAAATATAATGATGTGTGAAATACGAAGAGAACCGGACGCTTATTTTGGATTTTATGATCCATTTTGTTATTCAAAATTTTAACCCTTTGTGGAGGAGATACCGGAAGGAATGTTCCGATCTCTACCATCTTTGTAACAGACCTTGTGTTGATGGAAATATTGCGATGTGCCAAGTCTGTATGGAATCGGATGTTAATTTCGTGTTTTATGACCTTCATGGATATTCGAAATTTTGACCCTTTGTGGGGGAGGTACCAGAAGGAGTGGACCGATATATTTCATCTTCACTCCAGACCTTGGATTATTAAAAATAGTGTTATGTTTCTATGTTTTATGAGTTTTATGAGCTTCATGAATATTCAAAATGTTGACTCTTTGTGGGGAAGGTACCAGAAGGAGTGGACTGATATATTCCATCCTCACACCAAACCTTGGGCTAATAAAAATATTGTGATGTGTGTAATTTGAAGATAATCGGATGCTTATTTCGGAATTTATAATAGTTTTTTTTATTCAAAACTTTGACCCTGTGTGGCGGAGGTACCAGAAGGAATGGTCCGATCTCTACCATTTTAAAAAAGATCTTGTGTTAGTGAAAATATTGAGATGTGCCAAGTCTGAGTAGAATGGGGTGAGCCTTTTAACCCTTTGTGGGGAAGGTACCAGAAGGAGTGGACCGATATTGCCCATCTCCGAACTCGATCTAAGTTTGAGAATAATATTACGTTGTACGAAGTTTGGATCAAATCAGATACTCCATTCGAGAGTTACCGTGCGCACAAGCCAGACAGACGAACATCACTAGATCGACTCCAAATGTACTGAAACGGATTTGGTTCAAAGAGACCTAGGGTCTAAAACCGTTATTTCGATGAGGCACTTCAAATACAAAATTTGAAACGATTCCTTATTTGAAATGTAGATACAATCATCGAAATGCCGAATGTAGCGAGGTATCATTATATGAGAGCTATACGAAGACCTGCTTCTACATAGACAATTTTCTGACACAGGCTGTCAGTACCTGTCAGGAACTTCGAATACGAAATTTCAAATAATTTCGGTGAATATTGTACAAAATTTCTTGCCGTACAAAATTTCTTGCCATAGGTTGTAGTACCCATTAGGATCTTCCAGTACGAAATTTGAAACGATTCCGGTGAATAATGTTGCTGAAATCATCAAAATACCGAATATCGGGAGGTACGGTTATATGGGGCTATACGAAGACAAAATTTTTTGTCATAGGCTGTAGTATCCATTACGAACTTCAAATTCCAAATTTGAAAAAATTCCGGTGAATAATGTTGCCAAAATCATCAAAAAAACGAATATCGGGAGGTACCGTTACGTGGGGACTATACCAAAACCTAGACAAACATGGCCCATTTTCAATACCAAAAGTCCTGCAGACATAATATACATTTGAGTAAAGTTTTATCAATCTACTTCATTTTGTTCGGAAGCTAGAGTGATTTGCACAAACGGACGGACATCGCTAAATCGACATAGAATTTTATGCTGCCCAAAAATATATATTTTCTTTTTGGGGTCTAAACTGTATATTTCGAGTTGTTACAAACGATATATTTGCGTCTACCTGTATTCTTCTACCATAAATACAATTGTTTGTTCATGATAACAAGGCGGTCGTCAAACCATTTGTATAGTGTATTTTTATTATAATTATTGAAGTGACATAAGCAACGAATGTCCTTATAAACGTATATTTTAATTTTTATTCTAAATAAAATGAATAGAAAGTTATTAAACCAAACAAAATCATTTTTCAAAAATTAAAGTCGTCGTCGACTGTAGCTGACTTTTAGCCGCCGCCGGCCGTTTATTGCTTTAGCCGTCGCCGTTGATTTTCTTTCGGCTGCAGTCGACTTTTAGCCGCCGCCGACGGGAATTTCACATCGTCTTCGCCCTCTGACAACACTATGCATTGGGGGTATTATAAGTTTGAGTGGACGTCCATCAAAACGGATGGCGGATAGCGTTGTTTCTGAAGTCATTCAATATTCATTCGCTGTGTGTGTCTTGTATCCGTAATTTTAACGAAGCAGAAATAATTTTCATTTGGTGCAAAAAACGTAAGAAGGAAATACGCTTTATAGAAATGAAATAAAAAGCCTCAAGTTGGTCTCAATTACAAACAGTAACAGTGCTCAATTAAAAATGAAACACAGTGAAGTTTAAAAGAAAAAACAAAACGAAAATAGTTTAATCAAGATAAAAAGCAAGAATTTTGCTCATAATCAGAACTTCAACGCCGTATGCAAAAGCAAAAGGTGAATAGTTTTGTCTCTACAAATCAAAGCAAGCAAATGAAACAAAAACAAAATATTCGTCGTTCTTTCGCGTGGATGGATGGATGGGAGGGAGAGAGGGGGGGTCAATAAATGGAAAATTAAAGAAAAAATCGTCATCAATGACTGCTTTTTTTTCGCAGCTACTCAAGAAGAATATGTGCAAAAAACCAACAAAAACAACAACAGCAACACAAATAAAAAAAAAGATAAACGAAATAATTTGTATTATTTATTTGCCAGCCTGCCTGCCTGCCAGCCAGCCATCATCATTTGGAGGCAGAGTTGTGCGCGTCGATGTTTGTGTGCGTTACGGGTGAATGTTGTGTGCCTGATAAATAAAAAAAAGTGTGTGTAATTAATCGATCTGCGAGAATTAATTACAAGCAAATCTCCAGATACGATATTTCTGTGCGTGCCAGTGTAGTATTCGTCATATTTATGTGTTACTCTTGTGCCAAAGTTACTGTGCCGATGGCTGCTGGCTCCTCTTATGCTAAATTAAGCATGCACTTGTTCGAAAAAAAAGAAACATTACGGCCAAGAAACCATCCAATTAAATAGAAAAAAACTGTGTGATCTTTTTTTCGGCAAAAAAACAACGCCAGAGGAAAAACAAAAAATCTGAATCTGGAAGTTAGCTTTTGGTTGATTCGGGGCGGGGGAACTCTACTAGCGGTGGGACTTCTCCTCGTGTAAATCAAGGTACATATACTAAAAGTTGTTTTATATGAATGCTCTGCTGTCGCTGCCGCTTCTTGTATGAGGAGGGAATAAAAGAATATTTTTTTTCGCAGCGGCGGCATGTTCGTGAATCACGAAAAAGCGAGCAAAACGAAAAATTTAGCTCGAACGAGACAAACGCCCTCAGACAGTCTTTGAAAACATCCGCGGCCAGAGAACACAAGCGTTCAGCGACTTGAGCAGACTGAATAAATTTTCGATGATCTGATCCAATGTAGGCAGCAGGGTTGCCAACTGAGCGAAAATTGTTGATGATAGGGATTGCGGCGGAAGTTTTTTGCTATTTTCTTTGAAATTATAATTATATTTATACCCTCCACCAGGGTCATTCCTTTTGTAACACCTCGAAATATACATTTTAGACCCAACAATGTATATGCAGGGTGAGATGAAAAAAACTGCAACAAAGTCAATTGCTATAATTTTTACATTTTCTTTCAAATTAAATTTTAAATTTATTAAATTTTATTAATAACTTTAGATTTGTTGGAATTGGTCACCTTGGCACTAATTATGGCCTTCAAACGGCCAATGAAGCCGTCACGCGCTGCCCGAATGTATTTGGCCCATTCCAGGCGAAGCGCTTGTTTGAGATAATCGACACTTTTGTATTTTTTAGTGTCAACCTTGCTTTCCAAAATAGTCCAAAGGATTGGTATCCGGAGATTTTGGGGGCCAGTGTGCGCTGGAAATGAAGCGAGGAAGCTCATTTTGTAACCATTCTTGGGTGGCGCGTGCAGAGTGCGATGGTGCGATGATGACACGGTCGATTAGCGACCATCGGCTGTAATGGCGGCCACTCCATGGTCTAATTGCCTTTATGAGTCCGCGAAATTGCATATCCCCCATATAACTCTACCACCCGATATTCGGTATTTTGATGTTTTTAGGCACATTTTTCAAAGGTATCGTCTGAAATTCTACACAAGGAGTTCTTTGTGACTACTTTACCCCTTGAAAAAGAATTGTCTATATAAGTTCGCGATATTGTATATCCCCCATATAACTGTACCTCCCGATATTTGATGTTTTGATGATTTTAACGACATTATTTACCGGAATTGTTTCAAATTTGGTATTTAAAGTTGATAATGGATACTACAACCTATGACGGAAAATTGTCTATGCAGGTCCACGTCTTAGTTTAGCGTCCATACAACGGTACCTCCTATTTTCGGTATTTTGGTGATTTAAGCGACATTATTTACCGAAATTGTTTCAAATTTGATATTTGAAGTTCGTAATGGATACTACAGGCTATGGCAAAAAATTACTTATGCAGCACCACGTCTATTTATAGCTTTTATATAAAGGTTTTTATTTGAGCGGTATTTTTCTGCGGATTTTTTTTTTTTTGAATAAATTTTCAATTTCCTTCCTACTGTTGGAGGGCATAAAAAGTTTGTTCCGGCAGAATTTAGCTGATTTTTTACTTGTTTCAATTGACGTCTCCTTATTTTGTAATTCCTCCTTAGATAGAGACGTACAAATGACAAGAAATTTACGTCCGTTTCCGACCATATATTTTGTAATTTTCACGCCTTTTGTGCCGCCTATAAAGGCAGAATATAATATTAACTAGTGGCCTCATAGCAATGGCGAGATTTGCTTATGAAATGGTTTAATTTTGCTTTGAAGTATAATTTTCCTGTTTAAGGTAGCTAGTTTAAGTATAAGGATCGACAATGTTGAGCCTACTTGTGCTATAATACTGGCAGAAGATTATCATCCCGCATTTTCCGTCCAACTGACACATAATTTATTGCAGGAATTTAGTACAGAATTCATATAGTCAGTATTGTAAAGAATTTGCCACTCGTCATACGCGAATATTTTAGATACAAAAATAATTATCATCGAATTCGTTGCTAAAGCTTTGTCACATATTTTATTTAGCAAATGAGTCTACCTCTATTGTTTTGCATTGATTTTGTCATAGAACTTCGTTAATACCCACATTGGGCGTTGTTTTTCCTCGAATCAATCATTTTTTTCTACCACCACGATAACCCTAAACAACACACAAGAAGAACCAACAAAACAAAAACAAATAAGAGGAAACGGAACGAAATGAAACGAAACATTTAACGTTTACCAACTAGCTGGTGGCTTGCTCATGGCTCAATGACTATTTCCGAGTCCGTGTGTGCTGTTTTTTTTTATCGTTGTTGCTGTTGTAACCTTTTATCGTCAATATGTGAAATATTGAGTTTTAGATGTGTGTTCGTTCTCACTAGTTAGCTATTGCTATCGAGCTATGTGGGTAATACACTTAGTGGAGCAGTGTATACAAAAACCTGGAATGTCTGTCGACCACCACCACCAGTAGGAGTGATGGACTCTTAATTTGTCGAGAAGTATTCGACTGTATGTACCTATCGCGGGCATATTACTAACCGACTAAGTTCAAAGTGAATTAAAGTTGTTTGGTAGGAGGAGGAGCAGTATGTAAAATTTAGGATGATGCCGTATTTTTGACGTGAACTCGGGAAATAGAAATGATAAAACCCATGGTAAAACAATAGAGGTTGACTCATTTGCTATATATTGAATATGGCAACCCTTGACCAAAAAACTTGACATTGTCATTTTTGAAATAAAAAATCATTTTCATATCTTAAATATTTACGTATGACGAGTGACATATTTTACAAAAAAAAAAAGTAAATAATCGCTAATTTTCGGCCTTCATTGGGACATTGGGAACAAAATGCGAAATGGTGAATCTTTATATTTGTCCAGCTGCGGAAAAATGGTACTTTGAAGCAAAACATAGTCTCACATTTTTTTAAGCTAATATTCCGTTTTCTGTTTTAGATCGTATTCTAACTTATAGAAGGGCATAAAAGGTGGGAAAATAGCGAATTTTTGATCGAAAATAATGTAAATTTTCTTGCAAGCTATAAGTCCATATCTAAGGAAGAATTACCATTGTATGGGGGCTATACGTGGACCTGCACAGACAATTTTCTGTCATAGGCCGTAGAATCCATTACGAACTTCAAATACCAAATTTGAAACAATTCCGGAGAATAATGTAGAAAAAAATATTCAAAATACCGAATATCGGGATATGCCGTTATATGGGATCTATACGAAGGCGGGGACCTGCACAGATAATTTTCTGTTGTAGGTATCCATTACGAACTTCAAATTTTATATACCAAAAGTCCTGCAGACATATACATTTGAGTGAAATTTTATCAACCTACTTCATTTCGTTCAAAAACAAGAGCGATTTTCACAGACCGACGGACATCGCTAAGTCGACATAGAATTTTATGTCGATCGAGATATGCAGGGTGAGATTAAAAAAACTGCAACAAAGTCAAACGCCATAATTTTTACATTTTTTATTGAATGAAAGCAAAGCAAAGTCGGAAATAGCATGAAATGTTAGAATAAGTTTAGATTTGTTCGAATTGGTCACCTTTGGCACCATTATGGCCTTCAAACGACCAATGAAACCGTCACACGCTGCCCCGAATGTTGCTCTGCGGTATTTCATCCCTTTCCCGGCGAAGCGCTTGCTTGAAGTGATCGACACTTTGTAATTTTTTAGTGCCAACCTTGCTTTCCAAAATACTCGAGACACAATAGTCCAACTGATTGGTATCCGGATATTTTGGGTGGCCATTGTGCACTGGAAATGAAGCGAGGAAGCACATTTTGTAAGCATTCTTGGGTGGTGCGTGCTGAGTGCGATGGTGCTGAGTCCTGTTGGAATGTCTAAGGTCTGCGCTTAAAAATGTTTGCGTGCCCAAGGCTTTAATACACCCTCCAGAATTTTTTCACGTTAATATTCGGCATTTATTCTGATGCCACGGTCGTTTAAGACGAGCGGAGAACGACCATCGGCTGTTATGGCGGCCCACACCACCAACACCATGGCCGGCGCTTGAGTTCTGGTGGCCAACCGAAGGTGCACATTTTCAGCTGACCTCTTTGGCAAGTTAACACGATCATTTTGTTTATTTACAAACTGCTGGACAGCTAGTGTTTTCGGAATGTCATCGGAGAAAACCAAATTCGGCAGTTAACCACTTTCGGCCAAGCGAAGCAACTCTTTAGCTCTTTTGAGTCTATTTTCTTTTTGTTGCGGTGTAAGTTCTCGCACTTTTTGGAATTTCAATGGCTTTACCCCGAGCTCATGTTTCAATATTTGCCGAATGGAATATTGCGATATGTTCAGCCCACGAGCCATTTTTCGGCCACTGCGCCGCGGGTTTCGATCAAGTCGCTTCTTTACTTTTCGAACCATTTCTGCTGATGTTGCTCTTTTCTTCCGCTCACTTCCTTGACGTCGGGCTACGCTCCCAGTATCACGTTAACGAGCGATGGTACGAGACGCAAAAGGTTTATTCACATTTAAATGCTGGAGTGCTCTAACGATAGCCACTTGTGATTTTCCAGCCAAATATAAAGAAATCACACTATTAAGCTTGAATTCCATCACGAATAACTTTTTTTCCGGGAAAACTCTCACTAAAATGCTTGTATACGCTTGTTAACAATAGAATGAGTTGTCACTGGAATAATTTTAACAGCTATCGGACGATTGGCTTAGAAATGACAGCGGTCTGAAGTTGGCTGCAGTTTTTTCATCTCGCTCTATATATATTAAAACAAAATAACATCAATTGCGGGGCACGCATTAGAAATATTAACTAGATATGCCATGGAATTGAAAGATTGAAAACTTAGGATCATATTTTTGAGAAAACATCCAGGCATTTCGTTCATCTTTCGCGCTATTTGACTCATTTTTGAAATGGACAAAAAGCATCAAATAAATGAAAACAACTTGTTGCCTATAATTTTGAATAATACTGACAGAAAGCGGGCATAGCCTCAGGGCTGTATTTCTGTAGTTTTAAGAAGCTGTTCTACCTCCTTTTTGTACCATGGTTTATTCAGTTTCACATAAAAGTCATTTCTAAACGAAAATTTTGTTCAGGGAGTTTTGTTTTCAATAATTCCCTTTTGAGATAATTTGGCAACACCTGTATATGTGTCAACGCAAAGAGAGCAGGGGTTTTAAACTCTTCCTCCCTTTTTCGCTCTCTCTCAGAGTAGGGGAACATTGTAGGAAATAGAACACACACAAGAGCAAACGTGCTTCGGAATGAATGAGAATTATCAAATTCAGTCCGTTAGAGACGCTTGGTTCTGTTCAGACGTGCGAGGTATCTGGATTTGGGCGCACGACCACGACGACGACGCGCAATACCAACCAACGGCAAACAGTGTATTTTCGTCGATATATTTTTTTTTTGTAATTCGGGCTGTTACCATATTAGCAGGCAAGGCAGTAAAACGAAAAAAAAAATACAACAACAAATAATACCAAACTTTTTTTTTAACTAAACCGACCTGCGGTAATGATAAACGCGATAATAGTGTTTTAACGTCATACGAACCAACGAATTGTTGTTACACATAATAAATATATGTACTACAAATATTAATAATAATAATTTACACAAATGCTGTGTGGTGTTGTTGTTGTATACCTACCCTACCTACCTATATCCACTGCTGCTGCTGCTGCATATGGGAAGAAGATTAAATAAAAGAAATGGAAACATCAAGTGACGTCGTACATACATACAAACTTGTACGGTTTTGCAGTTCACAAAAAAATATTTTTGTTTTGTTGTTTTAAATAAAAAAATAATTAATTTTTATTTCATTGATTGGGCGTGTGTGTGTCTGTGTGCGAAAATGAAATGATGACAGATTTAAATATTATCTTTATGAGAAATTAACATCAAATAAAACTCAAAAATTAGTGGTGAAATAAATTTTTTAACAATTTGTTGTAAATATTTGTAGGCGCTGTCCGAATTTTTTTAATTTTTTGTGAAAATAGTACGCCGAATAAAAACAACAACAAGAAACAAACAAAAAAAAATACAATCACGCACAGCCAGAGATCAATTGGTCGGACGTACGAATGGTTGTTCGTCGTTCGTTGGGTTGGTGGTGGCCATAAAAATCAACTTTACAAACAAGCTGCTGCGGCTGCTATTCAGCTTCTTCTCGAAATAAAGAAAAAAAAAAACACTGAAAACAAATAATAAAAAAAGGAAATCAACAAGAGAGCTGTGGCGGCGATGTCCGAATCGGAATCGCCAGGAAAACAGAAAGGGCTGCGACGCCAACTGGTAAGTAGTAGTTTGTTTCAAAGTACAATCAAATTTATCATCACTTCGGTCCAGTGCATGCCTGCATCTTTGGGTAGATTGCAAACATCTCATGTGGAGTAGGCGTTGTTAGTGCATGGAAATAGTTAAGATTGAAAAAAAAGGAATGAAAACAAGACAAAATAGTTTTATTCTAATTATACAAATAATAAATTGTTGTGAAAAAAACAGAAGGTGTTTATTGTGCGTGCGCCCTCCTCTCCATAAGTGTTGATTATGATGATGATAATACCACTAGAACTGTGCAAAAGCAGTCGTGTTTCATATGAATCAAGAAAAAAAAAAAACAAAAAAAAAATCGAGCGATAAAAACGCATTAACCCGCTATTTGCTTGCAAAGCCGACGGCATTCGATTAGCGCTCACATCGTCTTTTGGCGTGGTTAAACGACCAAACTAAACTAACGCCGCATGACGAATTCTTTTCGATTTTATTATGATTTTTGTGTTTTTTCCATTTCATTTCTTATTCTTCCACGTTGTCGTCTTTATCTCTTGTATATATATTCGCTTTCATTTGTGCCATAGCTGCCGCTGCTGCTGCTGCTGCTGCTGTTTCTCCTCGGCAGACAGTTCGTTCGTTTCGTTGACTGCAGCAGGCCAGTAGTGTTATACACTCGCACACAAACGTAGGCGGTGGATTATCAACAAAATACATTGGCACGAGAGCGCGCTGCCCTCGTTTACAGAGAGTTTACAGCAGAGTGGCTGTGTCAATGTTGTCAACATGAATGTATTCTAAAGTGGCAACTTTATTGGTAACGTCTGGCAAAAATGACTAAACTCTAGTAGACTATTAAAAAAAGGGTTTTAGCAAGGAAAAATGTGGATTTTTTTTAGAAAAATTGAAGATTAAACAAAATATAGTTGAAAGGGTCGTAAAAGGTCAACATGAAGAAGCTTTAAATGGGGGAAAAATTAAAAGTAAAATCCACAAAATTGTAAAAAATAAAATGAAGTGTGGAAAGAAAAAAAAAATAAATAAATAAATAAAAAAGGATATAATGTAGATCTACCAGCTGATTACAATTTTTTTTTTCTAAGTGCGCCCGACTTCTGCCAATTTTGTGCGTGTTTTTATTGTTTGGATAATAAAATCAGAATATCAATAATAAAAACAGAATATCAAAATCAATGATTGGAAGACGCGTAAATTGCATGTCGCGCATTAAAGCTATTCGCCAGTTTTGCCATGATATGGACAAATCCAGGCATTTCATTCATTTTTCCCGCTGATTTAACTGATTTTGAAAATGAGGAAAAATATTGAATAAATGAATACAACTTGTTGCACGCAAATTTGACAGGAAGCGCGGTCATAGCCTCAGGGCTGTATTTCTGTAGTTTTACGAAACTGTTATTTTACCATAGATGTAATGCCATGTTTACGTTAGAACTTTTTGTAGGGTTAACCTACTTTGAGAGGATTTATTTGAAGTAAAAGTAATGGATATGACAGTTTAAATCCAAATCTAGTGGGTTAACCCTAATATATATAAACGTACTATAACATGCCACAACTTGACAGGTAGTTTGAAGTGGATACTTGAGTGGCAACGTATGGCAAATATGACACGAATAATAGATTTCCAAGCGAAAAGAGGATTTAACAAGGAAAAAATGGGGAAAGATAGGGCAGGCATACATTTGAGTATAATCCCACAAAAGTATGGAAATTTCTTCACATAGAGTTTTTGCCAAATGTTGAGAGCTCAAAGTGCCTAAACGTGAACGTATGGCAAAATATTAATAAAAAGTTAAAAGTCATTTCGTTTGTAACTCATCTATATCGGTCCACGATATTGTATAGCCCCCATATAACGGTACCTCCCGACGTTCGGTACTTTGATGATTTTAGCTACTTTTCACTTTACTCCCTGGAAGAGAAATGTCTATATAAGTCCACGTTATTATCGTATAGCCCACCTATTCGGTATTTTGATGACTTTATTCACCGGAATTGTTTTAAAATTGGCATTTGAAGTTTGTAATGGATATTGCAGCCTATGACAGAAAATTGTCTCTGCAGTGTACCTTCAGTGTGCAGTGTACCTGTCTTCGTAGAGCCCCCGATATTCGGTATTTTGATGATTTTAGCGACATTATTCACCGGAATTGTTTCAGAATTCGTATTTAGAGTTTGTAATGGATATTACAGCTTATGACAGAACATTGTCTCTGCAGGTCCACGTCTTCGTATAGCCCTCATATAACGGCACCTCCCGATATTCGAATTTTGTATTTAGAATTCGTTATGGGTACTACAGCCTATGACAAAAATCTGAGTATGCAAGCCCATGTCTTCGTATAGCCTCCATGTAACGGTACCTCCCAATATTCGTTATTTTCATGATTTTATGTCCAATTTTCACCCGAGTTGTTTCAAATTTCGTATTTAAACTTCGTAACGGGCACTACAGTGTATGCCAGAAAATTGCCTATACAGGTCCAGGTCTTCGTATAGGCCCCATATATCAGTACCTCTCTATATTCGGTATTTTGAAGATTTTATGTGGAATATTATGCGAAATTGTTTGAAATTTCTTATTTGAAGTTCCTAATAGGTACTACAGCCTGTGACAGATAATTGTCTATGCATGTAGATGCATGTAAACATTAATTATAGTTCGGTAGTAAATGTCATTTAATTCAAATTTTTCCAGTTATAATAGGTTCTCTAATGGTTGCCGCATTTTTGCTGTAAATGGCGCCCAACGTGATAAAGGGTCATCTGTGTTCTGGAAACAGAAAAAATTAAATTGCAGCTTAGTGCTGATGGCTGAATCTTATATTTCTATGCATGTTATGTAATATGGTCCATTTGAGAGCGCTTCACGACAAGAATTATATCGAAAATTTGCAAATGGCGCCCAACGTGTATTAAAAATCAAAAATATTTTTTATGAGAATTGATTTCGTCATATCAATTAATTATAATTGTAATGGCAAAATTTGCCATATGAAATTGCGAGTGGCGCCCAACGTAAAACTTTAAGTCACATGTGTTCAGCGATCGTAAGGATTTTTTTTTAATTTATCAAACCTTTTTAACTCGAATGATGCTTGGTTTTCTGTGGAGACCAAGCAAAGAGTGAGTATTATTAAGGGAAGTAAAATTAAATTACATCTTAGATGCAAATGGCGCCCAACGTGTATAGGAAATCAAAAATATTTATTTTCCCTTACGATTGATTTCAAGGCATATTATGATGCATTATATTCAATGAGCCATAGCTATAATGGCGAAATTTGCCATGTGAAACTCCGAATGGCGCCCAACGTAAAACTTCAAGTCGCATGTGTTCACCGAACGCAAAGATAGTGTTTTTGTTAATTTCATTAAACCTGTATAAATCGAGTGACACTTGGTTTTCTGTGGCGCCCAACCAAAAATAGGAGTAATTTATGTTATTAAGGAAATTAAAGGATCTGTTCCAGAACTGAAATAATATAAAAGTTTTTACTACGATAACCGATTTTTCCTTTATGATATCGAAAAAAAAAATTGAAAAACTAGTAGATTCTTACGGGTTCTGGAACGTAGAAAAAATTGAATTACAACCTCGATGCAAATGGCGCCCAACGTTAGGAACTCAAAAATACTTATTTTCCCACACGATTGATTTCAAGGCATATCATGACTATCATGGCGACATTTGCCATATAAAATTCCGAATGGCGCCCAATGTGAAACTTCAAGTCGTATGTGCTGACCCAACGCAAGCAGAGTGTTTTTGTTAAATTGTTTAAACCTGTTAAACTCGAGCGACATATTGTTTTCTGTGGCCCCCCTCTTGGATCATTTTACGATAAAAAAAAAATTATTCAAAATGACATTGGATGAGCTATCACAACAGTTGTGACAAGATTTCAATGTTAATGGCGCCCAACGCAAGGTTTTAAATGTGTTGACTGACCGATCGCTGTGATAGTGCTGTTTTAAATTTATCTAAACCTATGCAACTCGAACGATATTTGGTTTTATGTGGCGCCCAACCAAAGGGCAGAGTTTTTATTTTATCAAGACAAATATACAATACAATTTTGACGTCTGGTTCGGATTACTTGGCAATCATGGTTTCCTTTAATGGAATTTGGTACGCAACAGATTTTATGTGCGAGGCCTAATGAATCAACATTATATTAAATTGACTTAATCAATCGATCGGATAAACCGAATTTTGTCCGGAAGGTTTGAAAAAAAATTAAGAAAAAAAATAAAATAAAAAAATAGTGGCGCCCAATCTAAAGGGAATCAAATAGTTTACAAAATCAGCTATCTGTTCACGAATTGATTCGAATTTTGAAAAACATTATCAGATTAGAAATGAATTTTCAAAATTCTTTGCAAAAAGTTGATGCCATTCTTTGGCGTTTTCGACACCACTCAAATGTATGTCGATTGCCAGGTAAGCAAGCGCAAGCCGGCCGTAGTAGTGTGTGATTGTAGATAGTTCTTTTGGTAGTAAAAGTATATATCAATGGCATTCTTCTCTTAGTGAGGTTGGATGGATGGAGGACGACAATGGTGTTGCTCTTGCTATGTCTCCAGTGCGGGACAAATAAAACAGGTTGGCAAACAAGTTTGTTTATATTTTTCTTAAATCCATTCCTTCACAAAAACACACACACTCTAAAATAAGGATGAAAATAAAAGGAGATGAAATAGAAACTTAAATAAAATTACGTGATGATGTATGTACTGCTGGATTCTGGTCGGTTTATTTTTTCATACAATTTTGGTTCTTCAAAAAAAAAAATCAGGTTTATGTGCGATCGTGTTGTTTGGATAGTGCGGATAATGGTTTTTACACTCGTATCAATATAAAGATTACGAACATTATTGGGATAGTGTGTGTGTGGACAGAGCTCTTACGGTATTTGGATAATGTGGATATTGGCATGGGTTTTACATTACTCGGTGGATAGTGGAGGATAGGTTTTTAACAATATTTGAATAATGTGAATTTTTCACACCCTTAGTCATAGGGCTAGAGAGGAAGGAATATATCATTTAAGACGGCAAAAACGTGCCGCATCGAAATTACGGTTTTAGACCCTAGGTCTCTTTGGACCAAATCCATTTTAGGATATTTGAAGTCGATCTAGCGATGTCTATCCCGCCCGTCAGTCTGTTTGGCTGGCTAGTTCGCACGATAACAATCAAAGGGAGTATCCGATTTGATCCAAACTTGGTATATCGTAATATTATTGTCAAACTTAGATCGAGTTCAGAGATGGGCAACATCGGTCCACTCCTTCTGGTACCTCCCCCACAAAATGTCAACATTTTCAAAGAAAATAATTTACTGCACAGAAAGGGAAGGGATAATCCAATTTTACTCAAACTCTGCGAATCCTAATATTTGCATCAGTATTACGTCAGGTGCGAAAATGGACAATAACGGTCCACTCCATCAAGTACCTCCCCCACAAAGAGTCAAAATTTTGAATAATTAAAACTTTTATAAAATGGGATGCAAGTGTCCGAATGTCTTCTAATTACACACATCACAATATTTTAATTAGGCCAAGGATTGGTGAGAAGATGGAATATGTCGGTCCACTCCTTCTGGTACCTCCCACACAAAGGGTTATAATTTTAAATATCATTGAAGCTCATAAAACAACAAAATTACCATCCGATTCCATTCAGACTTGGTACATCGCAATATTTCCATCACCACAAGATCTGTTATAAAAATGGTAGTGAACGGACCATTCCTTCTGGTACCTCCCCCACAAAAGGTCAAAGTCATAAATAACCAAAACGATTATAAAATCCGAAATAAACATCCGGTTCTCTTCAAATTACACACATCACAATATTTTAATTAAGCCAAAGTCTGGTGTGAATATGGGATATATCGGTCCACTCCTTCGGGTACATCCCCTGCAAAGGGTTAACATTTTGAATATCATTGAAGCTCATAAAACATGAAATTAACATCCGATTCCATTCAGACTTGGTACATCTCAATATTTCCATAAACACAAGATCTGTTATAAAAATGGTAGAGATCGGACCATTCCTTCTGGTACCTCCCCCCACAAAGGATCAAAGTTTTGAATAATCAAAACGATCATAAAATCTGAAATAAGCACACGGTTCTCTTCAAATTACATACATCACAATATTTTAATTAGGCTAAGTTCTGGCGAGAAGATGGAATATGTCGGTCCATTCCTTCTGGTACCTCCCCCACAAAGGGTTAACATTTTGAATATTCATGAAGCTCACAAGACACGAATTTCACATCTGATTTCATTCAGACTTGGTACATCTCAATATTTCCATTAACACAAGGTCTGTTATAAAAATGGTAGAGATTGGACCACTCCTTCTGGGTCCTCCCCCACAAAGGGCCAAAGTTTTGAATAACCAAAACGATCATAAAATCCGAAATAAGCACCTGGTTCTCTTCAAATTACACACATCACAATATTTCAATTAGCCCAAGGTCTGGTGTGAAGATGGGATGTACCGGTCCACTGCTTCGGGTACCTCCCACACACAGGGTTAACATTTTGAATATTCATTAAGCTCATAAAACGCGAAAATAACATCCGATTCCATCCAGACTTGGTACATCTCAATATTTCCATAAACACAAGATCTATTATAAAAATGGTAGAGTTCGGACCATTCCTTCTGGTACTTCCCCCACAAAGGGTCAAAGTTTTGAATGACCAAAACTATTATAAAATCCGAAATAAGCACCTGGTTCTCTTCAAATTACAAACATCACAATATTTCAATTAGCCCAAGGTGTGGTGTGATATTGAAATACATCGGTCCACTCCTTCTGGTACCTCCCCCCTCAAAGGGTCAAAATTTTGAGTAACCATGAAGCTCATAAAACGCGAAAATAACATCCGATTCCACTCAGGCTTGGTACATCTCAATATTTCCATCAACACAAGATCTGTTACAATGATGGTAGATATCGGATCATTCCTTCCAGTACCTCCGCCACAAAGGGTCAAAGTTTTGAATAACCAAAACGATCATAAAATCCGAAATAAACATCCGGTTCTCTTCAAATTACACACATCACAATATTTTTATTGGCCCAAGGTCTGGTGTGAATGTGGAATATATCAGCCCACTCTTTCTGGTACCTCCCCTACAAAGGGTTAACATTTTGAATATCATTGAAGCTCATAAAACATGAAATTAAAATCCGATTCCATTCAGACTTGGCACATCTCAATATTTCCATCATCACAAGATCTATTATAAAGATGGTAGAGATCGGATCATACCTTCTGGTACCTCCCCCCCAAAGGGTAAAAGTTTTGAATAACCAAAACGATTATAAAATCCAAAATAAGCACCCGGTTGTCTTCAAATTACACACATCACAATATTTTTATTATCCCAATGTCTTGTCCGAAGTTGGGATATATCGGTCTACTCCTTCTGGTACCTCCCCTACAAAGTGTCAAAATTTTGATTTCCATCCGATTTAATTTAGATCTGATACATCGCAATATTTCCATAAACACAAGATCTGTTATAAAAATGGTAGAAATCGGACCATTCTTTCTGGTACCTCCCTGTTGGCAAAACCGACTGTGATGCTATTTGACTTGTTCTGATTTAAGAACCTCCATTCTCTTAAATTTTTACTTCTCTATTAAATAACTCAATATTTATTCAAAATCTCTCTTTTCTCCCTTCCCCTTTATTGCAGCGCGAGCGCAAAGAACGCAAACAGTATCTGGAAGAATGGGCCTTGGGTGATGATGATTTGGAGGGGACTCGCGGTTTTAGTGTGGCCGAAAAGCTGGAGTCCTCAAAATTTGCCCAGACTGGCATGGTGCGGGAAATGCGCGGTAGTGATTTAAATGTTGCGTAAGTTCTGGCAATTTCAAGTCTTGCAAATCTCCTTCTTTAATTGCATTTTTCCTCTTCCTCCCCCCCAGATTACTGCAGCAACATGGTTTCAATATGCCTCTATTGTTTCGTGACAAAGCCGGTCTGGGTCTACGCATGCCCAATCCCAATGAATTCACAGTGAACGATGTCCGACTGTGTGTCGGATCGCGACGCATACTCGATGTCATGGATGTGAATACACAGAAAAATCTGCAAATGACCATGAAGGAGTGGCAGCAATACTATGACAGTCCACAAAAGGATCGTCTGTTGAATGTCATATCGCTGGAGTTTTCGCACACCCGTCTGGACAATTACATACAGAGTCCGGAAATTGTACGACAAATCGATTGGGTCGATGTTGTGTGGCCGAAACGTCTAAAGGATGCCCAAAAGGAGGCCACTAACCTCCTTGGCAATATGATGTATCCCAAGGTGCAGAAATATTGCCTAATGTCGGTGAAGAATTGCTATACCGATTTCCATATAGATTTCGGTGGCACCTCTGTGTGGTATCACATACTCAAGGGTAGCAAGGTGTTCTGGCTAATACCGCCAACCGAAAAGAATCTCCAGTTGTACGAGAAATGGGTATTGTCCGGCAAACAGGCGGATATTTTCTTTGGTGATACCGTGGAGAAATGTGCTCGAGTCTATTTGACGGCGGGCAATACATTTTTCATACCCACCGGATGGATACATGCTGTCTACACTCCCACCGATTCCCTGGTGTTTGGTGGGAATTTTTTGCATTCCTTTGGCATTGTGAAACAGCTGAAAACGGCCCAGGTCGAGGATGCCACTAAGGTGCCGCAGAAATTCCGCTATCCCTTCTTTACGGAAATGCTGTGGTATGTTCTGGCCCGTTATGTCTATGTGCTGTTGGGTCATTCCCATTTGGAGGGAGAACCATCGGTGGAGGAATCGGAAATGGCCGCCAGACCTCACATTCATTTGACCCATTTCGAATTGTTTGGTCTGAAGGAGATCGTCATGTATCTGTACGATTTGCCACCGAATAAGAAAAACGTACCGGAATTAGTACGCGACCCAGTCGCGCTGATAAAGGATGTGCGCACCCTGGTGGAGAGACATTGTAAAGATAAGCCGGAGTTGGCCATTACAGGGGAATCGGTTTTGAAACCACCCGGTCTAATGCATCCCCCGTTTCAGGAATACGAACGTACCCGGGTGAAACAGGAAATAAAGCAAGAGATTGCCCGGAAAAATGCTGAAATTATAAGGGAGCAGCAACAATTGGAGGCGCAACAGGCAGCCGAATCATCGGCAGCAGGTGGGGGAGGTGGGGGAGCCGCCGGTGCAATTATGCCACATTTGGCTTTTAGTGGTACAACCACCGTAACAACGGATAATGGTATTACCATTAAAAAGGAGCCCATGGAAAATGGGACTGCAATTTCCCAGCATCAGCAGCAGCAACAACAGCAACATAATCAAAATCCAAATCCTCCACAGCAACCCACATTTGTATCTCCCACAGATAATATCAAATATCGACCACCCAAAAAAATGCATTTAGCCAATGCAGTGGCGGCTGCGGCGGGTGGGGGCAATGGAAATGCAGTCAGTGTTATTGCCTCTTGCTCCAATTACAACAATAACACTAGCAACAACACCAATAATAACCATAATCATCAAGCACCCTCTGCAGGAGGTGGAGGAAGCGGAGGCATTACCATAACCAACAACTTGACGCCCTTGCAAACATCTCACACGGGATCGGCCGATAATTGCCTCTCCCCGAACAATGAATCATCGAAAATATCACCCAATGTTACAGGTCTAGGTCAACCGCGTCGTCGACGGACCCGTTGTAAAAATTGTGCTGCCTGTCAACGATCGGATTGTGGCGAATGTAGCTTTTGTCTGGATATGGTGAAATTTGGTGGTCCCGGCAGAGCCAAACAGACTTGTATGATGCGCCAATGTCTATCGCCAATGTTGCCCGTGACGGCCCAATGTGTATTCTGCCATCTGGATGGATGGCGTCAAACACCCGTCTCGCCACAGACCAAACAATTGGCCGCCATCGATGGTCCCTCAGCTTTAATGGAATGTTCTGTATGCTATGAAATTGCTCATCCCGATTGTGCTCTATCCGCATTGGATGGCACCGAATATGCAGCCGATGCCAAGGGTATTGTCAATGAGGATTTACCGAATAGTTGGGAATGCCCAAGCTGTTGTAAATCGGGGAAAAATAATGATTACAAGGTAAGTGAAGCAGAGAGGAGGGAGGGGGAGAAGAAAGGGAAGGGCGGAATTTTACTACTCCATAAGAAGATCTTTGAGAAAAAAGGAAGGGCCGAAAGCGCAGGCATTTTGGCGATCCATGAGAAGTTCTGTGATAAGAAAGAAGAGCCTCTCAGGCGGTCGAATTTAAGAAGATCGGGAGCATTTAAATTGATGGCCATAAAAACAAGTCTCAAAATTGTTTAAATTAACCAGGATGTGGGGCTAGGAATGGTAGGACGCGCAGGAATTTTGGTGCTCCATAAGAAGTTCTGTGATAAAAAGGAAGATACTGGTATTCAGTTGATTTTGAGAAGATAGGGAGCTTTCAAATAGAAGGCCAAAAAAGCAAGTCTAATTTTTTTTTTAAATTAACCAAGGTGCATCATACGAAGTTCTGTGATAAGAAGGAAGATACTGGCGGGCAGTTAGTTTTACGAAGGTAGGGAGCTTCCAAATTGAAGGCAAAAAAACAAGACTAAAAGTTTTAAAAACTAATCAAGGAGGGGGGGAGGTTAAGAAGGAGAGGGGAGGGTATTTTACTCCTCCAAAGGAAGATCTTTGAAAAAAGGAAGGGGTCCGCTCTTAAAAAAATCAGAATTCTTCAAAGGCAATCAGTGCCAATAACATCGAACAAATCAAGGTATATCAAAGCCTGGAGATTTTTTCCTCGGACTATCAGAGTCGAAAGTGTTGACCCTTTTCGACCCTTTTGACCAATAGGGAGGAGGAAAAATAATCATATTTTTAAAAGAGGACAATCACTGTCCTTAGTGGGAATTAAATCAAGGGCCATCGAAGCGACACTCATTAGCTTTTAAGCCAGACTTTCCTGGAGCCAAAATCGTAGACCCATTCAGAGGTATTTCTAGGACATCCTAAGGAGATTTCGACGTCTATGAGAAGGATACATGAAGGTAGACAAATTTTATCTTCAAGAAAGAACGTTTTGTACCCTCAGCCATATGGCTAGAAAGGGAGGGTATATATCATTTGATACGGTCAAAGCGTGCCTCATCGAAATAACGGTTTTAGACCCTAGGTCTCTTTGGACCAAATCCGTTTCAGGACATTTGGAGTCGATCTAGCTATGTCCTTCCGTCCGTCCGTCTGTCTGTCTGGCTGGCTGGTGCACACGATAACTCTTGAAGGGATGATCCAATTTGGTCCAAACTTGGTACATTGTAATATTATTATCAAACTTAGATCGAGTGCGGAGATGAGCAATATCGGTCCACTCCTTCGGGTACCTCCCACACAAAATGTTGAAATTTTCAACAAAAAAATTTACTGCACAGGAAGATAAAGTATAATTCTATTTTGCTCCAACTTTACGAATCCTAATATTTTCATCAGTACTACGTCAGGTGTGAAAATGGACAATATCGGTCCACACCTTCTGGTACCTCCCCCACAAAAGGATTAAAATTTTGAATAATTTTAACTCTTATAAAATGTCACTTACATCACATTTTATAAGAGTTAAAATCGGATTGTCTTCAAATTACGCACATCACAATAGTTTTATTAACCCAAGGTCTGGTGTGAAGATGGAATATATCGGTGCACTCCTTCTGGTACCTCCCCCACAAAGCGGTCAATATTTTAAATACTCATGAAGCTTATAAAACACGAAGTTAACATCCGATTCCATTTAGACTTGGTACATCTCCATATTTCCATCAGCACAAGATCTGTTATAAATATTGTAGAGATCGGACCATACCTTCTGGGACCTCCCCCACAAAGAGTCAAAATTTTGAATACCCAAAACGACCACAAAATCCGAAATAAGCATCCGGTTCTCTTCAAATTACACACAACACAATATTTTTATTAACCCAAGGTCTGGTGTGAAGATGGAATATATCGATCCTCTCCTTCTGGTACCTCCCCCACAAAGGGTTCAATATTTTAAATACTCATGAAGCTCACAAAACGTGAAATTAACATCAGATTCCATTCAGATCTGGCACATCTCAATATTTTCATAAACACAAGATCTGTTATGAAGATGGTAGAGAACGGACCATTTCTTCTGGTACCTCGCCCACAAAGGGTCAAATTTTTGAATATACATGAAGCTCATAAAACGTGAAATTAACATCCGATTACATTGCTTGCTAACAATTTTTTCCGATTTTTCCTTTTCAGCCTCGTCACTTCCGTGCCCGTCAAAAGTCCTCCGAAGTTCGACGGACCTCGGTGGGTGGTATTGTCAATATTGTCAGTGGAGATTTCATTGATGGTGTTGGTGGTGGTGGCCACATTGCGGGAAATATCCACCAGAATCATCAATACAATGATTTTGTATTCACCAGTGAATCGGAAATGGAAACCGGCAACGTAACGACCAACAACAATTGGAAACATGGCGTTAAACGTCACATGGCCATTGAAGTTAAGACGGAACGTAGCTATGACACACCCTCGCCAGGCATATCACCCACTGCCGTGGATAAAATCAAACGGCGTCGCAGTGATGATGGTCTCAGCATGTGTAGCAGTATGCAGGATAGTATTGATGCAAATGCTTCCATTGATTGTAATGTGGCTGGTCCGGGTGGTATGGGCTCCGGCGGTGGTAATGGTAGCGGTCATGGCTCACGTAAAAAGAATTCCGTGCGATCTCATTTGGCCCAACAGATGTTGAACTCGTCGACAAGGGTTTTGAAAAAACCACAGTATGTGGTGCGACCGGGTTCTTCGCACAGCGCAGCGGCGGGTGGTTATGGCACCAATATGGGTGGCGCCGGCGGTTATGTGGGACCCAATTTGGCTTTGGATCCCACGCTCTTGAAAATCATCTTCCGTTATTTGCCGCAAGAGACATTGGTCACCTGCTGTTCGGTGTGCAAGGTATGGTCCAATGTGGCCGTGGACCCAGCCCTGTGGAAGACCATGAACTGTTCGGAAATGAAGTTATCTGCCTCCCTGCTGACTGCCATTGTGCGGCGCCAACCCGAGCATTTGATTTTGGATTGGACCCAAATAGCCAAACGTCAATTGGCCTGGATCATTGCCCGCCTGCCGGCCTTGAAAAATCTCTCTCTACAAAATTGCCCCATCCAGGCGGTTTTAGCCTTGCACACCTGCCTCTGCCCTCCCCTGCAAATATTAGACTTAAGTTTTGTGCGTGGTTTAAATGATGCAGCCATACGTGATATACTGTCGCCACCCAAGGATTCCCGGCCCGGGTTGGCGGACTCGAAAACCAGGCTAAGGGATCTCAAGACTCTCAAGCTGGCCGGCACCGATATTTCCGATGTGGCCTTGCGTTACATTACCCAATCATTGCCGCATTTAGTGCATTTGGATGTATCATCCTGTCAACGCATAACCGATGCTGGTGTAGCACAAATTGGCACCTCGCCCACGGCCATTGCAAATTTAATTGAATTGAATTTGAGTGCATGTCGTTTGGTCTCCGAGCTGTCGTTGGATCATTTGGCCAAGTGTGATCAGCTGATATGGTTGGACTTGAGGCATGTGCCGCAGGTGAGCACCCAGGCGGTTATCAAATTTGCTGCCAAATCCAAACATGATTTGTGTGTGAAAGACATAAAACTTGTGGAGAAACGGAAACCACCTCAGACGCCGCAGTCGTCGGCCGGCGGAGGAGGCGGGGCAAGTAGTAATTTCTCAGCTTCCACCACACCCATTTCCTCGGCTGCTGGTTCAGCAAGTAATTGGAATGATTAAAACTATGGAAGAAAAAGAAGAAGAAGGGGTAGACAGATAATGGAAATCTAGGCCAAAGATTTTTCGAAATCTTTCCCCCCACCCCCTGCCTGCCACCGTTCCCCCCAGCGCGAAAGAAGAAACAAAAATATCTCATTTTGTGTAGTTGTAGCATTACTCCCCTCCTACTCTTCCACCATTCGTACTTCATTTTTAAGACTTAAAATCGGTTAATTAAAGTATGTATCTCTTTAAGAAGGCATTCCTCCCCCAGAAAAAACAAAACAAAACAGAACCCATAATTTGGTGTGCATTGTGCAAAAGCTTTAAAAAAGTGACAGAGACAACAAAGAATCCAGTTTTAAACTTCGACGACACCACAAAGAAAAACAAACACAAAATATTAACAATTTCAAACCTCCAACAACAACAACTAAATGTCAATAACATATTAAGAATAAAATATTATTATTTTAGTGTTTAACCCCCCTACTCCCCGCCCTCCCTCAACAGAATTAAGCAGCATACATTACTAATTACATTTCAGCTAATAATAATAATAATAATAATTCAGAATTATAACAATAACAATAACAACAACCAACACGCCCCTTTTCCATTTGCACATTAGGTGTCATACTTATACACACATACATTTAAAATTTTATAAATTTTAAATTAATTTACAAAACAAAATATATTGTATTATAAAATATATATATTTACATTAATATCACAATGAAAATAATATACACGTAAATATATTTAAAAAAAAAGTCTATTTTAAAAAAATTATGTTTAAGAAAAAAAAAGCAAAAAAAGGAAAAATTATGAAAAACAATAAATGTATAACACAAAATTAACCCAACATTTTTGTTTGTGGTGTTATTTTTTTTAAAGGGGAATGGGGGTGATTTCGGGATTTATCGAAAAAAAATATAAAATATATATTTCCATATGTTTTAAAGAATATATTTTCAAGATCTTCCATTGAGAAAGAAATGTTTCTTTATGGAGAGCGATCGTTTGCTAATAAAAACCATTCTTGCCATTTTTTTTTGTTATTTCGGTTTCGTTCTAAAATCTCCACAACGCCAAAATTTCTGGGGTTGGTGTTAAGGCAAGAAATATTCTATATCAAAATCCAGCATGAGCCTCCAAACAAAAGAAAGTGACAGATTTAATATATATCTCTTAAAACTTGAATTTAAATAGGGAAGGACGAAAATGTGCAATTTTTAGGTTATGTCTATTTTGGGCGAAAATCTTTGATAAGTATTCGTTTTAGAAGGATGATGTGAAAGAAAAATATATTCTAAATCAAATTTCAATATTAGTCACCACACAGAAGAAAATTGTATATACAATATATATTTATAAAATATGTCGATTTATAATGGGTACACCAAAACTAAAATCGTTTATCATTTTTTTAGTTTTTTTTTTTCATTTTGTGGCATAATCTCGGAAAATTTCTGGTTTTAAGAGGTTGATGTGAAGGTAATATATGTTCTAAATCATATTTCATGACTAGTCCTCAAACAAAAGAAATCTGTAAATATAAGAAAATTTATTTAATATGGTTTTACAGTAGGAGTTTTATTTGCCTTTTTTAGATAATTTTCGTTTTGTGCCAAAATCTCCACAACGCCAACATTTCTGGCGTTGGTGTTAAGGCAAGAAATATTCTGTATGAAAATACAGCGTGAGCCCCCAAACAAAAGAAAGTGATAGATTAAATATATATAATTTAAATCTTGTATTTAACAAGGGAAGAACTAAAACGTGAAGTTTTTAGGTTATGTCTGTTTTGGGCAAAAATCTCGGAGAACGGTTAATTTTAGAAGCTTGATGTAAGAGAAAAATATATTCTAAATCAAATTTCAATATAAGTCTCCAAACAAAAGACATTCGTATATACAATATATATTAACAAAATATGTCGATTTATAATTGTTACTGTGAAACAAAAATGGTTCCCATTTTTCGAGGTTATTTTCATTTTGTAGTAAAATTTTCGGAAAGTTTTGGTTTTAAGAGGTTTTGTGAAGATAAAAGATGTTTTAAATAAAATTTCACTACTAGTCTTCAAACAAAACAAATCTGTAAATATAAGATAATCCATTAAATATGGGGTTATGGTATGGGTTTCTTGTCTTTTTTGGTTATTTCCGTTTTGTGCCGAAATCTCCACAGCACGAAAATTTCTGGGTTTGGTGTTAAGGCAAGTAATATTCTATATCAAAATCCAACATGAGCCACCAAAGAAAAGAAAGTGATAGTTATAATATATATCATTAAAATCTTTTGTTTGAATTGGGAAGAAAAAAATGTGAAATTTTTAGGTTATGTTTATTTTGGACGAAAATCTCTGACAACTATTCGTTTTAGAAGGTTGTTGTGAAAGAAAAATATATTCTAAATCAAATTTCAATATAAGTCTCCAGACAAAAGAAATTCGTATATACAATATATATTCATAAAATATGTTGATTTATAATTGCTATCGCATTTTTCAGAGTTATTTTTATTTTGTGGAAAAATTTCGGATTATATTTTGTTTTAAGAGATTGATTGCTTGATTAAGCAAAGGCATTCTAAAGAAAGATCTTTTAAGGTAGTTCTTTGTTTCTGCTTTATGTGTACCACATTTTATCGTTAAAACCTGGTGATAAAAATGCCCCAGCTTTTTCTCAAATATAGTTGGTCTAGTGTTTCCCAAAGTCGTTGCATAAAATTAAAAAAAAAACATTTTCTATTCTCTTTTACTACTACATATTCGCTTATAATTCCATTTATTTTTGAAAATAACCATTTCAAGTTGTACATCATTGTAAGATAAGTAAAATTCCACTTTCGTATTAATATTTAGTTTGTTTATAATCAGGTTCATCTGACGAAGATTTCGCCTTGCGTTTTTGTATAATACCCTAAAAGAAAGAAAAACAACATAAATAAATAAACATTTTTCAAAATATCCAACACTTCCTCACTCACCTGAATCTTTTGCCATTCCCTGTCCAGTTCGGCTTTTTCACTTTTCTCTGTTTTATTTTTTCGTGTCTTGCGTCCATCTTGCATTTTCACACCATACTGGAAGGCGGCCTTGGGCAAAGCTTCTTTGGTACTCATATAATCTGAGTACTCTTCCTGTGTATCGAAATCCCAACGACCAATGGGTCCTTTTTTATTACCCAAATCCATTTTGGTGTAATCCACTTCATCATCCGAATCATCGATGGCATCGTTCATTTCTTCCAATCCCGGATAACATTCAGCATAACCTTCCGGTTCATTGGCAAAACGAGCCACAGCGGCTTTATTGATTTTGGGCGGTGCTGGTATGGTGATAATCGGTTCCGGTTCTTCGGCTGCTTTGTTGGTATCATTGAAATAGGTTGGAGGTTTTGCAGTTGTCGATGCATTCGATCCAGAGGGGGCCAGGAACTTGTCATTTGTTTTGGTTTTATTGTCTGCCTTCAAGGTTGGCTGATAATCTCCAATGTCATCGTATATTGAATCTCCAACCGGCTGTGACTTATTTAAAGCCTTTGAAGAGGCATTCAATTCGTGTATATCCCTTTCATGGAACAAAGGTTTATCTTTGTCACGTTTTTTGTTTTTCTTATTGCGTCCTCCTGCCCTCAAATATGAGAGAATTTGTGAAAGCTTATTAATGACAATGTCATTGGTTGTGAGTGTGGCTGCATCTTCACGATTTAGGGGAACCTCATATTTCGATCTTATCAATGTAGTGGGAATATCTGTCTCGGCATTTTCATCATCTTCCAGATCGATGACATAGGCCATTCTGCCCGGTGCAAAAAGTTCACAACGTTGAATTTCTTTGGACCTCCGTGCCTGTATCAAATTGAATATATTACGTGCCATGGGTCCCTTGATGTTCATGTTATCTTCCATTTCCCGTCGTTCTGCCTCCAGGCGCTCAGCTGCTGCAGCAGCTTCCATTTTCTCTGTGGCCGCGGCTGCCAATTCCCGTTCTCTCTCCTCTTGTTCTTTGACCTGTAATTCAGATCTCACCTTTTGCAGCAAAGCATAATCGAGACCCTTGACCAAATGGGTATGTTCCATATCACCACCCAAGAATTTGGATTCTTGAATAATTCGCCGCCTTCTTTCGGCAGCATCTATGCCAGATTTCATATCGGGGGCCACAGCCCTATAGGCATTTGTGGTGCTGTTGTGACCAGGCGTCCCAACATTTTGATAATCCGGATTGGCACCATCTCTTCTTTCGCGTGCACGATCTCTGTATTTTTCGGAGAGTTCTTGTAATTTGTTATCCTCCTGTTTCTTGAGAGCGGCATAATAGTTTTTCTTTTTACGTCTCAGGTCACCACGTTCGCTGGAGCTTCCATGGCTTTTCTTTTTCTCAGCCGAGGAAGCTGGCGTTCCGGGGGTGGCAAATGTGGCTGGTGTGGCAGCAGAACTTGCTGCTCCTGAACTGCCACCTGGAGGGGCCCGCGGTGTGGCCAAAAGTTTACGAAAATCATCGTTTGTTAAACGCACCGATGGTGGTGCTTCTGTGTGGGCTTCCGACATTATTTATAGTGCTTTTGGAATCCGTTGAACTACCGTTCAATGTGAACTAGTTCTTGTTTGTGTGACAACAGCTGATTCGATGATAAGAATAGGGGAGCATCTTTAATTGCACGGACATTGTGTGTCAACTTATTCTGTTTATTATTATTTATTTCTCTTTCAATATTAGCAAAACTACAACAAATTAAATATAAAAACAACCACAAAGAAAATTGTTATTGTTAGTAATGCTAGTGTCAGTTATTTGTCCAAAAATGCATTGCGTCTTAATAAAGGAGTACGAATAGTAATTGTGGTAACGTAACTTACGCAACGTAAGATGTTTAAAATGAGGTCTGTTACAAAATGCTGCCTTGCAGGAAGCTGCTGAGAGTCAAACAAACTTAAATACCCCATTTTATTTCGAAAGGGTCTGTTTATATATCCAAACAAAAGAAATATGTAAAAATAACTTTCTTCAATAAGATCTGTGTGGGCGTTCTTTGCTTTTTTAGGTTTTTCCCGCTTTATGGCAAAATCTCCACAACGCCAACATTTTGGGGGTGGGTATAAAGGCAAGAAATATTCTATATCAAAATCCACCATGAGTCTCCAAACAAAAGGGTGCGGTAAATAAAGTATATATCGCTTAAATGTCATATTTAAATAGGGATATATTAAAAAATTAAAATTTTTAGGTTATTTTTGCACTGTGCCAAAATCTCCGACAATACTTCATTTAAGGAAGTTGATGTGAAGGGAAAAAATTTCTAAATCAAATTTCACTATTAGTCCCCAACCAAATCCAAACGGTAAATATTACATAAATCCATAAATTATGATGTTTTTAATAGTGGTTTGATGATAAACGTTGCTTTCATTTTTAGGATATCTCCGTTTTGTGAAATTCCCCACAACACCAGAATTTTGGAGGGATGGTGTTAAGGCAAAAACAAATATCCACTATGAAAAAACTTAAGTAATTGGCAAATAGAAGATATACCAATTAAATGTCATGATTAAATGCGGATGCAAAAAAAAAGATCAACATTTTTAGGTTATATTGGTTTTGTGCCAAAATCTCCGACAATACTTCAGTTTAGGAGGTTGGTGTAAAGGAAAAATATATTCCTTATAAAATTTTACTGCTAGTCCCCAAACAAATCCAAAAGGTAAATGTAACATAAATCCATAAATGATGGGTTTTTTAATAGAGGTTTGATGACAAATTTTGCTATTATTTTTAGGTTATTTCCGTTTCGTGCCAAATTCCCCACAACACCAGAATTTTGGAGGAATGGTGTTGAGACAAAAAATATACTATATATATATACCAATATCTACTATGAGCTTCCAAACTAAAGAAAGTGATAAATAAAAGATATACCAATTAAATGTCATGATTAAATGCGGATGCAAAAAAAAAAGATCGACATTTTTAGGTTATATTGGTTTTGTGCCAAAATCTCGGACAAATTTTCATTTTAGGAGGATGGTGTAAGAGAAAAATATATTCCCTAGCAAATTTCACTACTGGTCCCCAAACAAATCCAAATGGTAAATATAATATAAATACATAAATTATGGGGTTTTTAATAGAGGTTTGATGATAAATTTTGTTTTAATTTTTAGGTTATCTCGTTTTTGTGTCAAATTCCCCACATCACCTAATTTTTTAGGGATGATGTAAAGGCAAAAAATATTCTTACCAATATCCACTATGAACTTCCGAACTAAAGTAGCTGGTAAATAAAAGATATACCAAATTAAAATTATGTTTAAAAGGAGATGTAAAAACAGTTCAACATTTTTAGGTTATATTTGTTTTGTGCCAAAAACTCCGGCAATTTTTCATTTTAGAAGGTTGGTGTAAAAGAAAATTTTATTCTAAATCAAATTTCAATATTAGCCTCCTAACAAAAGATATTTGTATTTACAATATTTGTTAATAAAATATGTAGTTTTACAAACGGTATTGTAAAAACCAAAAATGGTTTTCCATTTTTCTAGGTTATATTTGTTTTGTGCCAAAATCTCGTACTATTTTTCCTCTAAGGAAGTTGATGTTAAAGGACGAAATATTCTAAATCGAATTCTACTATTGGTCTCCATACAAAAGAAATTTCAAAATAGTAGTTATATTAACATATTATATGATTTTATATTGGGTTTTGCAAAAGCTAAATGGTTTTGCATTTTTCTAGGTTATATTTGTTTTGTGCCAAAATCTGGAGCAATTTTTCGTTTTCAGAAGTTGATGTTGAAGGACAAAATATTCTAAATCGAATTTCACTATTAGTCTCCACTCAGCAGAATTTTCTATATAATATGTATATTAATAAAATATGTGGTTTTATAAACCAAAATGGTTTTTCATTTTTATTCTTAGTTATTTTCGTTTTGGGGCAAAATCTCAAACAATTTTTCTTTTTTGGAACTTGATGTTAAAGGACAAAATATTCTAAATCGAATTCCACTGTTAGTCTCCATACAAAAGAAATTTCTATATAATTTCTATATTAAGAAAATCTGTGGTTTTATATTGGGTTTTGCAAAACCAAAAATGGGTTTTCCATTTTTCTACTTAGTTATTTTCATTTTGAGGCAAAATCTCCTAAAATACTTCAATTTAGGTAATTGCCGTTAAAGCAAAAATAAATCTATTTCAAAATTCACTATTGGTCTCCAAACAAAGGAAATGCGTAAGTATGATATAGACCACAAAAAAAATGTAATAAAAATTTAGTGTTTTACATTTAAAAAATCAACGACAGTGTTCGCTATTTTTAGCCCAGCTTCCTTTGTATGGAGCAATCCACGCATTCTTTGCGATTATACCTCCAGCTCAGGCGAAGATCTCTTCACCGAAATGACAGCTCACAGTGTGGCTTCCATGTTATGCCTCCCAAAAAGGGGGGAATTTCCATTATATCCTCATCCAGCAGAGCAAAAAATTGGCAATCATTTTAAATTTCTGAGACACATTACACACTTCCCAAGAAGACTACGATGATGGCGGCTCCCATTCGTTGATCGTATTGAAAAGAAAAAAATAAATGAAATAAAACGAAATTATAACAGAAACAAGTTTTCGAAGACACACTTCAAAAACAAATTAATGAAGAATACACACAGAGGAGGCGGCAGCAGCAGCGACAGCCACTGAAGTCGATGCTTTAATTCTGCGATGCACATGCCTGATAACCAGATTTCTAGACACAGTTTGGTTGTTGTTTTTTTTTTTCAAAATGATTCAGACAAGGCTTTTTAAAACATTCCCAGCTTGTGTAGACTTCAGTTAAACAAAAGCAGCAGCCGCAAGCGGTAATAAATCGATAATAAAGCGGCAAAACCCACAGATAATCTGGAATAAAGAAAAAAAAATAAACTAAATAAAATTAACAAAAACGAAGTGAACGAGCGGGATAGACAAGAGATTACGAATTTTGTTTATAAGAAATTGTAAGAAAAAAAAAAAAAAAAAAAAAAAAAAAAACAACAAAAATACCCATTAAACCTAGAATATCAAGACCTTTGAGGGTTAAAACGGAAATTTCAAACAGATTTTTAACCTATTTTAAGTGAGCTCAAGGTTTCTGAAAAAATAAACTTTAAATTTAAAATCTTTTGTTGGTGTTTCTGCTGCAAAGAAGAAAAAAAAAAAACAATTGCAATATTTAAACGTGTACTCCACTACTGGCCTCAATGGGAGGAAAGCTATTGAACCTAAACTACCTGCCATTCATTGTTAAGGTCAAGAATATGAATTGCTGTGCTTAAATGGAAATCAAATGTTTATGGAAATGAAATCAATGATACAGTTTGTCAAGTATATGTTTTCAAAATGTACACCTTATCGGGGAATATGCAGTTTCCATATTTCCTGACATTGCTGGGTGGGCCCTTGGCTGGAATGAAACCCATTTTCTGGGCACTGACTGCATCTTCGGGCAAAGCAAGCCAAGTTTAGAAATTCCTTAGGATAATATACTATACACTTTTGATCCTTCCCGACACAACAGCTGATCTGATTGTAAGGTTGGAGTTTCCTGCCAAGAATGAGCTCCACAATGTAAATTTGGAAGAAAAAATTAAAGTAATTAAATATCCAAACATTGCAACTGACCTTGTATGCCTTAGGATTAGATCTTGCTTGGAATAAAGTCCACATATTATTGTATACCAACATCTCCTGGGCAGACTGCACATTTGAACAATTTGAAAACTCTGCTTGGAAAATCCCCTGGGTAATTTGATAGTTACTTTATTGCTGCTACAGAACAGGAGTAGCAGCATTTGCCCACCATCGGGGGGACTATTTGTATATATCTGTGTGTATGTGTGTTTGTACTCGCATGTGACGACAACAATTTAGTGCGTTATTAAAAATTCTCAATGTTCGTTTTTAATTCTTTCTATGAGTTTGTGACTATTCAATCTCTATTCGAAAGTTCCAAAACCAGTTTAACTTGCAAAAATCCCAATCAATTTTTTTGTTATTGTTTTTGTTTTTATTCTCAGAAGCCAAGAGATCTCTTCAAGGTTGCCATTAGTACGTAAAATACCCCCACAACAAATATATGACAGTTATGAGTAATATTAGAAGAGAAACCTTTTTTTGTGAACCTCTCGGCGCAAACATAAGCACACACAAACATGCGAGCGAAATTGTTTTATATGTAAATATATATTTACATATATGTTAATGTAATTAACAAATGTCTGACATTTGTTTGCAAATAATACAATTCTCATAAATGCCGTAATAAAATCAATAGGAGTAGGAAGAATAATAAATAAATTGATTTTATTATTAAACAAATATAAATAGTTCGGGGAAATAAAAAAACCCGGGGTATTTAGAAATACCCAAAATGCGTTTGGAAAAGAATTTGAATTCCCAAGAAAAGTGTAATTTCAAATGATAAGATATATTAATATATTATACATACATATATTATATTATATTATATTATATTATATTATATTATATTATATTATATTATATTATATTATATTATATTATATTATATTATATTATATTATATTATATTATATTATATTATATTATATTATATTATATTATATTGTATTATATTATATTATATTATATTATATTATATTATATTATATTATATTATATTATATTATATTATATTATATTATATTATATTATATTATATTATATTATATTATATTATATTATATTATATTATATTATATTATATTATATTATATTATATTATATTATATTATATTATATTATATTATATTATATTATATTGTATTATATTAATGAAATAACGGTATTTTTATGGATATATAATGAAATGTCAATTAACTGTGTTTTTGAGGTTATTTTTGATTTATGTCAAACTCTCCCACAACACTTAATTTTAGAGGGTTGCCATCAACGATAGAAACATTCTCCATAAATGTTCATTCTAGGACTTCAAACAAAATACACCTAGAAATATAATATTAATTAACAAAATATCGGTTTTAAAAATGGGAAAAATAAAAAAAAAACTCTTTCACAACACTTCATTATAGAGGGTTGCCATCAATGACAGAAAAATTCTTCATAAAATTTCATTCTAGGTCTCCAAAAAAATACACTTACAAATATAATATTAATTAACAAAATATCGGATTTAAAAATGTGTAAAATAAAAAAAAATAAATCATTTTTAATATTCCCCAAAATCTCCCAATATCCGTTATAATAAAAGGATGCTAACAAAGGAAGAAATAATCAGCATCAAATGTCAACATTAGCCCTTAAAGAAACGATATCGATATTTATAATATATATCATTAAAATATCGCCAACAAACGGCTAGGTATATAAAATAATTTTTATAATTCCGTTAATTAATATTAATCGTATTATTCTTATCTTCAAAAAATTTGAAATGAACACAACAATAAATTGTTTGTGCCACTTTAACCCTCTGGGGGTCAAGAGACAATGAACTGATAATATGAAGAAGAAATTTATTTGTTTTTCATAGCGGGAAGAGAGATGTTTTGGGGGTTAATATTGTCAAAAAATATATTTTTTGTCATTTTCGACAAAAATGTTTTCGAAATAAATAGGGAGTTATAGTACGTTTACATTTTAACGGATTTAGTAAATTCAGTTGATTTAAATTGTCAATTTCATTGAATATACGTCAAATTGATCCTCATAAAGAAGGAAAGAAAGAGGAAGGCAAAAAACTCTAATATAAACATTCTATTAGATAAGGAAATTTCCTTTGGAACAAAGAGAATAAAGGCGTGGGAATTTCTCCTTCCAAATCTTGCCAAGAAATTCCCAAAAATTGGGAAAAATGCCCAAATTTATGCTGACCAAAATCCAATGTTAATTTTGTACCAAATTTAAAGTTATGTGTTATTGAATAATAACACATCTACCTAATTCTCGTTATTGGAAAAATATATAGATTTCCGGTGTTATATTTAGGTTTTTTTACCCATCTCCTAAACCAGAGGTTTACGGGTCTTTGGCGTCATTTGAAAAATACCCAAAAATAATTTCATGGAAATTAGTTAAAAATTGCATCTAAATTGTATAATTCAATATTCTCGATAATTCACAGTGAATATTGAGGTAGAATATTTCCCTGATTGACACTAACTCGCTACATTGCAGTGATGCGTAAAATTTAGCCATAATTGCAAAAAAGACCCAAAAAATCTAAAAATATGCAATTCACAATTTCTTGTTTAAATAATTAATTTGTAACTGATATTTTTCTTAGCAAATAATAAGAATTAAAATTTCTTCCCCTCGGTGACTCATAGTGCAATACTATTTATAACATGTTTCTCTTTAGCATCAATTCCAAAAACTGTTGTTAAGTGAGATATTTTGCCACAATTCGCAAAAAGGCCCAAAAACAATCTCAAGAAAAATAATTTATAAATTGCATTTACATTTTCATTATTATATATTATATATATTGAATTTTTCTGTTTGGCAACCTATAGTGAAATTAGATGTAGAATGTATCTGCCTTTACATCATCCCCAAAAGATCGCAATTTGTGGGACAATTCGTCACAATTTAAAAAATACCAAAAAATAATACCAAAAATTTAATAGATACTGATTTTTAGGGGCTCGTTTTGAAACTAAAATCTCCATGATAAATAATATATTTAGAGAAATCTTTATTTCAGAGACTTATAGTGAAATTTGTTGTAGAATATTTTTTCCATTGACACCAACCTTTGAAAATTACATTTTAAAAGGAAATTTGCCACAATTTAAAAACACCCAAAAATGGCATAAGAACATTTTTAAGTAATTTTTTTTCAAATGAATTGAGAAGTTTAGAGAATTCTTCTGTTTGGCAACCCATAGTGAAATTTGATGTAGAATATAGTTGTGTTCCAGTACTTTTTTAGTAGTAAAACTAGCAGAAGAGAGAACAGTTCGAAATGTCATTCTCAATTAGGTGTGCTCAAAAAATAAGGGAACGGAAAATTAGCAGAAATGCGATAAAATGTCAAAATTCAAAATTCCAAGAGTAAACAGTCGAAATCGGACTGGTGAAACCTTACTGAAACGGACGCCAAAATTTAAAAAAATTAGTATTGAAGACGATACGATAAAATTAATAATCTATAATAATAATTAATAATCTGATTCATCATTCAGCCAGTCCTTTTCACTACTGGAATCATCCAAAAGTGCTCCATATTTTGCTTTTTTTTTTGCACTACAAATATTAGTTTTTCCTTTAGTTTTTAAGTTGATCATTTCTTTATTTTTGTTATGACGCGGGAACATTGAAATGTATCAATACATTTTTCAACCTTGTTAGCCCTGCCAATTAAATGTCAAATTCACAATTTGCACATTTCTGCTCGGCCAAATTCATGTAGCTAAAACAAGCAGAAATGTGCACCACTCGGCGCCATTTTTTTCTCAAGAGAGCTGCAAGTTTTGCTAGTTTTTGCAGTACGGGAACGCGTTGTAGCAGAATTAGTACTAATTAGTACTAATTTGTAGGTTCTGGAACACAACTTATATCTTACTTTCACATCATTCCCGAAATAACGCAATTTGTGGGACAATTTGTCACAATTTAAAAAATACCCAAAAATAATACCAAAAATTGATAAGCTGATGATTTTGTTTATGTGTTCGTTTTGAAAATAAAATCTCCATGATAAATAATATATTTAGAGATATCTTCACTTCAGTGACTTATAGTGAAATTTGACACCGACCTCCAAAAATTACATTTTGTGGGTAATTTTGCCACAATTTAAAAAGACCAAAAAAAATGGCATAAATAGTAATTTTTTATAAAAATATTTTTAAATGAATTTTTTTTGGATGATTTTAGAGGTTTAGAGGATTTTTCACTTCAGGGACTCATGCTAAAATTCAATGTAGTATATTTTTTCAATTGACATCGAGTTGCAAAAATTACACCTTGAGGGAAA